AATCGTACGAGATAGACATTCTGACTCCATTAGTAAATCAGCACGTAATTATTTTCGTTTTTTTATTTCATTGACATAACTCGAAAGAAGAATCTCGTTGTTCTCCGAAGTTGTTGAGGTAAGACATGTTGTCGCCAACAGGATGACAAGTGCAAAATTAGCCAGGAATTAAGAATGAAAAAAGAAGCCGTGACCTTACCCACTTCAAATCTAATTCCGTACTTCCTTCCTTCCACATTCATTAAATGAAATCATGTTGTAAAATTCATGATATCACGGTGTGGTTGGTAAATGTATTAATCGGGGAATCTTAATCCAAAGCATAAAATCAACCCACAAACAATAGAACACGTAGAGCTACACTATTTTAAGAGTTGAGCTGATCAAGGAACAACGACATGATCACAGTCTCATTTATTTTGCATTTCCTTTTACGCAAAAAAAACCTTTATTACAACCACTGGACCCCACGAATGGGCCATTACCCAGGGAGGGAGAAGAGTACCTGAGCTTGGCAGTGGGGAAAAACGAGAAAAACCCACTGCAGGCACTAGGACTTGAACCCAGCACCTCCATTCAGCCCACTCAGGTGGACGGTAAGCAGGACGGCATTTCTGCCACTCCGCCTCGTCACCCTTCTCAAATCACATGCAAACATCACATCACAGCACGTAAACCAAATTCTCCGAAATCAGACGGAGATACAAGCAAAATATTATCAATCTACGCCAAAAAGATTAGTGCAAACAACTGTATCACGCCATCATTTTCGCAGAATGAGTAAATAATAACATGGGGAAAGTCTTTTATTACTAACGTCCTTTCGACCTTTGCATCCTGGATGCCATGTTAGTCTAAACACTTTTGAAACTGGATCCAGATGTTATCATGGAATCCGAGTACTGCCGTAATAATAATCATAGTCACAGTAAGTCAAGTTCAAGGGCAGACCTACCACCAGCTTGAATTGAGGGTACAATCCATTTAATAGCTGTGTCATTAAGAGCGAGTCCATGATAATGACCAGTATGACCACTGGCTGTTCAGCACCAGCCGTGCCCTTCCGTGCAATAAGAATACGTAGTCCTGCTGGGTAAAGAAGATTATGATGATGGCATTTGCCAAAAAGTGAACCACTTTCTGGAAATCCCTCACAGCATTAATAAATTGTTCTTTCGTGATTAGTCTAACTGCTTGGAAATACAAACGAAAGCCTCCTGGACACCCAGAGTGCAGTGTTTTAATACGCCTGCATCTGTAGCAAAAACAAGGAAAACACATTTTCCACAGAGATTTGCAGAGATTATATAAATCCTTATGTACAGATACCATATGCACCCAGCAACAAATTTTAGCTACTTTGCCTTCTCCCATTATTTTTTAGCTGATTCTACGTATTTTTTACTACTCGTAAATCACAGGCAGGGATGCATACAACTCATAAAAAAAGAGAACCAAGTGTTCGTAAAGCTGGACCATTATCCTTGACAAAACATTGTTAGTGAATATTTTTAATACCTTTTTCCTGTTACAAAACCTGATTATGACAACTATTCCTAAAAAAATCAGACATCCTTGACAGGGAATAAGAGAAAAAGATAATAAAACTTCTAGCAGAAAGGCTTGGAGGAAAATGTTGGTAAAGTTCAAGTACGGACATACAAATAATAGAATTGCCTCCCCAGTAAGTCAATTCTTCTTATTTTGAGAATTTCATTAGTCTTTATGTACAAAAAGTTGTCGGAAGCTTTCCAGCTCCTGAAGGGAAGAGTAAAAGTAAATCGGATGTCCATCATGCTGTGTTTATCGCCAAACTTGTGCGTAGTAGTGGTAAGCAATATAATAAATGCAACTTTCCCCATTAAGATTGGGACGTGATGTAATTTGCAATGCTTCAATTCAGATTAGTTTCCTCCAGAGAGGGAAGAACAGAGAGAGACACACACCGACAATAACACACAACAAAGGAAAGAAAGTTATTCAACGGTGTAATTTCCGAATAAGAATTATTTGCTGCTTACTTTCTCCCGTGGAGAAAGCAGCGTAATAACCTTGAAAAGATTCATAGGCTGTTACCAGCCACCTAAGCTTGTCATTCCCACTGCCACCACTACTAAATAATAGTGTGTACTACTATTGATATGATATTTGCCAGAAAAGTCCTTACTCTTTCTGACCCCACCAAGTTATATAAGGTAACCAACCATCCAATTCCCTACACTTGATCCAATTTGTCGCAAATCCTATCCAATCCTACGACGACGTCATGAGGAAAGGTTACGACATTATGTTACTGTCGAAGTTTAATGTCATTCAATTTCTAGTCTTCTTCCTCCTATCACTGAAAAAAGCATGCTAAACGGATATAAAGCTCGATATATAAAGGGTAACACGGATAAATCGGCTCAAGTGTAAAGAACACATAAAGAAAGGGCCATTTATTGAAGGTGGTTTGAATGTCGGAACTGAATTCTATTACACAACCGACAACCATGCCATGTAAGAATAAGCTCCCCCCTCTGGGGATCACCACAACTTGTATATGCAATGTATGCAGGAAGATTGCTGAATTGTAAAATAAAATACATCTCCCAATATCATGATTGAAGAAGTGAATTTTTGGCACGAATCGTGGTGCATATTCTATTCAAACAAAAGAAGTAGGCAGAGAATATAAACTCTTGAATTTCACAGTCAGCCCTAGTAACAGCACTATTTAAATTAAAGCTGGTGATTCCATCGTTGATCTCCATCAACTAGTTTGAACTGGTTCGATTCAAGTATGTGGAGGAGTGGAGGAGAGTGGACGAGTAAGTAAGTGATGAGAAGATGAAGATTAAACTCGCTCAGGCGCTGACGAGTTTAAGACATGCTCAAATTAAGATATGACAAATTGGAACAAATACTTAAGTAATCATTAACGATGGCGCACACTACTAATATTTGTAATCACTCGGTTTAACTAAAAAAACACAAAATTTAAAATATATTTAAACGTCATTTCGACCATGAAACAAAGATTAACTGGGTTGCATTAATTGCGACAAAAAAATATATTTATTCATTCTTGGAAGAATACATGTAGTAGCCAAGTCGGTACTTTTCTTGTTAAGTAACAGTTCTCGACCCTAATTTCTCTTAAATTACTCGGAACGGCAAAAACACACATGAAGAAACCCTCTGCAAACAACACCACCCGGAAAATTAATCTCTGGAACAGTAAATGCATGCATTTCTTAATTGCCCTAAATGTGAAAACTTTTTGGCAAATGCAAACATCGTATTCTGCTGAATTCCAGCTACTACTTTGTCATTATGTGACAACTTTTGATTCAGAGAATCACAACTCCAACTCACGAGCGAGCGTAATGAATGATGTATGTGGGAGATTAAATCCGTTTCTCTAGACCATCCCACTTTTTCAATGTTTTTTTCGCCTACACAAAGTACACCACGTAACAACTTACTCTTTACTCTACTGGGCAGAAATCCACCATTTCCGGTTCCCACCAAGGAGAGAAAATAAGAAGGTTAGTTTCACCAGCGCAGCATAGATACATCACAAACAAGAACAGTCAGCCAAGAGCTGACGAGCAAAACTGCAACTTCATATTAGGTAAATGGAATGACGAAGACTACATAACTTTGTTTTACACAACTTTTTTTTTCTTCACAAACTTTTTTCTTTTAACCCAGTTTCCCACATCAGACGACATCCATGAAAGCAAACAAATCAAGGAGAAATGGACTCGCTCTTCTTTAACAGTGAACAAAATGTCATCCATCATTCTTAAGCGTTTAACAGCTGTCAGTTTAGAAAAGAAGTGTCTCTCTCACACACAAGTCCGAAATCGGATCTTCAATCTTACCCATCCATCTAAACCACATGTCTGGAATTCAAAACTGGCATAACAACACCAAACGAGGTCCCTGTATGTCTGCTCTCATTATGCATTATTGAATGAAACGAATTTTTTAATTGGGAAAAGTAGGGTTGGGAAAAACACATTTTGCGTTGTTGGCGTCGAAAAAATAGGTCGTTCTCCTGATGTAATGGATTTTTCGACTAAAGTGTTGTTTTATGACAGGACGATTCGCATCTATGATGCAAAGCATTATACAAAGTATGTCTTTCTTCAAAATTTTCCAAGCATAAAGCCAATTAGCACTTTTCGGGGTGGAGATCGCAAATAATCTGGTAATGCGGGTTCAACGGTCGGAAATTAAGTTAGTTCTAGATGCATGTACATATGGTAGACGAGACATTAATAAATTTGTATGTACAGAATTTAAGAAGATTTGCTTTCTCCGCAGTACTTCGTCTTGCGTAACTGCACACTTTGGATAACAAGGTGAAAGTGTAAACTTTTCCTTTGAAATACTATGAATGGAGGATGAAATTGGTTTGTCTGGAGGCAAATATTGTGAAACTAGACATGAAGAAATTATTGATTAGTTTTTCAAGTTAAAAATGGGTGCTGAAAAGTTGAAAAATATTCAACAACAAAATCACGTTGAGTGGATATCCTATTAATCTTGATAAGTTTTATGCCAAGATTGATAAGAAGTTGAGTCATAATATTTCACGAATTCGAAAGATTGAGATCTGTACCATTCACCGTTCCACACTAAATGTGGATCATTGAACTTACACGTCCCAAAGGAACGAAACTGGATCTATTTTTAAAACTGTGGACCCATTACGCCCCAGCATCCACCCTGCTCATGACCATGATTGGGACAACCACAAATAGCATCTTCTGATTCTCGTTTGAGTAAATGAGTAAGCAGTTCTGCGAGAGACTGCTAGGCGCCGGTAAAGCTAATGAATAATTGAAATATAATTTTATAATCATGAAATATTGAGTTTGAGTGTATGAAATAACAATTTTAATAGTTTAGTTAGTATAATATTTATGCAACTCAGCGCATTTGTAGGATCAACTTTTGTGATGTACTTAAAGCGGCAATAAGAAAAAGTATGCATTTGATGATCTGACCTTTCTCCGTCTTCATTTACATTAGCTGCTACCGCATCGTTGACTACGGAACTGATCCCTTCGACTATCATTGTTGCGGCGGCTGACAAACTTGTAAAAGGCTGCTGTTGTGGACTCACATTTGCTGGATTTTGCTGTGATGTTGGTACAGCATTAATTTGAGGCTGATGACTATTATCTTGGGTATTGATCGGCACTTGCTGTTGAAGTGAGGCTGGAGGTTGATTAGAAATTTGCTGAGATGGTTGCTGCTGCTGTTGTTGCTGCTGCTGAGTCAAGTCCTGGACAGGTGGAGGATTCCCAATAATTTCAACTTGATGACTCACAACAGTCTGTTGTGGCTGAGTTGGTATATTCATCTATAAGAGTCACAGATAAATATATACTATTTCCTAAAGCCTTAATCTTTAAATATTAATATACAAGTAAAAGTGATACCTGGCTTACAGCAGGAGCTGTCGACATCATTCCCGACATGCCATTATTATAATTAGTCGGCATCTGTTGTTGTTGTTGATGAAGCTGCTGCTGCTGTTGTTGTTGCTGATATATTGGTTGCTGTTGATTTTGCATAGACATTCCTTGTTGGGACTGTTGAGAGACTTGGGGATGATTTTGAGAGGGCATCGATACCACGGTAGCCGATTGTTGTTGTTGGCCCAGTGGAACGGCCTGAGTCTATAAATAATGTCAAGTTAGTATATTTTTACACTACTCATAATTTGTAAAACTGTAGAAAACTAACAATTTGCGGAGCAACATGCTGGGGTTGCGTAGGCTGGGGATGGCTCATTATCGTCGGCTGTTGTGGCTGAGGGGTAAATTGCTGCAGCATTGGTTGGGCCTGTAAGTAATTTGTCATAATTAATGAAGCGGTATGGATATGGATAATAAATTAGGTTAAAATTGTGTTTCATATTGGTAATAGAGTTTAACTATTTTACCATTGTCTGTGTATTTATGGATTGAGGAACAGTCTGCTGTTGTTGATAATTAGGCTGCTGTTGCGACGGTATTGTTTGAATCAACCCCGGTTGTCCGACATTAGATTGAACCGGTTGGGAAGTTACCATTTGGGGTTGTTGATTCATTATCTGCGAACTCTGTAAAATAATACAAAACCAAATTAATGGAGGAACAAATTAGGTGATAATCATACTTCCGCGTACCGGAATCATCTGAGGAACCATTTGCGGCTGTGAGGACATTATCGTCTGTGGCGGCGCAGGTTGCACTTGCTGAGTGCCCGGCTGTTGTTGAGAAACAACGTTCATCATCGGCTGTTGCTGCTGGTTCTGACTGACCATTTGCTGTTGCATCATTTGCTGCTGCAATTGTTGTTGTTGTTGCTGCTGTTGGGGTACCGATTGTTGTTGTTGGTTCATCATTTGTTGGGGTTGCTGTTGCATTCCCATCGATGGAGTCATTGGAACCTGCTGATGTCCCACCATCATTTGACCACCGGACGTCGTGTATATTTGACCTGTATTTACGAATACCAAATTTAATTAGATACAATCACCAATTAGCCTGCTGAAGCTGTTCTCATTAATTATGATTTGCTCTCTAAGATAATAACAAAATCTACCTTGCTGTCCTTGATTTTGCGGTATCTGCTGCATATGTTGCATCGGGATGTTTGTGTATTGTTGTTGATAATTTTGCTGCTCTTGTTGAACAGATCCTTGCTGGGGAGGCATTTGTTGCATCTGTTGGGGTTGACTCGTTTGCTGAGCCATCATTTGCTGAGGGTTTCCTTGTTGTTGTTGTTGAGGATACCCTTGCTGTTGTTGTCCTCCCATCGTCATTTGCTGTTGTTGTTGCTGTGGTTGTTGATGATACTCATGGAATTCGTGAAACCCTCCCGGATTTTGGGTTGATGTCATAAATGCAGGCTTATTTTGCTGCAACATATTGTGACCTAAGCTTTGTGCAGTGTGATGCTGCTGCTGTTGTTGTTGTTGCTGTTGTTGCTGCTGTTGGGGTTGACCACCATTATTGTTTGGTAAGACAGGATTTCCCATGTTAACTGTAGCAGCAATAGCGGCAGCATGGGCACCGTGCGGTAAACTTTGTGCCGGTATGTGTTGCTGTATCTGTTGTTGTGGGGGCACGTATTGTTGCTGCATTTCTGGTTGCTGCTGCATTTGTTGAGGAGGAATTTGGTTGACAAGTGGCTGATTAGGTGGTTGGGAAGCTTGTTGTTGCTGAGGAATCGTCATTGGTGCTTGTTGTTGACTTTGATTTGGAATCGTTTGCTGTGTGGCTTGTTGCTGATTCTGGCTAATTCCTATTTAACAATATTAAAAACAGAAAAGTTAGAATAATTTGGATATGGATCATTATTTACAATTTTTGCAAAAACAAATTTGTAATTGTGTAATCTTACCAGAGATTACTGAAGAAGGCGGGGGATAATACTGCTGTTGCTGCTGTTGATAAACATGCTGTGGATTGTTGGTGGAGAGATTTTTATTTGGATTATTAGGAATTGGATTGTTTGTGGGGGCATAAACGTCGGTAGAGTTGACCAGATTAGTGGTCGTAGAAGTATATGTTGCTGGAGTCTCAATGTGGTTAGCGTGACCATCATTATAATGGTTCATATGGGAGTAAGTGGTAGTAGAGTCCCCATTGGTAAGTCCGTTGGGAACGACAGTCTCCTGAGTGATAGGTTGGGCTAGATTTATGTCAGTCTGTTGCTGCGGAATAGCAGGCATTTGCTGTTGCGAATTCAAATGAATCATGGATTGCGGCTGGGGGGAAGGCATTACTGGTTGCTGTTGCTGTTGTTGCTGCTGCTGTTGAGGCGGAGGTGGATTTTGCTGACTTTCATTCATGTGCAGATTGACCATTGACTGGGTCGCTTGAGGAGATAAATGATTGCTCGCCGTCGTGACATTCATCACGTCACCCTGTTGAGGATTCGCCTGACCACCAGCGCCCCCCGCAGGAGGAGCAGCAGCTTGACCTTGTTGAGAATCTTTTCCGGAAGTAGTCAACGTGTGATCAAAGTAGTCCATGCAAACCCACCTGCCTTTCTTGAATGGCTCATTACTAACTATTTTCACAACCTTGAACCTGAAAATAAAATTTTAGTCAATATAAGGAATTGTACAATCAGATTATATATTAAATAGATATGTAAATATCATAACTTGATAGTAAATATCATAACTTGCAATGTGATGTACCTGTTGTGAACAATTTCACGGTCTGGGTCATTCTTATCGACGGCGAGTGCCCCTTCGAGCGGGTTAATTGTGACTGTATTCACAGTTGTGGGCGTTCCATCACCCCCAGAAGGATTCACGCCTTCGGGAACGATGGCTAAACCATATTGTGAACTAGTTGGGATGACTGGAGCTGTATTTATGGAGCTTGGAGGAGCAGGATTATAAAATATGTCATTTGCTGTGAATTTTTCGTCAACGGGGGGCAAACCTCCCCCTCTTGTCTCGCTTGGATGTCTTGACGCGTCTGCAACAAAATAAGAATAATGGTTAATTAAATATCAATAACTACAATAGTTATTTTCTAACCTGTGGAGCTATCCTCCGTATGAGACTCATCCATGTCGTCACCAGAATCGTCCCCACCATCATTGCTCACTGACGAATCAACCGTCACTGACGTAATCTGAAACGAAGTCTTTTTCATGCTTGCAGGATTGATGGATGATGATGGACCACCCCCACTACTGTTGTCTGCAGGCCCATTCGTAGTGACTTCCGCCGTTGAAGAAGGGTCGCCCCCACTATTATTATTATTTCCACCACCATTACTATTTCCTCCACTAGAATTACTGGTGTTACCACTAGTCCGAAATACAACATTAGGCGTGGGGATCTTCATATTTACTTCTTCTTGTTGAGGAGGAAGGGTGTTAGAACTAGGTTCCGACATATCTAACCAACGAAAATCAAATCAGTCGAAGAACCAAACTTTTTGAACAAGTAGGAAAATTAAGCGACGATGATCTAAAATTTTGATTGATTAATATGAAGCTGGCGTAGTCCTTCAGACGCAGGTCCTTCTGGTCTACGACATGATTTATGATATATTGTCGACCCTAATATAGAGAAGAGACGTTAAAAATTAATCCTTAAAAGTATTGCTGGCAAGTCTCAATAAATTTCTTGAAATTTGCGAATCAGTCGTGCCTTGTCTTGTTTCGTAAGTTTCTTGAGTATTACAAATCTTCTTCACTGCTAATATTGCACTGTTCAATTACTAAAGTATATCGTTAAAATCCATGATATACTTAATAAATTCAACTTAAAATTGTGCACTATTGATCCTCCAACCATAATTGCTTCCCAATTTTATTTTCCCACGGAGTGCTACAGAAAAAAAGTATCGAAATCAAATTATAAATTCTTTACGTGATACTAATTATTGTTCGATATTTAAAGAAATATCCTTACCTTAATAATTATGTCGTCTCCCAAAAGAAAATATAAATCTTATTTTAACGTTTACAAAAGCTCAAGAACCAACTAACCAACACAAATCACTTATAATGAGATTATAATTAAAAATGGCCGTTTCTGTATGTGTAGGATAGTTTAATGACAATAATTACTAATAATTGTCGGAGGCGGCGACGTCTATCTTATGACTTTTTATTGTATTATCAGCCCAGCAAAAATTGTCTTTAGTCTGTAACAAAAATCAATAAAACACAATCAGTAAACCTGCTTAAACAAGGCGCACAAAAAAATATGGCCCTAGACAAGCCTCATTTCACATTTAATCCATTTAAAACGAAACCATCTGCTGAAAAACCATCTTAATAATCTTAAAACGATTTACGTTTAAAAATTTCCTCTGTCTGCACAATTCTTTTAAAACTTTCCACTCAAATTTAACACTTATTTTGTTTCCCTGTTTGCCCACTTCTTATCTAAATCTAATTCCTTGTTCATCTTATCTAACTTTGTGCAGTGCACTGCAGTGCATGCTTGCACTCTTGTCTGTCTGTGAATAATTAAATTAACCACGAAACCAAACCTCCTCCTCCAAATTACCTAGTAATTATTCGTCCCACCCCAAAAACAAACCCGAATACTTTCCACAATTTTCCACTCAAATTTATCCCCCAATAAGGTCCCCAATGTCCAAAATGGTCCTCTCTTAATGGCGACTTTTGAATGATTCGTCATCCCATTTCCTCATTTTATTATTACTTTTACACCCTTTCTTACCACACACCCGTCTCTCTCGTTCTTCGAATGGGTGACAACAAACCAACAGAAAATATTCTTACCTTGCTCTTTCGTTCAAGTAATTTCCGAAAAGTTAAAAGTGGGTGGTATTTTCTCTGTCTAATTTCGTTACAATTTCTGGCAGAAATCTTGTTCAAATTGTCGTGTTAGTTAAATGTGTGTAGTAATGTAATGTCCCCTCACAATTTTTGTGATGAGAGATAAGTTTTATAAACCACGGGATTTTAATTCGACTCGACTGAGGAGGAGAGTTCTGCCTTCTGTGGAGCAACGCATGCATCACGTCAACCTGAACGTCGACTTATCGTTTCTTTCCCACTTATCGACGCTACGTGCAACGTTTTGGTTGACGTGTGGCCTGTGTTATCCGTCGTTTCATCATTGCTACGTGCTGCTGCTGCAATTCAGTCAGTGTAGTTCAGTCAGACTGTGTCTGCTCAGCTCCTCCGTCTCAAAATAAATATTACTACTATTACGATTTCTTTTGCTTACTTACTTTGTTCCCGATGTCTCAAAACGTCTGAGAGATGAATGAGAATTTTTGCAAAATATGTGTGAGAAGATCGGATTTTTTAATGAGGAAGGTCGGTTGGTTTTTGTGTTGATGATGATGATGATTATTTGGGGTGATCGTATTTTTCGGTGTAAACAAAATAATGATAAAATGAAACAGGTTATTTTCGCCTGTAGGGATGTGTATTAAATTAAAATGGTGTGTGGATTGAGGGAGAAAAACATTTTTAGTATGTGTTGCAAATAATATGTAAAATAGATTGCATGTTTAAGAAAATGGTAATAGTGCAGATTTGCAAAGTTTTACGATTACGGTAGAATAGAATTCAAAGATTTGCATGGCAAGGTTTGGAAGTATAGTATAGGTCATGTTCTCATCTCGTGACAGAAATGTTTAACGATAAAAACACAGCAGGAAGAAGGGACAGTGTGTCACCAAAATTAATGGGTAGTAGACTGGACTGGATTGGATTTTTGGAAAAGCATGGAAAATTTGGGGCATGATACCGTTTCCACTGCAGTAGTCGCGATAAACACGAAAACTACTGGGTTAATAGTGGTATGAAATGAATGAACATGACAATAACAAAAATCTAGTATCCGGACATATTTTATGGTTTGTACGATATCGATAATAATGGACAAAACCACAAGCCATGCATTTTCTTTCCTGTAGGTAAAACTATGAAACAAAGTGGTTTCTTTTTCTCAAAATTAAGGAAACTGCTCTACAAAATGCAGCTGAACACATGTCGTTTCCCAGAAGAGCTATATAATGAAGGTCACGGAAATGAATTATCCTGTCTGACATTAATTCATTTTTTAATAATGGTGCTGATAGTAATAATTCAATAATTGACTCTCCCCATTGATCACACTACGTTCGCTGTTATGTAGCGGAAGTTTTCTAGATTGATAACCAGGTGAACTTGAATATTAATAATAAATTCTGCATAGGATACGTAGGATCGAGCAGCATTGTTTTAATAATTAAGGTGTAGAAATAGGTATGCGTGCACCACCAGAGTCTGACTACTATTGACATTTTTACCTGTCTGCCTAATAAAAGTAACTATTAATGCATGAGGAGGGGAGCCTATTGAATAATTCCCAACATAATATCGCCAACCTGACAACTTTCTCCCGGATACCTTTATTAGCTATTGGCCATCGTATAGATACTTTGACGCTGTTAACTCTGCTTGAATGCGTCGTTGATTGAAATGCATATATGAACCATTCGTGCGTGTAATAATATCCATAATAGTACGACTTCAAACTTGGAGTTGTGAAATGGAAAAGTATAAATATTTGGTGTGTATTGATAAAGTTGGTATTTCAATCAAGTATGAAATGAACATGTCACTGTATTATTGTCGGCTTTGTTTGGTGAATACGTAATATTGTCAACCGGTGAGGAAATTCCCCAAATTTTCTTTATTACTGGTTCCTGCGTTCTGCAGATCAAAACTTGGAAAGAATTTTTTATTCTAAGAATAACATGGATTTACAGATGCATGTGCATTTTATTACAATTTGAGATTCGTGATTGCATAACCTGGTACAGATAAAATTCTCAAAGAAATAAACTTTAAGAACTTGTTTTTATTAAGTACGTACTTACTTTCCAAACTCTTTTATTAACTCGGGGACTCAAATTTTGACATAAAATAGGAAGCCATGAATATCTTATAAAATACTTTTTACCAGATCCGCATGGATGGAGCTTCCTTTATTTTCACCTACTCGATACATAATAAACCTGCATAAAATTAGCTGCCCGTCATTCTACTGCTGCAAACTTGGCAGAAGAACGGTTGCAGCAATTATGTACGCATATCCATAAAATAATGAATGAATCTCACTTTACTTACTTTCAATTCCATTGTCAATTGTTGAACTCTTGTCGTTCTCGTTGGAGAGAAATCTGCGAGTCCTCGACATTGCGACGAAGGTAATGCTGCCACAAATTATAACACACCCTTTTCACACTCATCCCACTATGTATTCAGAAATGCGAAAATCTATAGCACCACGACCGACACTACTTTAATGTATTGGTGCATGAGACGACAATAATAATGAAGAAGTCGACTGTCATCGGATGTAAGTAGACAACAACTTGCCCTATCAAAACAAAGCCCAAACATGACCAAAACTTCAAGTAAAGCACATATTTAGATTTTGTAGAGTCATACCTTCTATGTGCTCTGTTGAACTTTGCTTTATATTTTGTATACACGTGGTTTATTATGATAATGTGAAATCTAGACCAAGTAGAGATGTATGCTGTAAATTGTCGCTTTGTCACCTCATGTACCCTTTTTCGCCACGCACAAGTTTTAATTTGAAATGAAAAGTAACCCAATTAATTTGAGGGAAGAGAATTGGCAGGATTTTCAGATGACTAGTCGACAACAATTAAGAGCTGTGGTGGTGTGGGTTATATTACAAAAATACTTTTAAAGTATCTCTGCAGCCTTGTTATTTATCCAACGAAGAAGGGCCATGGGAAATCCCAAAATGCGTCCTCGCCAAGTCCAAAATCTTGGGATTTTACCTTTGTTGACACAATAACACCTCACTTTAGTAAGAAATAGTAATAATAAGAGGGTCACTATTGGTATATATCAGTGGTCACAAAGATTTTAAATTAGTTTGACATATATCCACCCACGTAACAATTTTTAAAGCGGATAACGTCATTAGCATAACACACACACCTCAACCACTATGTAAAGGCTGATTAGCTAACAGATTGCAGATAATGGTTATTCAACCATGTAGCAAGTATGCATGTAAATATACATTGAAGTAGACATCCCCTCCTAGCTCTTATGTACGTACCGTTTAGTTTGAAGTGACGGAAAACAAGAATGGATTCGAGGGAGGGGATGATGACAACATTGCAATAATAAGAATCTTATCTTCACTTACCTGCATGTTACCTGGTTGGTTGAGTACTTAACACTATCACTGCTTTTAATGGGGAATTCTCAGTTCTCAAATTGACAGTGGAAAGTGAACGTGTAGAGAGTGTGAGGTGTCTTCGTCATCGCATATCGTCGTCTCAAATTCCCAGCCCATTTAGTCTCTCGTAGTGTCACTCGAGTGTGTGCATGCATTTCTTGTTGCATTGATTGTGATCTCGTAGTTAGTTATTACGTAGCAGAAAAAAAAAGTTTCATTGTGCATATTAAATAAAATCAGTTTCTATATTTAAATACTTATTCTGTGTTTGGTGGTGACAATGGTTTTCATCTCGTCGTCGAACCCAAAAATCCATGTTGGGTTGAGAATGTGAAAGTTTTATTGGGTTGTTCACTCGTTAGGTAACGACGAATAATGATTCATTACTTGGCGTGATGTAATGTTTCCATCATTAAGGTTGAGATTCGGTTATGAAAATAATTACTTTTAGTGAGACTATTAGCAGTGTAGTGAAATTTTTGAAATTTAAAGAAAATGTTGAGTTGAGAAGAATTATGAAGCATCGAGACCGGGACAGTTGGGGGACGAGGCGTCGATGTTGTAATGATAATAATTGTACTGCGATTAAAGAAGTGGTCGAAATCAGTGGGGTTAAACGCTTAAACAGTTCTTGTTCATGTGATGGAAGGACTAATCCGACTAAAATTAACCTGTTGAGTAAAGTGTCGATCGGAATTGTCTCAATTTTCCTGATAATCTCAATCAATCCAAGTTATGGGCAAGGATTTCAGTTCTCGTATCCGCAATTTAGTAAGGAACGCAACTTAATAATTTATGAGGTGTTACTTAAAATATTGTCCACCTTCCAGCCATTCCCATGTCACTCCCACCCCGGGGACTCTACCATGCGGGATTCATGTACCCTGCACCCCCTCCAACCCATGGCCCCCCAATCTACACCACACTAATGTCACACATGGGAGGGAAGAAGTTATCTCTGCCCTCCATGAGCCGCGTGACTGAAACCTTGGGAGCACTGGGGACGTTAGCGAGACGATTTTTGAGGGGTCCAGGAATTGAGGCAGAGTCCAAATCGGAAGATATTTCTCAGTCTCCGACTCATCCAACCATTTTAATGGGAGGATCAGATAGCCATTTATCCACAGCTAGTAGCAATCGTGTCAATGTAACTACACCCGTGTTCAAAGTTAGGCCGGAAGATGATCCCGAATTAAACCAAGCGTTGTACACATTGAGTCGCAATGTCCTCGGGCAGGTAAATTCAGCATGGTAAATTATGCTTACCTGGTGTGTATTTACATACGATTAATTTCATGCGTAATTTTGAGTAGAATGTGACCAACAGCCTCGTGCCAATAGTAAAGACTGTGAATCAAGTAGGTCGCTTTCTGCCCCCACTGATCTATCGAGATGGGCGAATTATTCTCGGTTCCGGAAATGCGACAAAGGATGGAGGAAGCATAAAAGATGCCGTCTGCACTACGACGAGTGGACGCACGGGAAAATGTTTGGACATTTCTGGCTGTCCGTCGCTTTTACTCGATCTGCAAAAGTTGAGGAAATCTCTGTGCTTTAAGGCATTATTCATTCCAGGAGTTTGTGAGTAATAAATTCTTTGACTTAACTTCAAAAACTTTAGTAGGTAATCAAATACGTCGAAATAAGCAATTTGTCTCCATTTTTTACAGGTTGTCCTGATGATCCCGACGCAGAAACTTCCGTCGTCATTACGCCAACTAATCCTCCCACCACTACGACGCCTCGACCATCCTTTTCCACCAATTCCAAACCTAGTAGTCGTCCACCGATTGGGACGGGAAGCACGATTCCGAACCCAGATTCAGACTCAAATAGCAGGTCAGACATGTGTGGAAGACCGGAAGTTCCAAGCTTTAGGATTGTGGGAGGCGAGAAGAGTACGCCAGGGAATTGGCCATGGATGGCAGGTAAAAGCTTTAAAGTTTTTGAAGTTTTGAAGTTGCTTAAATATTTCGCATAAAAACACCTTTCGTCCACAGCAATATTCTTACACGGGCCAAAGGGGACCGAGTTCTGGTGCGGTGGGACCTTAATTTCCAAAAAATATGTGTTAACAGCCGCTCATTGCACTAAAGATCAGAAACAGAAATCGTAAGCTAGCTAGCATTCAAATTAAGACATTTGAGCTGTTCATCGTAATTTTTATGCTCAGGTTCAGTCCAAGGCAGTTCACCGTCCGTTTGGGCGATTACGATCTGATGAAAACCGACGACCCCTCAGCCCCAGAATCTTTTCGCGTCGCAAAGGTATATATATTTCCATTACGTTATATATACTCCTCCAGCCTTCAGATTTCTCATATTTGAACTTGTGTACTCAATATTAAGATCAAAGCTCACGAGAATTTCAACGGAGTTGGATTCTACAATGACGTCGCATTACTGGAGTTGGATCGCGAGGTTGACTACAATCGATACATTTCGCCAGTCTGTCTCCCCCAAGGGCGGACCAGACTGAACTCTTTTGTCGGCACGTATCCCACAGTTATTGGATGGGGGACGAATAAATATGGAGGACGAGAACATACAGCCCTTCAGGAGGTCAAGTTGCCCGTATGGTCAAACGCTGACTGTGACCGGTCCTACTTCCAACCAATTACTGACATTTTTCTGTGTGCGGGTTACCCTGCTGGAGGTAGGGACGCTTGTCAGGGTGATTCCGGTGGTAAGTGTATAAAGTATTTAATAATTAATTATGCATTTGATGTTGCAATTAATTAAATTTTATGTAAAGGCCCCCTTTTGCTGGAGATGGATGGGCGTTGGACACAGATTGGAATTGTCAGCTTTGGAAATAGATGCGCTGAGCCAGGTAAGTCGATTGTGGGAGTAAATTTAGAATTAATTAGCTAAATGCTTATTGATTTATGTAATTATTTTAGGCTATCCTGGAGTTTATACGGCAGTAGATAAGTATGCTGATTGGATTCGCGGAATTATTGCTAGGTCATAATTACATATCGTCTTATTAATTTTGTTAAGTAGTTTGATGGATCGAAAGTAATTCTAAATTTATGTTAGACTACATCACAACAACAACCACTTATATAATATTAAATTAGAATAGGATTGTGAAAAACTTGATTTCATTATGTCATTAATTTACTTGAAATTATGCATGTACCAGGTTCTTTGTTGTTGGCTCAAAGTCGCGTGGTCCATATAATTACAGGAATTTATACATTTCTATTACGTAGTCGCATATAATATGATCTTGGCTGCATATTTATATCACTCACCTGGTCTAATACCGAATACCTTTTAGCAAGAAAGTTCCTTATTTTGACTGCCGTGGATAAGTTCGATATTGATGAGGAGATGATAATTACTTGCACTGATGACTTTGCAAAAAATGCTTCAACACAGTAAAAAACCACCAAGTTTTCTCTTTAACAACAGATATTTACTAACATTCAAACTTAATATTGATACAAACAATTAGCACACTTGACTCTACCAATTTAAATATAAATATAATATAAATATAAATTACGAGGAGCACATTTCTCACTGCCTACTGGATCTCAAACAACGACCGAATGCTCGCACAACGTTCTTCCCAATCTTATATTGCATACAGATGGCGTGGCCAAAATACAACTCATGCCAGAAAATTTGTAAACTTTGACCTGTAGCTACGATATTATCTTACTCCGGTAATGCCCACCTATTTCTTATCGTATACTACTCAAGTAAATATAAATAATTACCTAAATCACAAATCGAGTTCTTGCCTCCACCAACTATTCTACCAAAATCCGTCCCCAATCATATACTTATGGGAAAAAACACTACAAATTTGATAATTAATAAATCTCTAAAACTATTTATCTGTGACTACATGTTTTTACCTTATTTTATACATAATCGATTTAACTAATTATGTGCGACATAAGAAAATTATCGGAAAATAACTTCTTGAGAATCTACCTGTAGTAAACGGCGTTTTACTATCCGTCATTTTCCCAACTTTTTACGCCCTAAAATCCTCACTTCTTATGCAATCAAGAACATTTCCCATTTAAGAAAACATAATTTGAAACTTATTTATCGACTCGTATAATATATTCTAAATTAAATTTAACTAATGACGTGTTCGGACCCGTCATACGCAAAACTGTACATACATACCACTGGTTTTGGAATTTTTTGGTCTAACTATTTTTTCATGCCGACAAGAATTTTATGATTCTAAACAACCATTTCAGTTTTTGTAAGACCAGATAATAAAGCATATATAATATAGGGATGAATCGCCTAATTTATACTCGTGCATGAATTGTTTTTGTCGACAAAACTACTGACTAGTTATTGTTTTCGAAACTTTGCTTTGATATCACTTAAAATAATGTCTTCATTTCTACCATCTTCATGAACAATAATGAAAGGCTCGTTCAAATCAAAAGGGTTGCGGTGTTGATGTTTCACAATTTCACCCTTTCTGTTGAATTGATTTTGAACAAAATCAAAGGATGCCTGACGTGTCGTCCCTGGGATACAAAAATACATTAATCGTTTGTATATTTAATTTGTTTTAGATACATGTAGATATGAAAAAAACCCTCACTTATCTCCTCAATGGTTGGTATGAAAAGTTCTCGTACTTCGTTGATTTTCTTCGTTAAATTTTCTCCTAGGTGGTCTCTTATATGTTTATCCAGATCGTCCGGGTTGATAACATTGGTGTCAGAAATTTGATTTCTTTCAAACGCTCTTAGTTTCGCTGCAACAACAGTTCCGGTAACGTAAATAGGAAGCCTAAATGCAAGATCTGGTAATGCAATCCACCCTTCACGTAGTAAAATTCTATTTGTAAAAAAATGTATATTTACAAAATAATTCATAGCTAAACAATTGAATTTCAAAAAAACCAACCTTACTGAACACGCAGTTTTTTTAAGCTCAAGTGTGGGGTTTCTCTCATTTTCTTTCAAGTTTTTGATGCACACGTTAACTACTTCCCAAGCCACCTTACTGACATCCCAATATTTGGTTGCACCGACACATAGTCGAATTTCATTGGATATAGGATTGTAAATATGATAAACATATAGCACACGCAAACCTCCCTTGTTGATGTCTGTAAAATAGTCGATTTGTTATGCGCTTCAAGCTTTTCAATATTTTTCAGTTATTTATTATTGTCCTGTCTTACGTAAACGGTCATCCCATGTTTGATCTCTCAAAACTGGTTTCTTACTTGCGTTCATAGAAAATACTTTTAAATGGTGTGGAATGTGTCCCCTTTGTAAATGGCATATAATTGTCTTATCAGCACATTCCATTTCACAAACTGGACATTTGCTATTATTTCCAGACATGCAAAAATTCCTGCTCAAATGAGTTTGTAAGCTAGCGAGTGACTTCAAATTTGTATTGCATCCGTTTGGGCAAGTGAAGATCTCACTCGTGTGTTTAGAAGCATGACTGGAATAACATCATATAAGTTAGTAGGTTCTTATATTATTGTACAGTAAATACATTTATCAAATTCCGGCATACTTTTTTAAGGACCTTGTGTTGTTAAATTCTTTTTTACATATTTTGCATTCTTTTATGGTGACCGACTTTTTGGAGAGTTGTTGCTTTGTGTACTTCACTTTGCATATTAAGTATTCGTGGTAGAGGCAACCTCGAAGGTTTGCAAATTTTGCTCTGCACCGCTGGCATTTCCATTGATCTCCATTTTTATCTATCTTTGACCATGGGCTTTCTGCGGTTGTGATTTTTCTGAAATCAATTCTCTTACTTTTTTCGTCGTTGCTTAGCCTGCAGAATCTGTGAGTTTTTAGTCAAAAATTTGTTATTTTAGCATTAATTTTTTACTTTTACATGCTCATGCATAAATTAAGTTTATGATGAACCTTGATGGGCCTCCTTTTACACTTAATGTGTGCCTTTTGTCAATCCGATTTAGAAATACGTCTAGACGCCGTGCCGTAGTTGGCGTTCCGGAGCCAGTCGTCTCAGTTTCCGTAGAAGTATGACTTGTGGCGAGATTATCGACTGCTGAGCTTGGCCCTGGGTAATTCATGTCATATCTGAAAAAGGTACAATCAATTGGTTAATATTTATATATACAACGACATTAATTTAATTTATAATAATTGGGTTCTACGTATTAAATCTTAAATATTTTGGTGTTCGTTAAACTAACACGTGTTCTTCATGAATAATTGCAGATCTCTTATCTAAAATGTTTAATTAATTACTTTTATCAGTTCCTACTTTACTCATAGTACACGTTTCTAAATAGTTGATCATAATCTCATGCTTTTATCCTACAGATTATAAATTTTTGCATTCTGGCGTTCTGACCAACTAGTATAGCTCAAGCTAGTTTCTTTGTTTACATTTAGCAATGCTGTAATACCTGCTAATTTCATAAACAATTTTCGAGTTCCTAAACCTAGTATACAACCGACGAAAGTTCATTGAGAAAAAAGCTTACGCGTCATGTGTAAAAGTTGAAACATGGTACTCATCTCGGCGATCTTTTTTCTTTTTTCCCTTTGGTGACTGGGGGGTTTCAATTCGTCTTTTCCTTTGTACTGCTGCTGCTATTGGGAGGCAGGATGAGTTGAACTTATTAGTTTCGGCTACATCTTTCCTTGTTTGAGTTTCAATAGACAGAACTGTTCCTGATTGAGGTTGAACGTCAACATGGTTATCTATGTTGCTTCTGTTGGCCTGGATGTCAATTAACGTAGTAATTTTGACGTAGTAAATTCCGCTGATGTGTTAATTCTGTGTTTCTAGATTTTGTACATGTTATACATGTTATAGTATTTTAAAATCTTGCAAATGTTCGTTTTTAATAAAAAAGTTCAAATATTGTTTCACAAATCTTACTCGTTGTAAAGCTTTACAGCCTTATTTCTCCAAAACGTTATCTGGGTCGGGTAATTAGTCGTTTTTTTATAATCAGGGAACATTCGTAGAATAGCTGAATCCTCCGATTCGCCAGAAATTTCCATTGCAGAGTCATGGGAGCGGACAGGGTTCTCCTGATCGTGTGAGCTAAAATTGTGAACCCTCTGGGGAATCTTGGAAACAAATATTTTTTTAATGTGAACAAGCCTAAACTTAATGTAATAAAAATAAATATATAATAATAACCTGCGGTTTAGCCTGAGGATGCAAAGATTGCAGCGGCCGCCGTGACAACCGTGGCATCTTAAATGGCTTGTAGTTGCTGGTTTACTTCCAAAAAGCCCTGTAATCAATTATTTGAGAAACTATTTATATGGTTACTATGAAAATTTTGATGGAAAGAATACCTGATTTCTGGGATTATCGAGTGACCTTCTGACAATTACCAAGATTCCAACAAGCAACGCTTTGATGAGATTTATTCCAGGTGGGTGAAATAGAGGGGACGGTTGGTTAAGAATACTTTTCGTCGGACTGATTTTATCTGTTTGGATAAAAATTTGATTTTTCAGTAACTATGCAAATTTCGTCAGCCAGCTAATTATTTATTTTGTTTACATGATGCATTAAAAAAAATTAAATGTGGATTTTATCAAAGATGTTCAAATTTAGATCTAGTTAGTCTTTAGTTTTCTTAACAATTTTAGTCGTTGTTAAAGTTGCTAAAATTGCTATTAAATTGCCACTGACTTGTCACTATTGATATAACTTAGCAAAATAAATATATAAAATAAATAAAAAAACTAAGTTATAATATAAAGACGTAAATTATTCTATTTGTATTTGCCAACTAATCGTATTAGTTGAATTTTATTTTCTTTAGGATTTGTAAAATTCTTATTATATATTTCTTTCACTCAGTTATTGAAAATCGGTACACGCCAATGATTATTTAAATGAGAGCGCTGCGAAATCGCAACGTTCCACTCACCTGGCTTATCCACTACCAAGTACCCTTGTTTGACAAGAAAGCTTCTTCTTTGACTATACGGTTTATTTTACAAATTCAAGTGTATTAAAAATTAGGAGGAGCACAATTTCTATTTGCTTACTGGTCCCCAAACAACTACTGAATGCTCGCACAACGTTTTCCCCATTCTCATATTGCATACTACAGATGGCGTAGTGGTGGCACAATGCTCATGCCAGTCATATATTAATGGCATTCTGTAATGAATTTTATGGTAAATCTTGATAAAATACATTAATTTAACAAATTAGTGTAACATTGTAAATTTTATTAATTAACCCCAAACATGGAGTAAAACCCAGTAAAACCCAATAAAACCCCAAACCCCAGTAAAACCCCGGGGTAGTGGTTTTCGAGGTAAAACCCTGGGTTTTTCCGAACCCTGGCTCGGACCCGTCATACACAAAACTACATATTCTCGGATCAAAATAGCCTGACCCCTCATTTGCATAATACCGCATAAAGTCTGATAGCACACTTCGTCGCCACATTTAAAATTTGCAGTGGGAATGTGTATTAAACTTAATATACTTTATTAATAAATAAAATATAAACGTATTTATCAAATAATATTGCTAATCGACGGAATATTCAAATTACGAAGTTTTCCTGCAGCTGGATAAAATCATAGTTTATACTCGATTGACCAAATTTTTTGACTGGGTTAAAGCCAATGCAGTTTAAGTTTATCCATTCATTTATATGTACATTTATTTTGTATTGTGATATTTCGTATATTTAATGTGACACTTATGGTGTGTGTCCATTCCAGTATTCAACTAATCAAGAACTACTTAAAAAGTATGAATTTATGGCTAACAATAGTTAGTGGATAATAAAGATAATTAATGTTGCAAAATTTTGTGCGAAATTTTTCTTAGAAAATGCGTATTGTGAAAAATGCCATTGGTCAGATTTTATAATATTTATTTTTGTATTTTAAAATGCTTAAATAACATGTCAAAAATGAAATTCATAAAAATGATGAGCCCGTCATCAAACTCGATTTGAATTAAATTAGAATCCCATCCAGTGGAAATCGTGCGACTTAATTTTACTCCTTCTTTCCCATCCCAGATTCGCCATCTTTTTTGTGCGCTTTCAAAACGTCTCCGACTGGCTTCATCATCGGAGCGTGGGACACTTTGCTAGTAACGGTTCCAACGTCACGACGATACCGCTCACTCGAGATTCGAATGGGGGCCTCTTCCTCATAGCTGCTGGAGCTAACGACCACTGGGGCTTCTGCCGCCTCGTAGGAAGACCGCACAACGGGTGCTGACTTTACTACGACGGGGGCTTCGTAATCGGATGCCCTTGTAGCTGCTGGTTTGTGTCGGACAGCAAATTTGACCTTGGCAGCTGACCTGACCGGGGCCGAATATTCAGAAACTTCACTACGGACTGCAGGGGCTGAGTAGCTGGAGACTTCACGAACCGCAGGGGCCGAATATTCAGAAACTTCACTACGGACCGCAGGGGCTGAATATTCAGAAACTTCACTACGGACCGCAGGGGCTGAGTAGCTGGAGACTTCTCGGACAGCGGGTGCAGAGTATGACGACGACACTTCGCGAACGACAGGAGCCGCGTATTCAGACACGTCCTTCACAACTGGAACAGCAGGGGCAGAATATTCCTCCCGAACAACCTCTCTTACCGCGGGGGCTGCATAGTCAGAGGCTACTTGCTCATCAAGTTGGCTCCCATATCCCATCTCTTCCCGGACAGCCCTCCCGTAACCAGAAGAAGCTCTCGTCTCTGAAGAATAGGATGAAGATCGGACAGCAGTAGTGGGGGCAGAGTATGATGATGACCTTACAGCCGTTCGAGTTGATCCAGAATACCCGGATGAACTTCGTACTGCCGAGGAATATCCTGATGACCTCGTGGCAGATCGGGTCGCACCACCTCCATAACCATCGGCAGATCGGCGGTGCATCATATGTCCCTTGTTATCGTGACCCATGTTATCGTGACCTTTGCTGTGGTGCTCCATGTGGTGGTCTTGACGGAAGTGTTCTTCTTGGTGGTGAGAATTGTGGTGGTGGGAGGCATGATGTTTTTGATGGTGGCTGCTGTGATGTCTTCCTTTATGAGTATTCCTCCTCACTCGAGATGTGATATCTCCAATTACTTTATCGGCTACCTTGGCTTGCTTGTCGGTCACTGGGTTGCTGTCGACGGGAGGAGTTTTCTCCAGACCGGACTTGTGTTCAGCGTCGTGATGGGTTTTGTCGGCTTCTTCGGTTTTTTTGTGGTCAGATTTTTTGTGGTCGGTTGTTGTCCTCTTGTTGTGGGTTTTGGGTAACTTTCTGTGCTTGTGATGTTCACAGTCGTCATCGTCGTCATCATCGTCATGGTCCTTTTTCTTGTGGTGAACGGGAACCTTCTGCTTGATTACCTCACTGACGGGGATGGGTTCGGGTAGCATGCTGGGGTCCACTTCTCTGGTTTTCATCATATCCATTTTATGGTTGCTCATATGGCTGGTGGTTCGGGTGGTGTGATATGTTGGGGGTTTCGCCTCTGGAACTGTGGGAGCATCTGAAATGAGATAATTTTGACAAATTTTAAAATTAATCAGGTAATTAAGTAGACTCTGGGCATGGAATTATATTTAAGCACGACTTGCCTTTGGACTTTTCCTCCTCTACTTTATCCTTCTTCTCCTTGTCTTCTAATTTTATCTCGGGTGTTGCTTCAGATTCATGTTTCACTTCAGATGTTGGGATTTTAGATTGTGTTTCAGGCTTGGTTTCCGCTACGGGAGGGTCAACTGGTTTCGTAGTCACTGGTGTGGTTACCTCTGTCGGCTTCTCGGATGGCTTGATCGTCGTTTCTGGTAATGGAACAGGCTTTGTCTCAGGGCTCGGTTTAATGAGGAAATCGGGAGGCAGTGAATCAGCAATATCGGATGGGATCAGCTTCAAGAGATCTGCAGGCGTTTCTCTCCGATTTCGCATGCCCCCCATGGACGGCATTCCCTTCATTCCCATCATGTTCCCCTTCATCATTGGCATCATTCCCACCATGGCGCGCCCAGTTTTGTGCTCCGGTTCGAGAGGAAGAGCCCCACAGGCTGCGACCAGTGCCACGGACAAAAGTACGAAAACCTATAATGCAACGGAAATGAGATTATTTCATCATGTAACAAAATTGTGATTTACCAATTACCACCCAAAAAATTTATAAATTTAAAAATCACTAAATCTGAAAATTACTAACCTTCATAGTTTCCAAGAAATTGGAATCCTTCCAAAAATGCAACCCGTTTCCAAGATCTCTTCGTCTTGAAGTACTGAACTTTACATTTTGCAGTCTCCTTTTTATACGAATTTCAACAAAGAGGCAAATGCATTCATACGCATTTTGTCAATGACGCACGTTACCCGTGAGACCCTTCTGTAGATCGGAGAATACGTTTTCATAGGTAGCCTTGGCCTCAAAGGGCTCAAAAAGGTTGAATGACGCACATCACGGAATATACAGTCAGAGATTTGCCTTGATTTTTCACGGATCAACGGGACCTTAGAACTTCAACTTGACCTTACTTTGTTTACAAGGTTTATTTTGTTGTGAAGGAGAAATAAGATGCATGCAACGGCTACACGTAATACGGAAGTGGGCACTTCATAAATAGTTCAGTTCAGATTCCATAGTTTAGTACCTTTACCCTTCCTTGACCTTCGGAGCTGTGAATCCAGATCAAGCTGGACTTGACCTATGTAGACCAAAACAACAAATGAAGGGCATTTGTTGGGGTGTTTAAAAATTTACAGGTTGTCTCAAATTTATCATTTTGGAGAAACGTCACATGAAACATTCCTTAATTTATTCATTCCGGTGATTCCACTCATTACACATTAAAAAATAACCAAATTAGTCAAAACTGGATAGATATTCGTTAACTCATATAAAAAGTAATAGCCTTGTCGTTCCCTTCGCAATTGTCACAATGTACATCAAAACTGCGCTGGGCGTGATGTGATGAAAATTTCCAAAATGTAGTGAAATTGGCTTGCAAGATTTCCTAAATCGTTTAAGATACGCGTATTTCTCCTTCTGGGACGATGTGCAACGTTTGTTACTGATCGATTTAAATAAATGTGGAACTCGCCACGATTTGAGACATTTTTTTGAAACTTGTTGCGTATTTGCGAACACCATGAGAAGCGCGATCACACAAATGTTCATAGCTTGAGATAATCCCCCAATTATAAACACGCCCAGGAGTGGCATGACATCGTAATACCGTAAAAATAGCACATTCGCACCAATAGCCATCCTCGACGCGAGAAATTCCACCGGCATCAAATAATCCTTGTACGAATCTTCAAATCGGTTGAAGAATTTGCAAACTGCGAAAATTTAGAGTAAGAAAGTTCTCATTTCTGGTGAAATTTTTCGTCCAAGTGCGAGGCAAGTTGAGACTGTAGAGATTGAAATGTTATTCGTTATGTTACTAATATTCTCATGTCATCTATGCTTATCTTTGTTATTACTTTAGTTGATGATGCATTCTCCAGTGAATGACTGGAAATTGGAGGATAACTGTTACCGAAACCTAGCAAAGTGTCGCCAACCAATACACCCAGACTGCATTGAGCATGATAACACTCCATAAAAGTGGCAGGGATGAGTCCATTATGAGCGATGGCATTCCAATCGGCAGTTTTGGATTTGTGATCATGAACAGGACACAAGTAATCGGCTGTGCTTTAGAAAATAATTCTAAAAGATGTAAAATGTGGTCAATGATTGGAACCGCTTGGAGTCTTGGACCGGTATGGTCAGGTTTCAGAAAATGAGCTAAAGATAACACATCCGAATTTAATATTTGCCAAATTGTTTGCAAAGTTTACCAAATTAATTCGCTTACTAAGAAACCAATTTGCATGTGAAATGAAGGCGTTGACCATCATTGGAAATTGATACAGCTTCATCGCCGTGAGTAAATGCATCACGAGACAAACCGAGGCACACACGGCAAATGCGAGACAAATGTTTAAATTAAAAAATGACTCCGATGTGGAAATTGAACTTTCGTATTTTAACCGATTTGCAAATATGAGTGTTCTGGCGACGAGGAAAATGGCATAAAATATGAGAGTGGCGCAAAGCGTTTGCCAAATTACGAACTGTCGACACCGTCGTGGAGCAACTTGGATGTGAGAATTTTTAAGGATAAAAGGCAGCCCTCCACAAGCTTGAGCTGACTTAATTAATCTATAAAATCGAATCGTATCCATTGTTTTTGTAATTTTTTGATGTTGGGAAGTAGAAGAACAAGGAACAAAAATACGACTACCTGAAATGAGGTGGAATGACTTGCTATGGGACGCTCAATTTGAAATGTAGTTATTCGGTGCCTACTTTTGTTACTCTATTTTCTACCAGCGCAAAATTATTGTCATATTGTCATCACAAGACTTGATTGAAGGTTGTGGTTGTAAGAAACTAAAGAACAAACAGTGGTTTAACAGATACAATCAAAAATTGATATTTTCCGTACAATATCCACTTTACAAAGGTCGAACTAATCAAAACAAATCATGCTGAGGATGAGTGGTCAAGTCACATTCAGGCCAATATGCAAAAGTTTTTTTGGTTACCTTTTTATTAATCTAGAGTTTATACTTTATGATTTGAAATTCATCAAATGTTGTAAATAATCTATTACCAAATTGCATCGAGGAAATTGCAAGGCCTTCAAATTGCAAATTATATATTTTCCAGTTCAAGCTGGTTAAAAAAGTTGGACCTTGACATATGTTGACAAACGAATTACAAATCAATGCCATTTTTCATTCAAATGTTGTTCATTTTAAATTGAATTTCATTCACTAACTTCTTACCTTCCTGGTCGATTAGTGGCGAAGAAATTTGCAGATGCATATTTTGGATAGGACTTTACAAATTGTTCTTATCGAATGTCCGTACATTCGATAAGTTCATAACTGAATCAGACAGTGTTTTCCCTTTACCCTTTAAGAATTATTCATGCTGCAATAAATAACTTCGTCCTATTGATCAGTAACAAGAAAGCTGTCATTTTATACAAAATATTTTATTTGCAAAACATTTGTTGGCAAAAAATATTAATGTTCTTATGCATAAATTTGTATCACAGTTTAATCACGTTAAATAAATCTGCTTTAAATAGCCAACATTAGTCTCATCGTGCCTCGTAACACGATAACGCAATAACGCAACACAGCTTTCGGAGTGACGGCGTAAAAACTTCCAAAATGAAGAGCAATTGGCTTACAAGATTTTCTAAATCTTTCAAAATACGTAAAATCAAAATTTTGTTTACTAATTTTCTTCCCATTAATACCAAGTTTTGTTATTCTCGGATATCTCCATGATTTTAAACACTTGCTAGAAATTTTTTGACTTCGAGAAAAAACGAGCAGGAGGGTCATAAGTACTGAATTCATGCACTGAGACACTCCCCCAATTAGAAGCAGATTTACGAGGGAAACTTGCGAATCTGCCTGCAAAATGATAACGTTTGAAATTATGATCATCCTAGAAACGAGAAATTGAGTGGGCATCAAGTATTCTCGACACGAATCTTCGAACATGTTGTTTAGAATTCTTAAACTTCTAAAGTTGTTGACGAGATGGGTGAGTTGACGAGTTTTTGAGATTGTCCAGTACGTTGATGGTCCGCCGTTTAAACTGCGTTGGATTATGATTTACTTATTATTATTCATTATGTCAGTCTGGTTCAAGTGCCGGGGGATTGGAACTTAGTACCTGGGAAACGTCACCCAAAAGTTCCGATTCCCTGGACATTTTAGTTATGCAAGTTACAGGGAAACGGAACCCACTTGTCGCAGGATTTAGCGGGCTTCGATTCCCCGGTACCCTATTCGACAAAAGTTACGATTCCCCGGAACCCAAGATTTTTCTCCCATTTTTCATAAATTGGATATATATCCAAGAAAAAATTTTATTGTCTCAAATTAACCTCCCACCAATGAAGAACATTGGATAAAAAAATTAGAATTTTTTATAGTGGCGAAGTTTCCTAAAATCGCAAATATCTGACAAATTTGAGGAGCGGCAAGTCCAAAAAGGTACGGGGAATCGTCACCCAACAATTATTTTCAGGGAAAAATGCAATTATTTTGAGAGAAAAATAATTGTAACACAATTATAACGTAATAATTGTTATAATAACTGTAAAATAATTGTATTTTTCCCTGAAAATAATTGTTGGGTGACGATTCCCCGTACCTTTTTGGACTTGCCGCTCCTCAAATTTGTCAGATATTTGCGATTTTAGGAAACTTCGCCACTATAAAAAATTCTAATTTTTTTATCCAATGTTCTTCATTGGTGGGAGGTTAATTTGAGACAATAAAATTTTTTCTTGGAAATATATCCAATTTATGAAAAATGGGAGAAAAATCTTGGGTTCCGGGGAATCGTAACTTTTGTCGAATAGGGTACCGGGGAATCGAAGCCCGCTAAATCCTGCGACAAGTGGGTTCCGTTTCCCTGTAACTTGCATAACTAAAATGTCCAGGGGATCGGAACTTTTGGGTGACGTTTCCCAGGTACTAAGTTCCAATCCCCCGGCACTTGAACCAGACTGTATGTATGTCTCCCAATTACATTTTTAATGGTTGCTATAAAAAGCATGAATCGGTAACAATAAAAATTTGGTTTGGCTTTACATGAGTTATGTTTGACATGCGTGTCTCATTTTCATGGAATTTATGCATACAAACTCATTATTTTCATTAATCAACTTACTTTAATTGCTGATGTATTTTTGAACTGATTAATGGAAAATTGATGACTATAATAACGTAGAAAATGGACACAAGGCAGCAACCAGTAGACAACCAGTATATCCAGATTGAGTTTAAAACGATACACATTTTTCGAATAAACTGACAAACTGAAGTCGAGCATGGTGAAGTTTTAAACCGAAAAAGGGATGTCACTGCAAAAGCTACATGCGGGTCAAAAAATTGGATAAAAAACATTGCAATGGGCTCCAAGGTGGTAACAATGTCCAAGATCCGCAACATATGTTCAACAATGGGAGATTTTAGCTGTGTAGCCGCTGGGAGGATTGAGTTTGAAAATTCTGGCGAGGAAAATGCTCCAGTGACGAATTCGGCTAAAATTTGAGAAGGATTTCACATTCTCCAGATAAGCAAATTTGCATATTTATGTATTTCCACATACCATGAAATTTCTTCGTAAAACGAATATATCCATTCACCAAGATGCAGCCTTGCTTCTTTTTCACAATGGTTAAAACCTGTAGAACCGTCATGATGCCCATTGCAACCGTCATTGAAAGACAAACGTCGAAATCTAAGGCTTTCGAACCACCCCTACTTTTACCCTTTGCAAGCAAAATTGTATTCACGGCTAGAAAACATGTGTAAAATATCTGAGAAAATATGAAAATCTTCCTTTGAATTAGTTGACACTTTTTTGTAGATATTTGTAGTTCAGAGTTTTTGAAAATGAATGGAAGCGCACCTAAAGTTTCGCCTGCTTTCACCAGCTTTCTGAGGCGTTTTGTTTCCATTTTTATCAGTGTAATAGTGTTGTCAACCACCTTGGACTGAATGTCCCCATAGGAGAAAGGACATTCTATATATGTAAATACTAGGTGTTCCAAAGTGAAGGAGACAATTAAGTTGAAAATTTCATTCCTGAATTATTTATCATTTCACGGGCCATGAAAAAGGAGGAGATAAAGATAGGCAGCAAGTCTTAATAAAACCGTATCAGTGCACTGATATGGTTTGGTTGGTTTGTTGGGTTTCCGGGCAAAAGTGATGAAGTGTGGTGAAAAAGTAATGAAGAAAAGCCGGTCAACGGTCAAATGCTATTAAATCTAAAGAATATGTGTATGTAAAAAGGTCGATTTAGTTCGTACTAAAAATTTTCATGTCTAGACAGACCATCAATAATGCCTATGTATGTATGTACATATGTAGGTTCAGAGGGGCTATAACTTTATTAAACAATGAGCAACTGATGGCGCTTTCTAAATAATAAAAAATATTTATGCTGCAATAAAGGATTTAATATGCTATGAATATGTAAATGTGTCATAAATCATGTGATGGCTTTCCGTGCAATATTTAGGAGAGTTCATGGTGACACGGTTGACGGTGCAAACGGTTTTGTGTGTTAATAATCCTTAAATTTTATAAGGCTAAAAATCAAAAAGCCAGAATTTGTCAAGCCTTGAAATTGGCACATATGTACTTTAGAAAAATAGAAGAGATAGCAAAACGCAATGACAATCAATAACTTTATACCAAAAAATTTATTCCAAAAATGTAAAGAATCGATATACGACGTGGGCGAAATACCATTAATTACAGTAGTTTAATTTTTATCTCCTATTTTAAAATAATTTGAGTACATACATATGTAACCTGCAAGTGAAAGCTTGTAGGGTAAAAGTTAGATAAATATTTTTAAAAATAAAATGTTTTAGCTAATTACTTAAAGCCAACCATTTACATAATGAATTTGCAAAATATTCATACATAATTTGTATTTCGTATCAAAACCATCGATTATGCAAACATTTAATTCCCATCAATACCAATACCATTAAATATCTTCTATGATTAGCTTTACTGACGCACAATTTTTCCATTTACACGAAAACTGTTTATTCTGTTATTATTCCGACCAAAAATACACGGTATCGTGCTTTCACCGTTATTACGAAGATTATGGCGTGTACTGTACATACACCAATCTACAGATATACCACCGAATCTACCACCCGGGTACAACTAACCGTTTCCCCACGACCCTCGACATCACCATGACATCTCTGCAGCCGACAAACACAACAAATCGGGAACTTTCTACACTTTCACCATGAATTAAAAAAGCTCCTTGTTCCTATTGTACGATGGGGCAAGGACAAGGTCGGGTATTATTTTTTAATCAATTTTTTAAAAGAGTTTTGTATGCAGTCCTATAAAAATTATTGATCCATGAGGTACGACGGACTGCAGTAGTCTGCATAACAAAACATGGATTAATTTATTAATCTACGCAGCCAAAACCTATTTTGTTTCCTTGCAAAAAATATAGCAACACAAAAATAAGAATGGCACATTCTCTTCTTATGGCCACGAATACGGCGAAGACTGATAAAAACGAAATCATTGAACCGTTCGACAAAATCCTGCAGACTTTGATCACCTCGGTGTCATCATCGTTGGAAACGTCGTTCAAAACACAGTCCGGATATCCTCGAAATAATCGAGATTCTAAAAATCAGGATGGGATGGAATCCCTAAATAATCGAGATAACGTGCAAACTGCCCCAAGTAAATCTTACCCCAACTTTTGGCCACAAGCACTTTCTCCAATTGTCGTTGTACCTGAACCCTCTCGTGATGAAAGTGGTGGTGAAAACTTTGCCGTCACGACCAAAAAAAATGACAGTGCTCAGAGAAAATTTCGAAGTAAAAGTGCCAACACGCGGAGTGGGAATAAAACGAAGCCAAAAACTGCTAAATTGAAAAAATCAAGAGAACAAGAACCAAGCCAGAAGGATTGGATGACCGTTTTGGAAGAGCGATCCAAAGGTGAAATGACTAGAATAATAAAGCCCAACGAGTTTGAGGAGGAGAAGGAAGAGAGAAATTATAAATCTGTAATTATTCCATCCGACGGTGATCATGATGATGATGGGTCTTCCTCTTTTACCACGGAAGACTTTCCCCCACGAAGTATATTCACTGCTGGTAGTTCGGATGCGACGAGTATCGGATGGGCAGATGATGTAAATGAGCAATGGACTATTTACCATTCATTATATTCATAAATATTTAAAAATTATATTTCTAAATTTTATATTCAAGGCAATCGAGAGTGAATCTACGGATATCTTGGCACGACAATGGGCCCAAGTCGAGCAAGTTTTTCACTTCGACAATGAAGGGGTGAAACCGGAAGAGATGTCGGATGTCGTTTATCAGGAAGTGCTATTATGGAGGAACGCGTTTAATACCAAGTCTTCAACAAGAAATTTTAATTTTAAGCAGAATGCTGCCAAAATGTCTATGAGGTCTATGTCAATTCCACAAATTAATGTCAATCACAATTTTCAATTACATTCTCACATTTCTATTTTCTCTTGTTACAGTCTTCACAACAAAGATGATGATAAGTATCCCTCGAACTCGAACTTATCCCCCTCTCAACATCACAATCACAATCATCCTATAGTCAGAAATTTCACTGCCACCTTCCCAATCGCTACGTCGACCCCCCTTCCGACTGAATTCGAACAATCAAACAAACGATCTCCTCAAGATGATTCGCAATCAATCTCATATTCCCTCCAAAGACAAACTTCAGCATTCACGTCGAACCTCCACAGAGAAAATTTGGGGCTAGACCTCCGTCTTCCAACCACATTTTCGGGAGAAGGGGGACCTTCATTTGTGCAATCATGGTTGGAAAATTTGACCACCGATTTTCCCCAGATTAATAATCAAGACCGTGATGCCCACCAAGAAGAGCAACCATTCTCCCCTTCCTTACCAACTACTAAGTTTGATATTGAAGTATTTAACGACGATGATGACGACGAACGAGGGAGAGAAAGTCCGGACCACTTTATGTCTCAGAGAAGAAGTGTCGGATTTAAAGTTCAGAGACCAATCAGCTCCCAATATCTGAATCGGACGCTGGCAAATAGGGAAGAAATTAAAGGAAATGGGATTATGGACAATCGGGGTCCTAAATTATCGATGGATTCTAATCAGGATTTGAACAGCATGGGAGATTTAAACTCTGCGTATTTTAACGAAAAGAGAAATAACTTTTCAAACAGCGGTGCTTTTCGTCCGTATGCAAATGATCTTACTTCATCTCCTCTAAAGAAAATGATGACACCTAACCAACAGCAACTTTACCGACCTAGAAAACAGTCCGGCTGGTCGAGGCACACCCACTTTGAGGATGACGACTTCCTCGATCGCACAACACCCAACACGACCACGGCTTCCGAACAGGACGACGCTGGAAATAAATCTCGTAAAAATTTCATCAGTTGGCTACTCTTTGATGAAAATGATGAAAATTTAGCGCAAGATGGAAAACAGTTTGGAGTGGATAGCTGATAGGAAAAAAAGTTTTTATGATATGTATTTTACAATTTTTTTTGGTTATTTAGAATTTCAAGTAAAAATTGACGAAATGAATTGTACTTATTTCTATTGTTGAATTGTGAATTTATTTGAAGTTATTTTAATCAGAAATATATTTTATTCAAGGTGTTTAATAGTATGTAAAAATCGATTTGCTTGAGTTCATTCCTTTATACAATTTATGACCCTTGTGGTTTTTCATTATCTTCAAAAACCTTTCATCGAGTCGTACATTTGCCAAAACCTACATAAAATTAACGATTTTCAGTAAAGCAAAAACTTTAATTTGCATAGCTTCTAATAATTAATTTATTATGCAAATATCATATTTAACGCACCAGGATCAGGTCCATCGGTCAGAGAGAAGGGAAGTTTGCCTTCGAGCGCAGTTATTCTGTCAATATGGGCACCTGTTCCACCCCCAGAAATGGAGTTGCCCCCACCACAAAGCCCAATCGAACGCGCGATCGCATACCCGATGACTAAACCAACGACGAGAGACACTGTAAGGGCGCAAACGGTCCCGTTCGCTTCAGAGATTGTGATTTCGCCATTAAGCAGCTACATAATTATTCATGACACGAATTAGTTGCCGAATTATTAAATAACCGAATTAGTAAATAATCTGTAATACCCGCCGAATAATTGTGACATGTCCGTCAATAAAGTCACGAACGGCACGAGCCCAGTCCGCATTATCTCCAGCCTCTTGGTCACGGTTTCGTGATTGTGAGAGAACATTGAGAACTTCTTGACTTCGTCGGGCCAAGTCTTTCGCCGCAGCAATGGTCCCAGCGTCGCCACTTGTTGGACCACCACCACCACCTCCAAACCAGGATGAGAAGAGGCCACCTTGTGCATTGTTGCTGGTGTCACTTGGTCCACCTGTAGACGACGAAGAAGGACCTTGACCTTGATAAGTAGATTGTCCCGATGGTTGCTGCTGTCCAGGAGGAAGGTTGGTGGTAGATCCTGGAACCCCACTATTTGTTGAGCTCGTAATGGACAAGTCACTTCTGGGGCCAGGTACAATATTACCATGTCCACCTAATTGTGCCTCACTCGTTTCACCAGAGGCTTGATAACCTCCTTGACCTTGCATTCCACTCGGGCTGGACATTTGATCTTGTATTTCGCCCTGACCGGGCAACTGACCTTGCATTTGGCCTTGGCTGGGAGACATACCTTGCATTTCACCCTGACCGGGCGACTGACCTTGCATTTGACCTTGGCTAGGAAACTGACCTTGCATCCCACCCTGGCTGGGCATTTGACCAGCCATTTCTCCTTGACCGGGTAACTGACCTTGCATTTGGCCTTGGCTGGGAAATTGATTTTGAATTTCGCCGTTACTGGGCAGCTGACCTTGCATTTGTACTTGGCTAGGAAGTTGATTTTGCATTTGGGCTTGGCTGGGAGACAGACCTTGCATTTCTCCCTGGGCGGGCAGCTGACCTTGCATTTGTCCTTGACTAGGAACCTGACCTTGCAGTTCGCCCTGGCCGGACAGCTGACCTTGCATTTGACCTTGGCTAGGAAACTGACCTTGCATCCCACCCTGGCTGGGCATTTGACCAGCCAATTCGCCTTCACCGGGAAACTGACCCTGAATTTGGCCTTGGCTGGGAGACAGGCTTTGCATTTCGCCTTGACCGGCCAGCTGACCTTGCATTTGTCCTTGGTTAGGAAATTGATTTTGCATTTGTCCTTGGCTGGGAAATTGATTTTGCATTTGTCTTTGGCTCGGAAATTGATTTTGCATTTGTCTTTGGCTCGGAAATTGATTTTGCATTTGTCTTTGGCTCGGAAATTGATTTTGCATTTGTCTTTGGCTCGGAAATTGATTTTGCATTTGTCTTTGGCTCGGAAATTGATTTTGCATTTCGCCCTGCCCTGGTATTTGACCTTGCATTTGACCCTGTCCGAGGAGCTGACCTTGCATTTGTTCTGCTAACCCTGTTTGGCTTGGGCTTTGTGATGCATACCCGGCTTGACCTGGAATTTGTCCTGGGTAAGCACCTTGGTTCATTGCTAACATTCCACCTTGACTCTGAACAGGACCTTGTGCCCCTCCTTGTCCGGAAATTTGCCCCGGAAATGCTGCCTGACTCCCCGAAACTTGTGAAGTATAACCATTTTGACCTTGCATTTCGCCTTGATTTTGCATTTGGCCCTGTCCGGGCATTTGACCTTGCATTTCGCCCTGGCCGGGGATCTGACCTTGCATTTGTCCGGGTAATCCTGTCTGACTTGAACTTTGCGATATATTCCCGTCCTGACCTGGCATTTGTCCTGTATAAGAACTTTGAGCAACTCCACTATTTGTTGAGCTCGCAATTGACAAGTCACTTCTTGGGGGCTGAGATAGGTTTGAGACGCTACTTGTAGGGAAAGATCTACCGGACTGATTGGAGATATCTTCCCCAGTGGCAATATTATTTTGTCCACTTAATCCAGCCTCATTCATTTGACCGGTGGATTGATAACCTCCTTGACCTTGCATCCCACTCGGGCTGGTCATTTGACCTTGCATCCCACTCGGGCTGGTAATTTGACCTTGCATCCCAGTCGGGCTGGTAATTTGACCTTGCATCCCAGTCGGGCTGGTCATTTGACCTTGCATTTCGCCTTGACTCGGCAGTCCACTCTGATTAGGCATTTGGCTGAACAGTCCACCTTGGCCGGCCATTTGACCCTGTCCAGAAATTTGACCATGTCCCAGCATTCCTCCTTGGTCGTTCATTTGACCCTGCCCCGCCATTTGACTCTGTCCTGCCATTTGACCCTGGCTTGACATTTGACCTTGTCCTGGCATTTGACCTTGTCCAGCCGTTTGACCCTGTCCAGCCGTTTGACCCTGTCCAGCCATTTGACCCTGTCCAGCCATTTGTCCTTGTCCCAGCATTCCTCCTTGGTCGTTCATTTGACTCTGTCCTGCCATTTGACTCTGTCCTGCCATTTGACCCTGGCTTGACATTTGACCTTGTCCTGGCATTTGACCTTGTCCAGCCGTTTGACCCTGTCCAGCCGTTTGACCCTGTCCAGCCATTTGACCCTGTCCAGCCATTTGTCCTTGTCCCAGCATTCCTCCTTGGTCGTTCATTTGACCCTGCCCCGCCATTTGACCCTGCCCCGCCATTTGACTCTGTCCTGGCATTTGACCCTGCCCCGCCATTTGACCCTGGCTTGACATTTGACCCTGTCCAGCCATTTGTCCTTGTCCCAGCATTCCTCCTTGGTCGTTCATTTGACCCTGCCCCGCCATTTGACTCTGTCCTGCCATTTGACCCTGGCTTGACATTTGACCTTGTCCTGGCATTTGACCTTGTCCAGCCGTTTGACCCTGTCCAGCCGTTTGACCCTGTCCAGCCATTTGACCCTGTCCAGCCATTTGTCCTTGTCCCAGCATTCCTCCTTGGTCGTTCATTTGACTCTGTCCTGCCATTTGACTCTGTCCTGCCATTTGACCCTGGCTTGACATTTGACCTTGTCCTGGCATTTGACCTTGTCCAGCCGTTTGACCCTGTCCAGCCGTTTGACCCTGTCCAGCCATTTGACCCTGTCCAGCCATTTGTCCTTGTCCCAGCATTCCTCCTTGGTCGTTCATTTGACCCTGCCCCGCCATTTGACTCTGTCCTGCCATTTGACCCTGGCTTGACATTTGACCTTGTCCTGGCATTTGACCTTGTCCAGCCGTTTGACCCTGTCCAGCCGTTTGACCCTGTCCAGCCATTTGACCCTGTCCAGCCATTTGTCCTTGTCCCAGCATTCCTCCTTGGTCGTTCATTTGACTCTGTCCTGCCATTTGACTCTGTCCTGCCATTTGACCCTGGCTTGACATTTGACCTTGTCCTGGCATTTGACCTTGTCCAGCCGTTTGACCCTGTCCAGCCGTTTGACCCTGTCCAGCCATTTGACCCTGTCCAGCCATTTGTCCTTGTCCCAGCATTCCTCCTTGGTCGTTCATTTGACCCTGCCCCGCCATTTGACCCTGCCCCGCCATTTGACTCTGTCCTGGCATTTGACCCTGCCCCGCCATTTGACCCTGGCTTGACATTTGACCCTGTCCACCCATTTGTCCTTGTCCACCCTGTCCAGCCATTTGTCCTTGTCCTGGTATTTGACCCTGTCCAGCCATTTGACCCTGTCCTGGTATTTGACCCTGTCTAGGTATTTGTCCTTGTCCTGGTATTTGACCCTGTCCAGCCATTTGTCCAGGCATTCCTCCTTGGTCGGTCATTTGACCTTGTCCAGCCAGTTGTCCTTGTCCTGGCATTTGACCTTGACTGGACATTCCACTCTGACCGGTCATTCCTGCTTGTCCTGGCATTTGACCCCGTCCAGCCATTTGTCCTTGTCCGGGCATTCCACCTTGCCCTGGCATTTGACCTTGTGCTGGTATTTGACCCTGACCTGGCATTTGCCCTTGTCCTGGTATTTGACCTTGACCTGGCATTTGCCCTTGTCCTTGTCCTGGTATTTGCCCCTGACCAGGAATTCCACCCACACCGGGCATTTGACCTTGTCCGGGCATTCCACCTTGTCCGGGCATTCCACCTTGACCTGGCATTTGACCCTGTCCAGCCATTTGTCCTTGTCCTGGCATTTGCCCTTGTCCTGGCATTTGCCCTTGTCCTGGTATTTGACCTTGACCTGGCATTTGCCCTTGTCCTTGTCCTGGTATTTGCCCCTGACCAGGAATTCCACCCATACCGGGAATTTGACCTTGTCCGGGCATTCCACCTTGGCCGGGCATTTGACCCTGGCTTGGCATTTGTCCTTGGCCGGGCATTTGACCCTGGCTTGGCATTTGTCCTTGGCCTGGCATTCCTTTTCCTCCTTGTTGATCATTGTACGGGTCTTTTCCTTGGTCATACGGTTGCTTTGAACCTGGTGGCCCAAACAGCGTGTTTACTTCCTTTTGATCATCTCGTCGCCCTCCTTGCGGACCTTGCTCCTGTTCTCGCAATTTTCTATCGATGTAGTCTGCTAAATATAGTGGAATATTGTCCGGTTGATGCCTTAAGATCTAAAGTAAGTAAAAGAAGCTCATATATTTTTGCTCATTATAATAATTGCATGTGAAGAGGCCAAGTGAAGTCCCACCTCTCCAGAAAACTCTTCAAGAAGTTCTCTCAATCCCTTTGGAATTCTGTACTCCGGTTTATCCGCCACGTTCGTCATTCTTATTTAGTAATCAGTAATTTTGCAATTTGAAATGAATTGTGTAACAAAAAATCTGAGACAAAAAAAACATGAAACTATTTTGTCTGAATTTATAAATGTTCTTAATATGTTTTCCAATAATTTTTGTCGTCGGGTTACAGAAATGATCAGAAAGTCGTCAAGTAAACTCATTATCATGATCATAACGGGTTACAGAGTACAGTTCATGGTATGAGTGCATGAAATCAAAATTGTTGTATTTATTCCACTCGGTCTATAATTTTACACTGCTAAAGTGCATAAGCAAGTTCATCATGATAACAACTATTTGGATAAGTGCACTAAATGACCAGACACGTACGCAATGCTACCCATTTGCGTATGATGCTAATATTTGCCGTGGTCAAATAAATTTTTGCATGGAGTATTGAGCATTGTAAACAAAGGTTTTGCATAAAAGTACAGATGCACCACGTTATGTGTTATTTGCGATAAGCGCATTAGATGTCCAAAGATAACTGTCTCGTGGTCTAAACAAAGGCAGAGAGGGCTTGACAACAGGTGTCCACTTCAGTTCAGGGTGACGCTGAACCTGCAAATAATTTGCCAACTACGCTACTACATACATACATTTGTACATATGTAGTTCCTCCAATTGACAGCACAAGTTAATTTAAACCTTTAACGAATCCTGACCCAACCTTATCTCGTCATTCATATTGTGCAAAGTTCTCTTGTAAAAAGAACCAAAAGATAACCAAAATGATAACCAACTGTGTGAAATGTTTTTATAAAAGTGTTGAATGCGAACTCTATTCATACACATGGAGAACGTATATTTGCTCTAATCGACTTGTCACATTTGTCACAATTTGTATGTGTAATGCCCCCAAATAATAAAAAGGGTCCTACGGGATCGAAATATCAAAAACCTGGTGGTGGCAGCGTCAATATTTCAGAAAAAAGTTCCAGAAAAACTTTACAACATTCCGACGAAAATGTAAAACAAGAGTCACAAATTCTCAATTTGGTCTCGTATCTGTTCTTCTGGAGTGAGAAATATGATGACAATCTGCAAAAAGTGTGGAATAAGTTGCCCACCGTCGTGGGAAGCGTTGTGGCTTCTATTGCAGTCTTTATTTTTGGAATTACTGCGAGAGGTACATACTTACACATGCACATCGATTAAATGCGATGAATTATCTACTAACGAACTTTATCTTTAGGCGAATGGATGATTTTTGCCGTGTATCTCTACAAGTACATCCAGACCTCAGGAAGTCCGACGTACAAGGAAGAGTCGGAACAATTATTCGAGTCCACGACCGACTGGCTTAATGTGCGCTTCGAAGGATACTGGACAACTTGGGTTTGGTCAACTTCAATTTCATATCTTGTATACTTTGGGCTGGGAGGATTTTTACATGTAATTAATTTATCATTTAAGTAGTTGTACCTACAATTAACTCTGCAGTTACATTCGAATTAATAATATTTTGCCGTTAGTGGTACTATTACGTGAGACAAAGGGATCGACCCGAAGATTGGAAATGTCAACCACAAAAATGGTTGAGCCCCGAGTTGGAACGACACGAAATTATGGTGAATAATTAATTAATAATAATTTTTATGCCGTACAACCAATTATTAATAAAATTATAATGTTAGATTGGTTCGCTCAGTCTCGTTTTTGGAAGGTACACGAAAATTATCATTCCGAATTTCCTGCGAGTGAATCAAAATTGTATAATTTTTATAGCGCAATCTCTGCCGCAATTTCGACATACGTCGTAAACGGAGGGAAAGCCATTTGGCTATATTTAAATCCCAGTGAATACGGTTACATTTGGTTGGTCTTGCAAGTCCCGTTGGTGTTTATTTATCAGGTACATCATTCATTCATTCATGCTTATCTTGTCAAGTGGCGTTACGTGAAATAATGAAATTTGTGTCCTAACAGGACTACATGACCTACTGGTAAGGACATGATAAATAATATGTATGGCGTCAACATGATATGCTAAACATGGTTAATGTATATATGTACAGGCATCACAGAATTTACCATACGCCCTTCCTCTACAAAAACTTTCACAAGCTGCACCACACTTACAAACAACCCACTGCTTTCTCCGTGACGGTAATATGTAATCAAATAGACGTATTATTTACCAGAATAATAATTAACGTACTTACTAATAGTTGCTAATCATAAATTTATTTGCAGGCAATCCACCCCGTAGAATTTGTCCATATGCAATGCGTCCTTCTCTCAGCGCTGTTTGTGGTACCGGTGTTTTGGTGTAAGTAAATTGTCATCATATAGAAATTGTCAATGAGCATAATTTCACGTTGGATGATTGCACAGTGAATTACGCCGTGATGATGGGTTATGTCTATTATCATGGAATTATTGACCATTCCGGGATCAACTTTAAGCGAAAGTGGTGGCAGGTCAGTACATACGAAATAATTATGTTGTGCCAAATTGTTTTTACAGTTTGATAATTATTTTTGTTTCCTTCCAGCCTTGGCAGGTAATTTGATTCCATCACTGATTCGTGAATTAAATAATCAACCAAATGTCCAAAATATATTTATGTATTTGTACATTCAAAAAATTTTGTAAATAGCCGGACTGCATCTTTCACGACAATCACCATCAATACTTTCACGTCAATTTTGGCTTCAACATCGAGGTACGCAATATGCACAAATAAATTATAGCTGCACGCACATTATTAATTTGTACGTATTTTAAATTATCATTCTAGTACTGGGACCATTTGCATGGCACCTACCGTAAAAATGACCGCATCTATCGCGAAGATATCTACTACGGGCAGGGGAAAGCAATGAGTGAAGCGTCAATAGACGAGATTAAGTCTGAAATTGAAGAACGCAAGTCGGAGAATCCGCTAGCTTATCCGGAAAACAAATATGGATACGATTTAGACGTTAAAGTGGGTGGGACGACGGCGGGTGGTAAGAAACGTGGCAAGAAGTGATAGATACATTTCACTTTAGTTAATAGGTATGTTTAGTGTTCATCTAATATAGTAATATTACTGTGACAAAATGTCAACACGCATAATTTGAATAAACGTTTAAAAAATATTCAATTCGTATCAACAGTAAATCTACATAATATAATCTCAAATTAAATTTATTTAAAAACTGTAATTGTCATTGACATTCGCGATTCTTATTCTTAACGCCATAATAAATCATATTTGTCCTGATTTTCTTCAGTTAGTAAAGTGGGGGACAGCCAGGGTCGAGAAAGTCCTTCGGACCAATGAGACAAAAGTTTGGTTGAGCTCTGATCATGAGAAACTCGTTGACTGCTGCCATTTGCTGATGAGTCACACTTCCATCCACTTTCACCAAGAAGGCGTAAATTTCCCAGAAATGCATGTAAGGAATCATGGCATCAACCCCTTCCGGTTGTTCTGTCAAAACTTCACACACGATTTTCATTGTGTCGGTCAAATTCTGCAAGATTATTATGACAATAATAATTTATTTGAAATTTGACGACAGAACATATGCAAATATCTACATAGCTGAGATTTTGCATGTACCTTTCCAATAGACCCGCATAAAACTCCAAGCAACTTTTTCCAGTCCACTTCCATTTTCTCAAACATTTTTCCCGTGCGTAACATTGTGTCAAAAGCTTCTAGGGGAAGGCAGAGGGCGATCCATTTGGCCCGAATGTCCTCAACTTTTACCTTCAGTTTTGAAAATGTTTTGATATCGCGTCCTCCCACCTAATAAAACAATCAGTAAATTATGTAAATTATCATCGCATGTCCGTCTTAATTGGCTGACCTGATTGTTCAAAACTCGCAAGTATCCCACGGTAAGACCATCCTTCGACTCGACCTGTGGGTACTCAAGCGTCTCCTTCACGGGGGGAACTTGACCCTCAGCCAGAGCCCGGAAATAGGCTCCCGTCCAGTGGACTAGGTCACGCGGCTGTGTTCGCATCGCTGCTTTAGTGAATGTTTTCAGAATGTTGGGTAATTTTGGTGGAATTCGGATCTGTTCAGAACAAAATTTTTCGAGATCTTTCCGCTCATAGCCGAATTCTGTCATGTCGATTTCATTGCTGGAAAAGAGAGGGGTAGTCGAGTTTGGGGGTTCTCCGGGATGTTCCATGGCCATTGTTGCTTCGAAGATGAACCCAGAATCTTTGATCGAGTTTATGTAATTCACATTTATTAGGGAGCAGTAAAAACAAGCAAGATTTATTACTACTTGTAGCAGTAGTAGTTATATTTATTCAGTTCCGTGTAGTTTCGCATTACAAGCGCAAATTCCGATAATGCACAATAATTGCTATCGGTAACTGTTAATTCATTTCATTTCCATTACATAACAAAACACTAAGATATGCGTATGTAAAATAAAATCAGCATTGGAATACTTAACTGAAACTAAATACTAAATGCGTAATGAGATTCCTTAAAAATGCGCGTAACATGTAAGCACGGAAAACGGAACATGAAATAGATAACATAACGATTGAACAATATTTGTTCACAAAATTCGTAGAGATAAATTTGATTATAGATTTATGTAGACTTGGCTTGAGCTTGACCTTATGGAGACGCAATGTTCTTAAACATTTTAATCTCCAGGTAAAAATACTTGGCGTGGTTTTTCCCCTCCATTTCCTTGCAAAGTGGAACCAAAGTTTTCACAGGAATTGGTACAGTCTCTCGACGACTTCGAATCTTGCGGAAATCATAATAATTCCAGGAATGTACGTCTCGTGTCCAGCAGAGCAGCTAAATAAATAAAGTAGACAAACATGAAATTCTAAATAGCACCATTTGCATCCAGCTACATTTACATTTGCATACTCACTTTCTTCCCTTTCCGTTTGGGAGTATTTAGTGAATATTCAAACTTTTTGGCCATCTTCTCCCCTCCGACGAGAATCACCCAGAAATGGGCAGTGCTTTCGTTTCGATTTGATGTCGGGTCAATCACCGCGCTGAAGACGAAGGTTTCACCGTCACAGGTAAATTTCGTCGCTGGCCACCGGAATTCTGGAATGATTTAAATTTTTATTATGTTTTCGCAAGATTTCGTGTTTGAACTCAGGGGTCAATATTGTCTTTGCACAAAAAAGATTCAAGCAAATTTGAGTTCTCCACCATAATAATAAAATAATAAAATGTATCCTTTCTCACCTGTTTGACTTTGCAGCATATCAGACGGAAGTGCAATACTTACAAGGCCGAGACTATTAGTTCCCCCGTCAATTTCAGGGTAAACGGTGATCTTTCTGATACCATGAGATTCCAAATGCTGGATCATGTTGGCCTTTGTAATCTTACGATTCGCACATTTCTTGGATTCTCGACAGCGTACCTCCCATGACCTGTGAATTGTCAATTTAAATATGTGCAATACTACGATATACAAAATACAATATACAAAATGTATTCAAAAATTAATTATGGAGAAACTTACTGTGCAAGATTTTTGTGAATCTCGTCCTTTTCGCCGCTGCTCACGGTGAGGGGACAGTCCTTCTTGCAAGCGTAAAACGGATGGAAAGACTGAACACCACATTTGGAACAGGTCACCGGCGACCCAAGATGGACCTCTTCCTCCTCCACCTCCATTGGAACTTTATTCGTGGACACCATTTCGGAAGAAAATAGTTAATTAATTGTGGCCGAACTAAAAATATTTAATTGCAGCCATGTGTTTGAGTGAGTGCTGAAATGAGACTGAGATTATTGATTGTTTGTATTTCAAGTTTGTGTGTTTGCTAAAAGTCGAGAAGTGAGCAGACGAGTTTTTGTGTACAATTAATCGTCTCATATGACGACTTGCAAAAAAACTTGATTTCTATTCACTGTCCACTACCACTGCCAATATATTGTTTATAGTATTTATATTATCTTGCTTATTTTTATTTCGCACTTGTTATTAGATTTTTTATCGAACTTGTCCAACGTAAAGATGAGAAAGTAGTCAATGTGAGACTGAGATTTATAGTAGTGACTGATTCAGGTTTGGATTTTGGGATTTCTTCAAACGCCTTTTTCCAAAATGCGTGGGACCAAATTGTCTAAATGATATAAATACTTCAACACAATGCTTTTATCCATGTGGTTGTGGTTGTGGCTTATTTATTATGCATAATTTTTCATCAATTTGACCCAGTTTATTTTGCAAACTTTTGATCTGGAACTGTGTTAATAACGTTTAACTGGTTTTAGCTGTGTAATCATTGTATAATTTACTTTACAATGACATAAATACACGTTTATGCACGTAAATTGTGTAGTAAGTTGTAAGTCACAGCATAGAATAGCAGCTTAATTCAAAACATATATTTAACCTTGAGGCTAGAGCGTCTAGTAAAACTTTAACTTTAACGGAAGGTTCATATGAGGTAATGCACAATTTGAATGATATGCACTATACATCGCTTGGATTGTATTATTTGTACGTTGTTATGTTGGGTATTTCTTAAAATAGAAATTAAACACCCGGTCCGATCCGACGAAAAGCTTGACACAAACAAACACGCAACTACTATCGCTCATTCAAAATCCATACGTATTCTTAAATGAGTCACCCTTCTAAAGTGTAACGCTTTACATGTATATCAATATCACTTGGAGCCAGGAAAATAAATGCTGTTTTTTAGACCATCAACTGGCCATTAAATATTATAGTTTTTCTTCTAACGAACCTCACAAACATGGTGTTCATTACTGGTTCGATATTTATACCAACAAAAAGGTATGAATATGTACTAGCAACAATATTGCACTATTCCAGTATGGTTCTCATGCATATCTACACAACACATATTCCCGTCACACAGTAATTAAAGTATGTAATGTACATATGTATGTATGGCAAATCCAATGAGAGAAGTCTTCTTACTGCAAACACAGATTTATCTCGGTGAGAGAAGCCACCGAGCTGAGTTTGCAATAATTATGATAACACATTATGTAGGAGATGCTTACATGTTCGCTCAAATCTAACTTTAAATGACGGCAAATGCATGAATGTCTCTACAGGTATGTTTATCCTTAATGCAACGCTTAATGGTTGTGGTTCTTGTTACAATATACACAATAATGCCACCATATTTCGTTCTGGAGCTGTATCACATAATATAAAATATCTGTATTTATGTATGAGGATTACCACGTTCGTTAGTGATGAGCAGAATGGGATTGAATTGAATGGCTTGAAACTACAAGATATCTATCACGATTATCCAGGGAAAAAAATTTCTTGCTTGCTTGTGAAGATTAATTTGTGCTAAATTAATTTTTCTGTAATATAAATCTACTGTATAATTAATAATTATGCACACTTTACGTATGTGAATAGAACGTGAAACTCAGATCTGGATTATTTAGTGATATATTTGATAAAATAGATTGTATTTACTACAGTACAAAGTACAACTGCACACAGAAGACAAAATTGAGACTGCTTATTAAATATCTTAAACCAGATTGTTTATACTAGTTTTCTAGCTAGGCATGATATTTTTTGTTACATCTGAAAGACAAATATATGTGAAGTCGTTTACGATAACAATTTCTATCTCCGATGAAAATGTAAGTCATTACGTTCAACGTAATACGTTGAAGGTCAACCACAACTTTGTATGGCCATGCACTTGACACCGGTACTGCACAATGTTACATACATACATATGTATGCATCTTACAGATTATGTACACAAATACGTCTACATTCTATGAGTTTAATACAAGATCAATAAATAACTGACTTGCTCTCGCTCACAAATTTGGATTTAACGTCTTATTTGGAACTGGCCAGTTCATGAAATTCGATTTTACAATAAGACACCCCCAATAAACCCCACTGAATATGAAAAACAGGGTGAGGAACATTGGAAAAGCGACACTCTCAAGAATCCAGATACATCTTAGAATTATTGCCAACTTTCTTTTCGCAGTGATTCTAACTTTCCTCGCTTTGACGTAAAATCCGTGACCATTTTCAACATCGTAAATCCCATTGTTCCATCGATTTGGAAAATTTTTAGTAGCACTTCGTACATTTACTGATACAGGAGGTGACATGTCTTGCGTTTCTTCCTTTTCGCATTCGATTTTTCTGTTGTTTAACCTGAACAAAGTACATAAATTTGTAACTTATTTAAGTAAGTTTATTCGCTGCATCGATTAAACAGAGTTAAAATTGTAGAAATTACCAGATTAGCAGGGCGAATTGTACCAGAATCAGAAAAACGAAAAATATGCTGTTGACCATCCAAATGTCTAGAGCCTAAAATTTTTAGGTACATAAATATGTATCTACCTCATTTACATACATGTGTACTTTTAATGGACAAATACCTTGACATATGCACTCTTTGGAGAACCTTGCCTATTTTCATATTGAAAAGATGAGAATAAGTATAATTTGCATTCTGTAATCAATTTACCTGTCTTGCATTGCGGTTAAAGTAAGTACGGTCGTCATACAAATTCCGACCCGAACCTCGACGAGCCGTTGCGGCATGAAGAAGCACAACCACGTTATCAAGATTAGGAGAAAGCTCGGAATGAAAGTTTGCACCACGTGGTAGCTTATTTTGCGTCGAAATATTATCTTGAAAGATAGTAGGTTAAATTTCTCATCTAATTAAAAGAGAGCAGAAATTTAGACCAAGTTTTATATATGTACAAATCCATTGATTTCTACATATCCATTTAGCTAAAGAATGATGATTACCATGAATTATTGCTTTGGATTGTGCAAAGCTCTCAAGTTGAACGTCAAAGTTTGGGTGGTCATGATCAGCAAAGACGGGTGGTTTCTCCCACATGAGATTCAACAGGTTTTCATTGTAAGAGACTTTGTAACAAATAAATATACAATTTTATCATAATTTCATAGAATAATTAACGACCCCATTGTTATCAGTTGAATAAGTACTTACAACCACGAATTCTAAAAGTGAAAGCATGCGTGTCCAATGGATAATATTCAAACTCCATTGGAACAGAGAATCTTAAGATGACCTTTGTAATGTAGTTTATGTAACCTCCTTCAGCATCGTATTTTAATGTTACGAGGTTTGACATAAGTTTGGGTTGGCTAGTTTCTTCGAGATCGTCTAAACGGGTAAAATAATGAAGTTTAAAAAAGTTCAACTTTTAACTAATTTTTCCCCCCATTTTACGTACAAATATACAAATTTGGTTTCCAAATTGCTTTAAGATACTCTGGATTGTTAAGCGTAATCATGTTTGGGATCCGATTGTTGTGTTTGCCTTCCCGAATTAAGTCGAGAACCTGCGATGGGGTAAGATTCTTTCGAAATGCTAACATTTTCCAATCAGTCCACCCCAAAATGATTTCCATGCCCAATGTGAGTTCCTATACAATGAAACCTTTCAGCTTATCCTTAGTTTGATTCGGAAACTTAAGTTAAGTCAAATACCTTGTTGACCTCGTCGATCTTCCGTATTGTCTCAATGGTGGTTGAAAATGAGACGTTTATTGGTGGCGTATAATTATTCACTGCTGAATGACAATTAAATTACATTTAAATACATTTTAACAATCGAAACTAATGAATTTCTGAAAGATATATATACCGGGGCTAAATGGGATTTCGAAAAAGTTATAGCCTTTCGGAATGTTTAAAAGTTTTGTTACATCATCCGTGTCCACACCAATTCTCGTCAGAATAATTGCAAGGAAAATGGCATGAATGCAGTTAAAATTGTGCATTTTAATAGTGAAATATGTGTACATGAAGTTGATGATTTTGTATAAAAAATATTCAAACAATAATTAAATGTCCTGCATTAGGATAATCCTTGACGTTTCGTGTGGTTGTGACACATGGCAAATTTTTATTTCTGTTAGTTTGGAACAGTTTTTAAATAATTTGACAATACCACATTCCACGTGTGTACTCGTAACTGAATCTTATGCATTTTACACAACAACTTTGTACATGTAAGTACATACAATGTATGTACGTACATCCACGACCGCTGGTGGTTATTATTGGTTTAGTGTTTTACCAATATTCCATACATTTTTGAATCTGGATGTTACATACTCTTTTAAGATTAATTTTGAATGTGGTAGATTATTCGTGTTGCACGCAAGCAATTTGAAGACGAGAGCGTCACGTACAACGTAGGGTACCAAAATAAGTAAGTACAAAAGTAAGATGAACGCACGGTCACTCCATGAAACGAGAAGAATCATGAGCAATGATAAATCAATAATTATTTGTCAGCAATGTTAAATGAGAAACGGTTAATTTATTGCATGAAATTATATTATGTAAAAATAACTATTTGTTATATAATTGTACTTGGCTTGAAGTTTGGCTTGTCCCACAAATCGTTTTTAGTTCTCTTAAATATATAAGAGAGTCTTAAATTAGAATTGCATATGTCAAATGTGGTGGTCCCACATTGCCAAATAAAACCTATGCAGCCTTAAATGGAGGTCTATTTTGAATCCACTCCTGAATTTCTGGTAAATTAAGAATGTACTCTTTAAATTTCTTTAAGCCAGGATGATCGGCCAATAAGTTTTTGTCCAGGGAGAGCTCAAAGAGTTCTAGATAACTGGCCAACGACAAATCTGCCCAGGATGTCTCATTCCCGGCGACATGCTTATTATCGTTGGCAATTACGAAAGTTTCGAATCGTTTTAACGATAGCGGGACAAGATTTGCCATCATTTCTTCCTTTAATTTGGCTTTTTTCTCGGGGTCACGATTAATTTGGAAATTTCTCCAGACTGAAAAAACATATAAGGCGTTACTTTTTAATGGTGAGGATGATTAAACAAATATTTATGTCAAGCGCATTTGTCTTTTACCAGTAACAATATCATTCAGTATGTCGACCACTTCGTCACATCGGGCCGCATCAAATTCGTCGTTAGGTACAAGGCCGTATTTTTTTCCTAAATTTGATCATAATTAATCGCAAGTCGCCTTAAATTACTGTTACATCCTTATTAATTACATAGTCTGACTGAATTCCGGTATATGTACATACATACCCAAATAGCGTGCAATTGTTGAAGATTGTGTCAATTGTTTCCCATCCACGTACAAAATCGGCATTTTCCCCAGTGGCGTGGCTGACGCAAGTATATTTAATTAATTATGTGTATACATATATAAATTAGTTGCATGCGGTAATACAGTGGTTACAAAACACATAGGTTTTCTGATTTCATAATACAAGTTATAATTATTACATAAACTTACATGGTTTCATGTCCGACCATTTCTTAAAAGGTATCCTCTCGTCGATATATGGAACTTTGGCGTAGGCGAATATGAGTCTTATCGGCTCGGCGATAGCACGAAGATCAAAATAGGTAAGCTTGTAATCCGGAGTTTTTTGGTTATTGTTATGAAGTTCACGGTTTAGTGGGATTTGTTGTAAAATTGCTGGATTATAAAGTCGATATGGTTTTATTTGACTAAATGACTGCAGTTTATGAATTACGGGTTGTACTATTTTGTAGATGGACATTTTTGATTAATTCTATTGAATTAAACAAATTTAAGATACTTGCATGTAACTTTTGCAAGATTGACGTAAAAAATTTCCCGGAGTGATGTTGTAAGAGTTCTGTTTAGAGATGAAAATGCATTCCGTGTGATAAACATCGTTTCGCATGTGAAAGAGTAATATACGAAGAACTCAAATAAAGTACAAAGGTCAACTTCCCATTAACTTAACTCACATTATGTCAACTAATTGATGCCCACCGGCCTTGGGCTCTCTAATTACTTCAGCAAAGTTTTTTTTACACATTTGCTAAAATGATGATACCAAACAATTTTTCATACGATCAGATTTATTCATGATGTAAAATAAAATACAATTTGTTACAACAGGTAATATTGATAAAAGTTTCAAGTTTTTAAAACAATAAGTTTGTTGACCTTTAAAATTTTAGAAATTAAAAATTCACTTATTGATTCTTTTTCTTATTTAAATTAAGTGATTTTTTGTCTTTCGAACTCCCCCCACAAACTTTCCTCACGATCCATCTTAAGGTGGCGAAGATTATGTACAGAGCACCAAAAATTATGGACAAGTATGCCGCAATTACGTCCAATGAGTGGTACTGGATGAAATTTAGCTTCCTAGAAGCACTTCGAAGTTGGGGGGCCCCTAGTTAAGATTCAAACAATAAAGTATGTCAGATTTGCATAAAAAGTGGTGGTTAGCTTGGTACACAAATAAGTGTGCATGTGTGCTGACCTTTGTGTCTCAGGACATATTCAACCCAATAAACGCCACGAGTTAAGGGATCGTTTGGCTGGTCTTTAAATACTTTGGAAATTTTTTGTACAGATTCTCGATATCTAAATTTAATGAGAATACAAATTTATGGTTTTTGTATTATAATAATTGGTATATCAAGGATTGGATTTATTTTACTGTTTGTTGTTGAGGACTTCATGAATTGCTGTCGTCAGTTGCTCCTCGGTCACCGTGTTCCAGTCAAGTTGATATAAAAATCCTTGATTTTTGGCCAGTCTAGCATTCATGTCTTGATCACCAAACATTGGAAATCTGTAGTTCAATCATTGCAAAATATATATAAAAAAAACTAATTCGTTGTTTAATTATGATTAATTTAAAAATTTAAAACCTACCCAATGAGTGGAACTCCGCTAAAAATCAGAAAATCAATTGTTTATATGATTGACTTGTTAGAGATTAAAGTGACCTAAATTCTTACTGGTAAATGGCCTCTTCCGTACCGCCCCCACCACAATGAGTAATAAATATCCTGGCGTTCTTGTGGCCGAGCACGTCCTGCTGGGGAAACCATTTGCTGAGCTTTATATTCTTTGGAAGGTCAGGCATAGTTTCGGTCTCATATTTCCATAAAACTTGCTGCTTCAGTTTGGAAAACACTCTGATAAATAATTGGCGTCGCTCCTCCGGCATTTGCATTCCTTTAATTGCAGACCCCATGCTGAAATAGATGAAACCGTCTTTTCCTTGTGAGACAAAGTCTTCAAGATCCTACACATGAAGCAATTTATTTAGAATTGTGTAATTGAAGATTGTTTAAAAACTGGTTCTTAACATACTTTGGGTAATGGCTTTGCTGGATGGGAATGGATTCCCCCCACGTCAATAACGTCAGGAAGATACGGACGAGGTCTAGCAAGACTGAAGTGACCATTGCTCAAAATAAGTGACGCATTCCCCAGTACTTCTGATGCCGTTGGAATATCTTGACCCAATTTTTCGCGATATAACGAGCTCATATAAGGCTCATAATAGAACTTCATAATACTGTCCTACAAATTTATACATCGGGTCATGTAGAAGTTGGTTAAAGTTAAATTTTTGTTGTAAATTAGTTTTACCATGAAAATGTTGGTCCCAAAATTCATCATTCTTTGATAGAAAGTCATCTCATCGGAGTACCCAAGAAAAACGTTAGAAACAAATGAAGGGGGCAGATGTCCTCCTATCTTGGATACTAAGAAATTGGGGGCTCCAATCGGCATGAAGAGCACGAGAGGGGCTTTTAATCGGTGAACCAATCCAAGAACGCAATCGTTGAACAGGGGCTGCATAAATATTAGATCGAAGTCCTCCTTGAGTAACCCTTTGATCTGAGGAAGGTCGTAAGTTTTTCGACAAATGTCACCAAATTCGTCCAACATCAGAAAAGGATTCATCTTCTGACCCGTTTTTTTCATCTCGAATGGATTGAACTTGTCCTCCATCATCGTTTCGAGATCTAGAGTAAAAATCTCGCGTATATTTTTAACTTCTTTATTTGACTTGACTGGGGTGACGACAGTGATTTGGTGACCCTTCTCGGCCAAGGCTTCGATGAGACGCATGTAGGTAATTTTGTGCTAATTTTATAAAATGTGCGAAATTTTAACATGTTTGTCATTAACTATGTTTGTCTATATTTTTAGCTATACTTCTACTGGGATGAGAATGTATGTATGTATGTAACTTACTGATTTAGAAGAAAAGAAGGAGACGACAAGGATTTTGTCGGATTGGGCGAATTGGACTGCTAGCGAGAGCAGGAGCAAGATTACGGGGATTGACTTCATGCTTTTCATGGTGAAAATTTTCAGAGATTTCTGAAAAGTGTATTGTAATAATGACCAAATTTAAATAATGTTGTGTCCAGCACTGACACAAACAGCCGACTGGACGATGGAAAGTACGAGCTGTGGAACTGTATTAAAAACAACTTATTATAACCAATTGTAAAAGCAATACTATAGCATCAGCATCACCACCGGCCTTGGGTTTCATTCGTTTTTATACCTACACAAAAAAGATGCATGACGAAGTGATGCAAATGTCAATTGATGTTTCATACCGGACTAAATATATATGTACATAAAGAATATATGTATGGACAACAAACCACGAACAATATTGAGGATTATAATGCTGATGATTATTTCGAACGAATAAGTCAGGTACATAATAATGTGGCATTATTAAATATTCGGTCTGGAAGTTTCTTGTTCGAGTGAAGTGTGTCATGTGCTGCATGGAAAATGATATCGCAGTTTACAGCAGCAAGTAATATTTAAACAATGAAAATAATGAGTGGCTTGTTATTCTAATGGCGCGATACACTTTACTCTGCATAGAAGGGTGATAACCAGAGAGATAAACCTTTTTTCCATATCTACCAAGTGACCTGCGTAAGTATTAAAAAGGCTTATTGTTAGATTCTGGTAATATTGACTGAATTAGTCGTCAAGTGTTGTAACAATTCACGACGTGTTTAAACAAGTTTAAACATGAAGAGGTTGAATGTTCAAATCAAAAGTCATGCATATAGAACTACATTTATTTTTATCTGGACGGCAATCAATGTTAATATTTGCACAGTGTATGTATAAATCTAGTAATACATGCCTTCTTTTATGCATAGTGCGTAGCGTAAGAGTTGGTATTGAATGTCAAAAAATTGGGATTTATTTATATTCACTACTGCATGTGATTATTACAAATGTTTGAAATTTTGGTAATTCTATTAACTGGAGGAATAATTGAGAAATTAATAATGATAAAAAACCGGTTACAAATATAATCCTTCAGGAGTTCCTTCTTTCTTTCTGTAAAGCACATTTTCCTTTGATTTCTTGAAGTCTTCATTTGTCACCCTCATGCGACGCTCTCGTAAAGCCATTAAACCAGCTTCAGTGCAAATGGCCTGGAATGTAAAAGATGAAATGTAACGTTTCTGTTGAGTTTAATGAAATTAGAGTTTTAAAGTAAGATATAAATGCACCTTAATGTCTGCGCCGGACAAGTCATCCTTCGACATAACTAAATCATCCAGATGTACATCAGGGGCAAGGGTCATACGAGCAGTGTGGATGGAGAAAATCCGGCGTTTAGTCTTCTCATCTGGAAGAGGGAACTCGATTTTTCGATCAATCCGACCGGGGCGGATGAGGGCTGGGTCTAGAGTTTCAATACGGTTGGTGGCCATGATGACCTTAACGTCCCCACGAGAATCAAACCCGTCAAGTTGGTTGAGCAGTTCTAACATGGTTCGTTGGATTTCTCGCTCTCCACCAGAATTGGAGTCATAACTGTGATACAGATGGTAGTAGATAATTATTATAAATTATTCAAAAATATTCCCAGCAATTTTTTGAAAAGTCTTTTCTTTACCGTTTAGTTCCCACTGCGTCAATCTCGTCAATGAAGACGATTGAGGGAGCGTGCTCCTCAGCCACACGGAACAGTTCACGGACAAGTTTTGGACCATCCCCCTATTTCGACAAGATACACAAACTTTAATCAATACAGAGTTACAATATATAAATCAGTTTATTTAATGCATGAGAAATCATACCAAATACTTTTGGATCAATTCAGACCCAACGACACGAAGGAAGGTAGCAGAAGTCTGATTTGCTACAGCTTTCGCCAACAAAGTTTTCCCAGTTCCTGGTGGACCATAAAGAATGACTCCTTTTGGTGGTCGAATTCCCATTTCCTCGTAGTACTCGGGATGCGTGAGAGGAAGTTCTACAGATTCTTTGATCTCCTGAATTTGAGTGTCCAGTCCTGTGCATGAAATACAAAAAAATTAGAAATCTGTCTAATCGAAATTCACTACAAGTAGCAAACTGTAGACGCCAAACCTCCAATGTCTGCATAAGTCTCTTGAGGTGCTTTCTCTAACTTCATTACGGTAACCATTGGATCCGTGTCATCCGATAAGACTCCCACAACGGCATGGACCTTATGGTTAAGCAGAACGGCACATCCAGGTTCCAACTGATCCTTATCCACAAAGGACAGAATCGACACATAATGCTCAGATCCCACAGAGGTCGATACGATGGCATGGTTATCATCAATAATTTCCTCTAAACTTCCCACAGACATGGGAGTTCCTCGCAAATCGTCCACCTTGGATCTTTCCTCTTCATTCTTCTCATCCTGTGGCTTGAGTCGCTCCTGGTTCTTGATGAATTCTTCCTCCATTAATAAGTAATCCTTGATCCGCTCTTGCTTTAACAACTTCAGGCGACAACGTTGATGCGGCGTGACTAAAAAAATAACATTATAGTTTCATGTCATCATAATCAATATGCAATCTATTATGTAATGACATCTAATTATATACCTTGTGGCAACTTTTGTGCGGCATCTGGTCCCTTGGCCTTCTTCCTCCTCTTTCCAACCCGTGTGGGAACTGGGGGTTCGTAGCGTTTCTTTTCCTTATCTCCCTTCCGGTCGCCAGACCCTCCCGGGGCGTTGGATTGGTTTTGACCCTAGAATAGTAATCAACAATAGATTAGCTTTAAATCATGCTTATGAATGGCTACACCTCGACTTATAAATAAGATTAACGTTCCAAGCAATGAAATTCTTCAAATTATTAATCAACAATTTCTGGAAACGGGATATTTATTAAATTCCATCGTAAAACTTTAATTCCTTCGCAATTACACTTACCATACTCAACTCAGCCCAACTAGTAAATCAAACAAATTTCACACCTATAAACTTCGCATCAACTGTAAAATTTTTAATATTTTTTAAATTCACAAAAACCTGCTGAAATTGACGTGAAAAGGAGAATGGGTCTGACTGAATAAGGATTTCGTCCTCTAAATGCAAGTCACTCGTTTTCTGATGATGCGGTTTGTCAATCTGATCGCAAAGTGCCCCTAATTTCATCACCCCACTAAATTCATAAAACGACGCTGAAGTATCACAAATTTCACCATTTTTTTGCATACTTTATGAAATTTTACGTTGAAAACAGACATTTAAAAATTGTGTGAAATATTTATTACGAAGTTTAAGGGTTTTAGCATCATGTTTAATTTTTATAAATAATCGCAGAAAAATTGTATGAAAATTATAAGGATGCTTTGTCCAATTTAGGATGGATATATTTCATGAAAAAATGTAGAACATTACAGAAAAGAGGTAACAGCGTTTCATGTCATGGAACAATTGTATTTCACACGATTTGAATTTTGTATCTATTTTTCATCACAATTATGAGTATTAATTTTTCTTTTTGCTGTTTTCGATTTTAGATCCCTTATTGCCACATATTAAGGAACATATCTTTCTTAAAATTAATTTTACGACAGAGTACAAAATATAAATTACTACAAAAATTAAAATTAGATATGTCCCGATGACATCGTATGAATGGTATTGAAAGTAATTTAATTTTCTTGCAGCAGAACGGAGTTGAGGTGCACCTGTAAAGTTTTAAAATATGAGACGTTTAATTAAATGTTGTAAATAATCATTTCTAATACTTAAAATTACTTATGTACCTTTATGGCGTACGACATATTCAATCCAGTAAACAGCACGGGTTAAAGGATCATCAATCTGATCTCTGAAAACGGTGGATAATCTCTTGACGTTGTCACGATATCTGGAATTTTTAAAACATAGATTAATTAACGTATAATTAATTGCGCAACAAGAAAAGTGAGTATGTAGATATGAATTTTTACACTGGGTTGGTTAAAACTTCTTTAATTCCATTCGTTAGATTCTCCTCTGTCAATTCATTCCAATCAATTTCGTGAATGATTCCCAGACGCTTTGCCAGTTTCGCATTCATTGGCTGATCTCCCATAATAGGCATTCCAAGCAGGGGGACGCCACTAATTAATTTGTCAGTTATACAAACGTATTGAAAATTTTGGATTAAAAGTTACTCTAGTTTTGTATTACTGGTAAATAGCCTCTTCAGTCCCACCTCCCCCACAATGTGTAATAAACAAGCGTGCGTCCTTATGTCCAAGCAGGTCCTGTTGGGGAAGCCACCGGCTTAAATACACATTTTCCGGCTTATCCGCCATTTTCTCGTCGTTCCATTTCCACACGATTTGATAATCTTTAAATTTTGCGAAAACTTTAAGCAACATTTTTCTTCTGTCTTCTAACATTGAGTCGGTTTTGATGACGGAACCAAGACTAAAGTAGATGAACCCCTTTGATCCTTTTTTAGTCACGAATTTCTCAAGCTCCTAAAAAAACAGGTAGTTTAATTTAAAGATCGCAATTCTAATTAATTATGATTAAAACTGTCCACCAACCTCTGGAAGTTTCTTGGCCGGTTTGGAATGTATTCCCCCCACGTCAATGATATCCGGAAGGTACGGTTTCGGCCCAGTGATACTAAAATGTCCATTGCTCAGAATTAGGGATGCGTTTCCCAGAATCGTCGCCAGCGATGGGATCGTCTCATCCCCAAACTCTTTCCGGTACACGGACTCCATGGCAGGGTCGTAAATTAGCCAGATTCCCACATCGTATACAACGTTCATCCCAAAATTGATGAACCTTTCGTAAAACGTCATCGTGGGGGAGTAGCCGAGCATAATGTGGGGCACGAACGAAGGCGGAAGTGGGTTTCCTATCCTAGCCGCGATGAAACTAGGGACGCTCGCCGGCATGAAAATGACGAGGGGGGCCTTCATCTTGTGAACAATGCCGAGAGCACACTCGTTCATGGCAGGTTGCATAAAGACGAGGTCGTATTCTTGAGAAATAACTTCCTTCACCTGGGGAAGTTGGTACGTTGTGAAGCACCCTTCTTGGAAATGTCCAATCATCTCGAGAGGATTGAAACTCTTGTTTTCCTGCTTCAACTTCAGGGCGTCGAATTTGTCAAATAGTTCAGTTTGTACATCGAAGGTGTAGACTTCTTTAAGGTTCTTGATCTCCTTGTCCGGTTTGACGCAGGTGATCATCGTGACTTGGTGACCCTTAGCGGCCAAGGCTTCAAGGAGAGGCATGTAAGTGATCTTGTGAGATTTTGACGCGAAGAAGGATAAGACAAGAATCTTTTCCGAATTGGTGAAAGTGCACAAAAGTGCAGTAATTAAGAATAAAATTGATGTCTTCATTATGAAGAGTTTTTATTAAAATAGAATTATTTTTGAATCGATGAACACTTAAGAATTAAACTTGCACCAGTATTTAAAGAGTGAAATTATCTCGGTAAGATAAAATTTAATCACTTATTACTACTTACATAATGCAAATATCAGTGTGTGTGATTTGTATGAATACAAAATCATGTGCCCCGAGCGTAATTGGAGTGGAATTGGATGAGCTAAACACTCATCCAATTCCACTGCTGGAGAACAAAAAATAATAATTGTCATGAGGTACGGTTCGTAATACGAACTTCGTATAAGTGAAGTGCATACGTACATAAAGTCATGCGGCTACAAGCTCCAGAATTTTTCATGGTCATCTTATTAAACCTTGAGCAGTGTTTTGTGTAGCATGTACATAATTTGTATGACTGTATTTCGGATGTGTGTGAATTCTATAAATGTGAGATGACGAGATATGTCGAATTTTTAGTTTATCATTGCATGATTTTGCAGTATATTTGGAAAAATTAAACTGTAAAAAGATTTATGCGCGATTTAGGGCTTAATTGAGTTAAATTAAGAGGTGATTATGGGAAAGAGATGGGAGAAACTTAGAAAGATAGATGCAGAAACAGATTCAGAATGCAATAGCATTTCTTTCTTGAGAACAATGCTTACTGGGAGGGATGATCATGTAATTTCGGAAATTATGCTTCGTAGAAATTTAAAACACTCACCGTGATATTTTTGGTTTTTTGTAAATTCTAGTCTGCTACTAATAAGGTGTTATAGATAACTAATTAATTTTTTTTTACTATGTTACAGTTACAAACGCTGGTTAAAAATCTAGCAAAATACAGTACATTGATGTCTTGCAAATGATAATATTTTTATTCAGTTCATGACATTATTATTCGAATTATATTTGAGCAGAATATAGAATTTTACAGATTCATTCTTACCATGATAATACAAGAATCAGATTATTGCTCAATTTCGCAGAAAGGGAAGATTTATATTAGTTATTGGATGATATATATTGACTAGTGTTGATATCAAGTTGTTTGTAGATTGAAGCAGCTTTCCCATTCTGGAAATATTGAAAAATAAATAAATTGATTAGTCAAATTGTTATTGTTGTTGTTTGCAATTTTTCTTGGAATACAAATAGTTACCTAAGAAGGAACGTGTCAACGCTTCTTGCCAGCGGCAGCGTGCTTCTTCTTGTCGGCCTGCGCTTTCGGGGCGCGTTTGCGTTTCTTTTCAGCCACTGCTTTGGGCGAGGGGCGTCGCTTTTTTCCAGCGGCGGATTTCGATGGCGAACGCTTACGTTTCTTCGCAGCGGCAGATTTTGATGGCCAACGCTTACGTTTCTTCGCAGCGGTGGATTTGGGAGCTGAATGCTTGCGTTTCTTTCCAGCTTGAGCAGTGGACCGAGCTGCAGTACGACTTCGCTTCTTTTGTACGCGAGCTTGGGTGTGGGTCCGTTTCTTTTTCTCAGCCCCACTGCTTTTGCTTCGGCGACGTTTCCCTACGGCGGCTTGAGACTTCTTCTTTTGCGCCCGAGCTCCAGTGTGACTTCGCTTCTTCTTTTCAGCTCCACTTTTGCTTCGGCGATGTTTCCCCGCGGCGGCTTGACTTCGCTTCTTCTTTCCTGCGCCGGCCTGAGAATGGCTCCGCTTTTTCTTTTGTACCCGAGCTGCAGTGTGACTTCGCTTCTTTTTCCCTGCGCCGGCTTGACTTCGCTTCTTCTTTTGTGCCCGAGCTGCAGTGTGGCTTCGTTTCTTTTTCTCAGCCCCACTGCTTTTGCTTCGGCGACGTTTTCCTGCACCGGCTTGAGAATGACTTCGCTTCTTCTTTCCGGCCTGACTTTGTGAATGCTTCTTCTTTTTCTGAGCTGGGGACTTATGCTTCTTTTTGCTGGTTTGGGAGCTTGACTACAACATAGAATGAAAGGTATCGTATCATAAGTTTGATAGTCAAAATTCATGACCAAAAATTTTGACAAATTACCTTTTTCTTGCCTCGTTTGGCAGTCCCTTCATCACCTGGCACTGCATCGCCAGCATCTCCAGCGGGTTCATCAGCAATCTATAATGAAACTTTACAGTGTGAAAAATATTCATTGGACTAAAGGTCAAAGGTCACTGACCTTTGATGGTTGGTGCTTCCTCTTTTTTCCAGCGGCTGCCTTCTTGGGAGCCCTTTTCTTCTTGCCAGCATCTGCACGTTTCTTGCTGCTTCGGCGCTTTTTAGACGTTCCGGCAGCAGCAGGGCCCCCCTCGCCCCCTTCACCCCCTTCACCAGTCACTTGTGGCTTGTCTCGCACAGCTCGATGCGGATCTGAAGAGAAATTTTACATGAGGAAAGGTCAGAATCGAAACAAATTTGGTATGAAACTCAAGCCCCTCCTTTCCCTTGATTCAATTTACTCGAAAAAAGTATCAAAATGAGAAACAAGGTACTTACTGCGTCGGGGGGCTGCTGGTTCATCTCCTCCTTGATTTTCAGAGTTGTCGTTCTCCACCATTTTGTAAATTCACTTCGTTGTTTCACTAAAGATAAAGGTTAATTTGATTTTTGTTAGAGTGCGAAGAATTATTTTTGTACGTGATGTTCGAGAGCAGCAACGCGTTGCACGTCTTGTCAGGTCCAAAGAGAAACTTGGAATGATTTTTTTTTCTCTTGGTCCACCTTTCATCATAAAAAATTTCAGCGTCCCGAAAAAGCCGTTGGGATGGCGACGAAGATTAATTAAAAAATTTTGGAAATTATTGTAAAATTCGTCCTTCTCAAATCGTCCATGTAAAATGTAACTTGGATCGGCATCCATCCATTTACTCCATACAAAGTAAAGGCTTATCCGTAATTTATTGGTCATATTTTGGCTATATATATATTTTATCGAATAAAATGTATGGCCAATTTATATGCAATGATATTTTATTTATTCAAATTTAAATTTGAATTGTCATTTTCAAATTCAAATTATGGCAAAGGACTACAGGAGATTTGATAAGTTTAGTATTTTTCATATTCATACCTACATAAATACATGTACTATTATAAATGTTATGTTAACATCTCATGTAATTATTTATCCTGATTGTTAAACTTTAGTACCTTTTAGTTCAAGTTACTGAAATATGTTGATACACACCCAATAAAATTTCTGAGCATTTTGATTTCCTTAACATTATCATCCATCATCTTTCTCTTATTATTTCCTTCTTTGATAGTAATAATATGTCACGTTTACATAATAATGGAGTGAACAATATCAAACTATAATCAAACAGAGAGATGCCGTTGACTCATTCGTGACAAAGCCGGTAGTCATATTGGTATACGAACCGTTATGGCAGGGACTGCGCATTATAACCACTTTCTTAAAATTTGGATGGACACGCCTATCGAGTTTTAGACGGCTTCTCGTGTTGTGTAATGGGCTTTCAAAAAGGTGAATAAATATGTATCAGGTATTCAAATATCTTATCTCCTATGCTCTCTATTCTCCTCATTTCTAATGTCAATCACCATCATATCCTACCCAGAACGGAGAGAGACCTTCAGTAAAGTAAAACTTTCATTTCGTAACAGCTTCACATATTGAATTTCATCTCGGACAGATCACAACTGTAGCTAACTTCTAAAAGTTGCAGTTTTAAAAATAAAATACATACGATGAATTTTTATAAATTTGTCGTTACCGTCCTCATAATTACTCTATCGACCACAACGGTGGCGCAAGGACGCCGGAGAAGTCGGACCACAACGACATCCAGTACCACAGAAGTCCCGTAATTGATTAATTGACTATTAATTTTTTTGGTATTACAACAAATGCAAATAATATTAATGATCTGTCAGTGCCGTCGTGGATTTGGAGCAAACTCTTGCCGAGAGGGAAGCAAGTTTGTTAGATAGAGAGGAAAGTTTCCGAAATCGGGAAGCCGTATTTCGCATGCGGGAGGAGAAGTTATCTCTACGCGAGGAACAATTCAAAGTCCGAGAGGATAAACTTTCTCAAAGGGAGAAGAACATTGAGCTTAGAGAACAAAATACTGTACGAGGTTCCGCAAGTGCTGGGTGCAGTGCAGATGCAGCTCCTGCCGACTATTCCATCGTGAGGATGGATATCGAGTCAGGAAAATTGATGGATATTGGTGATCTTGGAACTTGTTCGGAAAACATGAGATTTTTCGCCAATCCGGATAATGAAACGTTAGGTCAGTGTGACTGTGACTATCATCAATGTTCCAGGCCACTCATTTATTCGGAGAAGTATAAGCAGTGTTTTTGGGCGTGGTCTCAGGTTTGTTGCAATATTTGTTTGTCCATTAATTACTATTTACTTTCTAATTTTTTGGAAGAAATTCCTATGAAAATTACATTCTAACAACAGGGCCCCTGTGAACAAAAAGAGTGGTACGTTTTCGACGAGAATTACATTCCGATCTGTGAACCAAATCCTTGTCCTGAAACGATAGCTTTGAACACACCATCCTATTACTTTAAGAGTCCCGAAGATGGACAATGTTACAAGGTGGGTTGGAGAAAACACATTGGTTTGAAAATATCTATGAACTAATTTTAATTATTTTCAGGCTGCGAGCAAAGGTCCCTGTAAAAAGAAGAACGAGCGACTCTTTTCCGTCCCTGACGACCCCATCCCAAGGTAAAATTTAAAATCTCGTCGTTGAATATGCTATCTGATTTGTCGCCTGTTGTATTCCTGTCCCCGATAATGGCAAAAAAATGCCATAGCACGACATGCAGGTCCATATGTATGGATTTGATAATGTTTTACTAATATATCAAATTTGAAAATTTGTCCACAAGGTGCCGGACCCAATCGCTGTGTACGGCCCAGAGCGTTCCAGCATTGCAAAGATGTCTTCCTGGAAACAGAAGGTTTTTAGAAGGACTTTGCACCGAGGAGGCGATTACCAGTAGTGATACTGAAGCTGAAGATAATTAAAAATTTGGTGTGACGCATTCCCTGATCTAGGAATTAAGTAATTAAGGTTTTTTATATGTGTTTGATGATTCCCTTACTCTCTAATAAATTGGGGCGACAATAATTGCAAACAATCACTTAGATAATTGATGTTCCGCCGGTTGAATTTGTTGACTCGCAATTTTGCTTAATTGGAGACATGTAATTTGCTGAAACAAGTGCATGGATCAATCAATACACATGACTTGGACTAATTCTTTACTTGATCATCTAACGCATAAATATTACATGTCACAATATCATGCAATCATTTAGGCAAATTAGACAAATGAATTGCAAATTTTAGGCGTATACCAATCAACTGGAAGCTAAAGATAGCTATGCAAAACGTTGGTTTGTTCATATCAGTCGTCAGTGCGTCATTTGTGCTAACCGGAGAAAATTCGTTCCGAAGGGAAACGTTTCAATCATGGAAGTTATACCGGAAAACAAGAAATTTTTAAAAACTGACGAATCCGTAGAATCTGTATCTTTAGAAGATTTGGAACCATCCAGCACGGAACTGATTCCAGAAAACTGTGGCGTGGCGTTAGCATTTTTGCAGCCGTGGATAAAATATGGCCAATTTTCTTGTGCATTTCTATACGGTCTCTATTCCTCATTTAATGGGAAGAGGATAGAATATTGCACAAGACGTCCCAGAGTTTGGGGGGTATATACATGTTTAACTTGCAAATTTCATTTTTCTGTAACTCCCACTAATCATATTTAACCTGACTAAATTGCACTTTCAGATCTTCTCTGGCATATTTTTCGGCATAATGTGTCTCCACTTGTCTCTTTTCGTGGTGAAATTCAATTTCAACGTTTCTTACTCAAAACTGGTGAACATGATCAAACGAGTCACTTTTGTAATTTTCGTCATTAAACTTCTCACCACATATTACTGCTTCCAACACCGCGGACGAACGATGGGATTATGGGCCAAGATTTTCAAACAGGCGGATTTGATTCAGGAACAATTTTCAAATTTTGGGATTTATTTCCCTTCACGGAACAAGGCATGCAGAAAAGCGCAATGATAGGTCTTGGGTATTTATCAAAAATTATTTTTTCATTTACAGGCCCGATTTGTATCGACTTGTATTTGTGCGTTGTCCGTTTTCCTGATTCTGGTCCAAATGATCGTATTTTCTTTGGCACATTGCATGGAAAGTCCTCGATGGTATGATGGTTACGCGACCAAACTGTTTAACACATTCACACTGGGATTGTGGAATCCTGATATGTTGGAAAGTCTGTCATAATTTTCATAATCTGCTCAATTATCTGAGTTCCATGATCATAAGTTTTTCTAAAAATTTCATAACATACTCATCCCAACGCAGAACTACCTATTCCATTCTTAAAAGTTTGTGGAAATTTGGGATTGATTTTGGAAACATTCTGCTGGAATTTGTGGTATCTTTTGGATGCATTCCGAGTTCTGACTGCATTATTGATGTGGACTATTTTTCGGACACTTAATCGAGCTCTGAATACTGGGAAATTGCGTGTCGAAAATTTGCCAGAGGTGAAAATGTTAGCTTTTAACGAAACTAATTTCGTAATTTCTACAATTCACTTCTAATTCTCATTTTTAAAGATAATCGAGCTACATTTCAATGGGACAAAACTGCTGAATCTGTTTAATCAATTGATGGGTCCGATCACCTTCACCTCGTCGGTATTTAACATTCTGTATGCCTGCTTCTGGACAAATTACTGCCTGATTAATGTCGAGTTCCGGTTGAGCTATATTGTCGGATTTATCACTGTTTGTCGCATGTTCATCGTCTTTTATATCGTGGCGGATGTCAATTCACAGGTACTTGATCATACTTTTTTGAATAAGTCGATCTAAATTGATTTGATACAGGCATACCAAATTTCGACCTGGGTGGAAAACCATTTCACAGAAATTGATCAAATTCCAAACAAAGTTGACAAAACTAAATTGACTCTGTTTTCATCGCTTATTTATAGCAGAGAAGCAATTGGATTTAAAGGGATGCATTTCTTCACGTGCACACAAGCCCTGAATATTGCGGTACTAAAAAAACCTCCCTTTTTGAAAAATCTGTAATTATAAATAACATTACTTATTTACAACAGATCGGAGGTTTAATTCTCACCTACACCGTGATCGTCAACCAAGTAGCTACAAATACACACTAAAAAATATAAGAAAAATATATAAAATCTTGAGGTCGATATGGGATATTTACTAGAAATGAATATAATTTATGTTAATGAACAGGTGATTTTGTCTTTAATCCAAATGTAACAATCCAATATCAGAAATAAATAAAAACAAAACAATGCGTCTTATTATCCTTAATTGTATCAATACATTAATTTCTTCATGTTCGACGCACGCATGGGTTCAAGGTATCAATTTGCTAGGAAGTACTAGAAGCTAATTAGATGTCCTCTGAGACAAGCTATTCCATAAAACTAATGACTTCTCGGCAAATCTTTGCGAATACGTTTGCCCTAAGACCAATGCTGTCATTATCGTGGATCAATTTGCCAAATTAAGTAATTCCAATTAGTAGCATCTCGATAAATATGTTTCCTCCTTTCTTCCTTGCATCAGACGGTTTCTAAGCTTCACGAGGAGAAAGTTGACCCATATTTGCATCAAGTGTAACACAAAAATCATGACGGGCAATAAAAAAATTCTGACGGAAGAATCTATCGAATCGTTTCGAAATTTCGAAAATTTAAAACAAGTCAATATATTAGAGAGTAGTCCAAACTGTGGTTCGGCATTTTATTTTCTCACACCGCTGCTGAAATATGGGAAATTTTCATGCGCATTTTCATATGGTCTTCGTTCCTCCTTCACTGGCAAAGTTTTAGAATATTCTACAAAACAGTTAAGGATTTTGGGGGTACGTTTTCAAAAAATAAAAAAAGTTTTATATTGATTTTGCACAATGAATAATTTGATTTATAGATTTTGAGTGGAATATTGTACGTCATAATGTGTCTCCACATTGCCGTCGGCGTAGTAAAATGGGACTTTCACGTCTCATTCTCCGCCTTGGTGAACATGATCAAACGAGTGACCTATGGGATTTTCGTGGTCAAACTGATCGCAACTTATTACTGTATGCAACGGCGTGGGAGGAAGATGGGGTTGTGGGTGAAAATTTTCAAACAGGCGGATTTGATTGAGAGACAATTTGCAAATTTTGGAATATATTTACCTTCGAGGAGGACGGTGCGTCGTGTTTATTCAACAATTTGATTAATTCCTTTTCTAATTATGCAATTATGTACAGGCTCGAGTTATAGGAATTGGAATCTGCTCCTTATCCATTGTACTTACGTTGGTTCACGTAATGGTTTTCTCATTTGCTGTAGATTTTAAAAATTATTCATGGTATGATCGGTACACGGCGAAAATTATGAATACATTTACCCTTGGATTCTGGAGTCTGGACTTGTTACACGGTAACTTTTAGGTCGTTTATCTATCCAATTTGATACATGCATCATTTTGTAATAATTGCATAATTATATGTCAAATTAGAAATTCCGTATGAACTAAACTTAATAATGGGAACGATTGGACTTGGTTTGGAAATATTTTGCTGGAATTTGTGGTATTTTGTGGACACATTCCGAGTTTTGACTGCATTAGTTGTGTGGATTGTGTTTCAAACTCTTAACCGAGCTCTGAACACTGGGAAATTGCGTGTTGAAAATTTGCCAGAGGTGAAATTATTGCTTCATTTTATAAGAAAAAATTTAAAATTTACTTCAACTTCTGTTCTAAATGATTCTCATTTTTAAAGATAATCGAGCTGCATTTCAACGGGACAAAACTGTTGAATCTGTTCAATCAATTGATGGGTCCGATCACCTTCACCTCGTCAGTATTCAACATTCTGTATGCCTGCTTCTGGACAAATTACTGCTTAATTCAGGTCAAATTCCACTTAAAATACATTGTCGCAATCATGACGTGTTTACGAATGCTGGTGGTCTTTTACCTCGTGGCGGACGTGAATAGCCAGGCATATCAGATCACGACCTGGATGGAAAACCATTTCACGGATATGGATAAAGTTCCGAAAAAAGTGGACAAAACCAAGTTGACCATGTTCATGTCGTTGATTTACAGCAGAGAATCGATTGGATTTAAAGGATCTAATTTTTTCACGTGTACACCAGCCCTAAACATTGCGGTATGCAGGATAGTTTATAATCATAGTTAGTTAATATTATATGAGCGATTCCAAGCATGTATATATTTGCATATTTTTCAGATTGGAGGTCTGATCTTAACATACACTGTCATCGTGAATCAAGTTGCAACACAGACGCAATAACGCCTTTGTTCCTGCCATCTTATGTATTTTTCTTATTCAACTTTACGTCACCACAAATACAATATACTATACATAGTAATTAAGAAAATTAAGAATTCTGCGTAATTAATACCACTTAATGTAATGTCAATAAAATATAAATTTTCTGCAATATCGGGTTAAGACTGACGTCAAGCGTTGTACAAACGTTTAGGTCGATTAACATGAGATGAGGCAAATAATGATGACACTCCTTACAAGAAATGACTTGTGACCAATATTACATATACATAAGTTTCATGTCTAAATGCGATTAAGACAAATCGGGGTAAATTAAGCAATTACTGATAACCAATTTGACATGTAAGTAAAACGTCATCACGATCGATTAGCTTCTTCGTTCGTCGTGTTACGATTGGATTCAATTAAGGGACGATCAAATGTCTTAGCTTGCACTCAAGTCAAGCTAAAAATATTGTTATGTCATAACAAAATCCTAAGTTTGCAAATTACGGTTAGGTATTAAAACCACACGTGTGGTTTTAATACCCAAATTGCAAGTGTGCACACTTGCAATTTACTGGTTGCAGGTTTGGCCCTCAACAAATTTGTCGTTAACAAAGTGGCAACAAATTAGGAATGACATGGTGCAATTTGTCAATAAAATTGAGTGTTTATGGATCGATTGATTTACATATTCTGGGTAGTTTGTCAAACAAAGTGTTTTGCAACGGAATAAACACGAACATAGAATTGAAAAAGGGAAAAATTAACAATTAAACTCTCCAAATTAATAAACAATAAGTCATAGCATTTTGTAAGTATTTTTGTCCTTCTTACGAAAACTACTGCACATTCGTAAAAGTATCATTCACTTGTTAACCAAATTAAACAAGCCGTCTCACATGCGGAAGCTTAAATGTTTTAATGTAGGAAGAAGGAGATTAGATTTTAATGTGATGCGCACACGTAGGTCCACAAAATAAATTTGCAGTGCCCAACAAATCACTCAATTGATAAGTAGTCAACAATAATAATGAAAAAAGCATTCAAGATTTTCCTGATAACGTTATAAATTAAGAATAATTATCCACCTTGCTCATTGTATTAATTTGCACGAACGCAACACCAACACCATCGTGGCCTTCGAGTCAATCCTGCGTGAAGAAGAGACAAATTATACGTGAGAACTCGTCAGATCAAGAGAGATGACTCTAGATTTTTTTGCAATTGATGAGTGTGCGACAAAATAAATACAATCAATTAAGAGGCAAGCACTTTAAATCATCACATCATTCATACATTTGCATTTCTTGATTGAAGAGCACAATTTATTTTATTTTATTTATCTGTCAAGATGACATAGTTAAATTATGAGCAAGTTCTTGATGGAAATGATTACATAATAATCACACCCAAGGAGTGAGATTTGGCGAACAATTGCTATTTTATCAACAGTCGCGATTCGACAGTTTATGCGATCGCTGCTCAGATTATAAATTTAAAAGATAAGCCGTAATTTACAAGAAGCTTGACGATGGGACCTAATACGTTAGCTGTGAATGCAACGTTCCTACTATCAGGAATGTTAGGCTTGCAAATTGCGTTGCCGGAAGGTTAGTGAATTCTTTGTAATTCATATTTTGTGCGATACTTATCGAAATAATTTTATTTAATTGCGCAGGATTTAATAGCAGTGATGGAAAGTCGGTCGAGGCATCCATCCCGTTTTCTATCGCTCCAGAAGTCAGTGTCGAATATTTGCAGAATAACACGGAAAGAACTGGAAAATCCATGATTGCGAATACTGATCAAAATAATTGTGGTTCGTCGACATGCAAAAATAACGAGAAATGCGTATCCTGGCAAAACCAAAATGACACGCGTGGAGCCAACATAGCGAACGAGTGTATGTTGGATGATGTAAGAAAGAAGTGGTGCAAAAAATTTGCAAAAATTTGTACATCTCACATTTCTCTTTTTTTCATATGTAGGGACGCTACTCCACCAAAGCTAATCCAAACTCGATGAAATTGTGCGGACCTGGAGAAACACATTCCTTGATTATCACAGAACCCAGGTTATGTTTGAGTGATAACCCACCTTGTGATATCGTCTGGAAATATAAATGTGTGACAGAAGAAGGTATAACTAGCTAATTATTGGATTATTGAAATTCTTTACAAGATTTAGAATTAGAAGATTGTTCGCAGATTCTCCGCATAGTTGCGAAATGAAAAAATGCCCAGAAGATTTCCTCTGCTTCGAAATACTTCACTGCGAACGGTATCCACCTTGCATATTTCACACGGAATGTCATCACATTTCTGAAGCCGATGTTTCCAAAGGATAAGAATTTATGATACTAATAAAATTCCATATTTGACTTAAATTCTTAATTATGATTGATTATGCAAATCTTGTTTTTCATTGAAATGAAAATAAGTTATTTGAGACAAGTCAACATTAAAAAATAATTTTTATCGTTAGTCAAAAGACCTGAAGTACGTACTTTATTTAAAAACCCACAGAACCCAAAATGCATAATGAATGAAAAGGAAATGTTCAATTTAATGCAAGTCATGCAGATTAAATGTCAAATTGCTTCTTGTCCGTGAGAGAGAGTCGTTGAATATCTTCCGGCGTGAGTGGCCCATCTGCGACAAGGACAAAAATCGGAAATCAATAATTAACATTGCATAATTCCCGTCTGCAGAAAAAAGTAGCTTATTTTCTCGGAAAAAGAATGGAATGACTACTCACTGATCTGATACCAATCCGTGTTTCCAGCATCTTTTCTTGCAGAATCGATCGCATTCTACATTTAGAACCAAGAAGATGAGATATATGTATATTTATATCTTGAATATATACCATGTTTATATACCTTGAGGGCCCAGATAACGCTAACACTTAGGCACAAAGGCGGCTCTCCAGTAGCTGTAAAATAACCAGTCGATTCAAAATATATAATAGTTTCAAACAATATTATTCCTATTTCTATTGCTATACCCACTCCACTTCTAAGGACAGAGACAAAGAAGCAAAGCGTAACGTTTGTACGTATTTAAAACGGTGTGGCAGTAGGAGTAAGGAAAACATTTACCCTTGGATCTTAAGACTCCGAGAGGGTTGGGCCTGTTTTTGATCATCGTAATCCTGAAATCCTCCGGTATATCTTTGACGAATGGTGGTTTGTATTCCTACGAGAAAGAGAGAAGAAAGAAAATCAACATTCATACAAAGTTGACTCTGAGAAAGAGAAAGAGAAGAGAGAATCAAGACACGAGATGGTTTTCAATTAAAATATTTCCATTCCTCCGTCCTTTCTTGGGATGTCATGTCATGCAGACGGCATGGCATCAGCCCTCTACACAAATACTACTTCTAGAGAAAGCAAGTAAAAGTTGGTGGGCGAATTTGGTTGTCTGGCTGCAAATGCAATGCACTTCCAATACAGAACCACGCTACAACTTTCTCCTGCAGCAGGAAGAACTCAAGTGAGAGATGAAACAGTACGATCGTGGTAGGAAAATGGGACAAGTAGTTTGTTTGTGACGAGGAGGAGGAGGAGGACGACAAAATGACATCAATATTATACCCAAGTATTCTTGGTGAGAATTTCTCCAGTGTCCTTGTCATAGACGAGTTTCTCCGTCGTCCAAAGTTCCAAACCTAAAAATAAATTATGAACGAGAAGAGAAAAGTGTGAGTGTAATTTCAAAATGAGACTGATATAATGCATACCCATGACGAAGGCACCCTCTATTTGGCCAATGTCCACTTCAGGAGAAAGACTCAGACCGGCGTCTTCTGCCAGATCCACTCGAACGATCTGTGTCCCATTTTTTAAACAAATATTTACTCGGTAAATAAGCAGTGCATTGTTTTTCCTGCTCTGGTTTACGTATTTATTTATTATTGATAGGGGCATGAAACTTGACCTATTTTGGGGCGAATTCTATTCCTGAACGTACCTTATATTCGCCGGTGAGCACGTCAACTTCAACTTCGGTTAGACAAACGGCCCAGATATCGTAACCTTTCAGGTCGTCACCAGGTTTGTCTCTGAGTGAGATGCATACAAATCATTGCAATTTCTAAAATTTGCAAAATGCATGCAAAAAATGCATGCAATAACTTACTCATATTGAGCCGTCAGCATGATATGTTTATTGTAACACGCAGTCACTACTTTCTCCCAAGTCGGATCTTTTACTTCCTGTCGGACTGGCTCCATTTTTTTCAGCAGGATTTCACACGCTTTCATCGCAGACTGATGAATAGCAACACACAATTTCAATCATTTCTATGAAACTGCTCCACTTTTTAAGCCATACATATTACTATTTATTAAACTCACATGACACACCAGCTCGCTACCCATGGCTCCTCCAGTCACTCCAGCATTGGGCGATACCAAACTGTTTGTCGGCTTTATGCGAACTTTCTCCAGTGGAATGTTCAGAAATTTTGCAACGGTTTGAGCACACTAGAGAAATATGTACGTTTGTATAGTGAATTAGATTATGAATGTCTCAATTTAATAGAATTTCTGTCATCTGCAGCAGTTGGCACCTTTGTATTGATCCCTTGTCCCATTTCAATCCCTGCGATGAAAAGAATTATTTTACACGTGAAAAACGCGTTAAGCGTGTTCCTTAGTTCTCAATTGGTATAGATTTCTCTAACTCACCTCCATGACTCACAGCCACCGAACCATCCACCTGAGTAAAATTAAGAAAGCGTACTTATCACAAGATTAGTTCTGCCTGATTTATAAAATTCTAATTTTACATGATAGACGGAAATGAAGACGGGAAACCGGACATTAAAGTCTGGATAGTGTTGCGGATATCTCATTGGCATTAAATTCAACCCACGTTTCCGGAACCTGTTTGTCTACAACACAGTCACAATTAAGAATTATGCATAATCCTAATTATGTTAATTTTAATAAGGCTTAAAGAGGAACCTTGTTAAAATTGTCGACAAACTTTTTCCTCGCATCATAATCTGAAGAGGTTTTAAGATCAACTATCATTTTACTGATGGGATTTTCTCCTTCGAAAGTTTTTCCAGGAACGCCTAAGAGTGGGTCGCCGGCTTTGATAAAATTTGTGGCTCGCACTTCTCCTGGGTCCTAAAGTCAACGAGGTCACTTTTATGTGAAAATCATATTCAAGGTCAGACGTGTATAGTGTTTATTATTTACCTTCTTTAAGACATGAGATATGTGTTCCATAATCGCCTCTATTGATGCAATTCCTTGTGTGGTTCCTACATATGGAGAATTTTATTTTTAATACGATACTTTTGTATGCATTTTTTGCATTGATATTTGCCAATTTAGGCACCTGGGGCTCTACAGTATGTGTTTGATGGTGTGTCTGTCAAGGCCCGTCCAGGAGTTATTTGCCACCCATTGGCACGATAACAGCTAAAGTACGTATGTAAATCGTGTCATGTTTCGAATGCGTATCTCAGAGAAATTTAAAACAAAGTGAAAAATTGTACTTACTTTTGCATGCAGATCATTGCCAAGAGTGAAGTCGTCTCATTCGGAGCATACCCCGGATCACAGAATATGGAGCCTTTCAAACCAACTATGTTTCCAGAATCATCTACGGTTGCCTGTTTCAAAATATGCATATGTAAAAAGTGCATAAATAGATTCGCATATCGTCACTACTCACTTCATACGTGGTCAAGTACGGAAGTCGCTTCCCAATCATTTTCATATTTGTCTCCAAATCCAGCACTATGCGAACTGGTCGATTTGTCACGTGCGCCGCAACAGCACATGCTCCCGCAATGTGGGATGATTTCGATATTTTTGCACCGTACGATCCTCCAAGTCGTCTTACAGTTACGTTAATGCTGCAAATAGTGTTGGACCATTAGAATAAAATTATTCCTCAAATTGCGTATGAAAGAATTCAGGACCAACTTATGATTCGGCATTTGAATGGTGGAAGATACAATGGCTTGAACCATGTCGGAATACTGGGTAGCGCAGAATACGTCCATCCCATCCTCTTTCGGGATGCAAATACATCTATCAAATAATTATCGTATAATGCAAAATGTTTTAAAAATTGGTGGCAAATGGGAAATTACGACTGCGTCTCCATCGACATGTGATACTGCGATCCAACCCGGAATTCGCCTTTGATTGTTTGAGTCGCGTTAGCAGATGCATCTTCATCCGATGGCGTTTTCTGGATTTCGAAGATACAATTTTCACCCCTCTTCTCAGCCAGTTTGAGTGAATCCTTGATATCGAGGAGCGGTTTCTTCACGTCGCTGTACACAATCTTGACCTTCTTGGCGGCTTCTAGTGCAGTGGTACGACTCTCGGCTAAAATTAAGCCTACGGATTGCCCTGCGTGGCGAACCTTGTCTTTCACAAAGATCTAAACAAAATATAAAACAAATTTGGAAATGGTGAAAATTTCTAGAATTTCAAGGGCACCAGAATACATGGGAAATATATATATGTATTTATATACCTCTTCAACAACTGGGTAAAATATGGCATAGTTGTTCGGTCCTGGAATATCTTTAGCTTGGATAAAGTTTACCACACCCGGAGTCATCTAAGAAAAAAATGTATTGATATCAAACTACATACATCACAGAGTAAAATATACAAATATTAGTATCACCAGTGCTTCTGACGCGTCAATATTGGAAATGGTGGCATTGGCGACCGTTGTGAGGACAAAAGCTCCATAGAGTTCTCCAAACTCGGGATGAATGTCATTTACATATTCGGCCTCGCCTGGTGGTTCAAAAAAATGTACAATACAAAAGTTAAGGCTACTGAGAGAAAGTTTTGTATGGACGTGAAACCCACCGGAAGCTTGGACAGCGGCTTCTAGTTTGGGAATTGGTTGGTAAAGTGGCCATTCCTTTTGGTCAGACTCAAAAGTCTGCTTCCCACTCATTGGACCATGTTCCAAGTCCTGTCCTCCAGATTTTATGGATGCTTTCGCCGACTCTCCAAGAATGGAGAGGATTGTCTGAAAAAAATGTTTTGGATATGATTTTCCTAATAGGAATTTAACGATGTCACGTGTCCTGGCGCACCTTGTAAAGTAGGGATTGTGCCAGAGTTTTTCTATAAGTTTGGGATCCTTCCGTCGGAGTCTCGTTTGGTTTTAGTTCAGCTTCCAAAGTATCCATCGTGCTTGTAAGGGTTCCCTTATTTAAGTCCTTGCCAAAGAGAAAGTTTTCTGTTTGTGTGGAATGTACCTACAATTTGGGAATCATCAATTGTTCCTGTAAATTATGTAGATGCTTAAATTTTATTAGTTACAAAATCCGGCGAAATTCCACCAAATACAATGCGAGGTTTTTCCGAAACATTGAAATTCTTCTTGGTGTCGACTTTAATTAGAATTCCACCATTCACGTAGGCATGTGCATTTTGAAACCGTCTCGTAATCTGGGAAAATATTTTCATTATAATGTAACCAAAATAGAGAAATTATAATATCAAAGGGTAAACCTTGTAGCTCTTGAAATAGTAATTTCCTCCCTTGTAAGCCGGAAGAATTATGGAAAGTATCAACTTTCCCCGCATATCCAACTCTCTAAATTCTATCATGCTGTACTCCTTCGACACCGTGGGAGACGCTCCTGTTTTAGAGAAAGGCAAAATATTCTATTAGTTTATGCAGTTTGGTGGAGAGGAAATTGCAACAAATGAAATTCATGGATTATTCTTCTTCTCCTAAGAAATCCTGTTCATGGACACTCATAAACAAGAATAAATTGCCGAGAACTTTGAAGGGTTTGCCAAACAGAATGTGGGACACAGTGCAAATAATAACGACATCGTGGAAATATATGTATTTACCTATGAGAAGTTTAGCCCCCACGGACTCCAGGAGCATAAATACGTCGGAGGGAAACTCTCGATGAGCGTGTTTCATCATCAAATTTCCGCTTAACGTGCCTGCCTAGAATTCAAAAAGTGGGGGAAAGCAGAACGTCGCCGGCCAGGAAAAAATAGCAAAATTTCTTAAAAAAAGATGTGTTTTTTAAAGAATTTAGTTCGAATAAACGAATTAATAAATAGATAAAAATGCAGAAATCTAAAATATGTTCCCAACCTCTCATTTTGAACGGATAATGGAATAGCAAAACATGCATAGATAAATCGAACAAAGGAAACCGACATGACTTTGACGCTATTTCGTTAAGTATTTAACTACCCTAAATCAAATAGTATGCATAATATTAATACTGCTCACTTACATTTCTAATTGGCACATTAGCAACTCGCTTCAAGTGCTTACTCATCTGTGCGCAATATTCATACCCGTCGATTTCAGACGCCTTTTGTAGCTGGTCTATGGCGTTACAAAGAGTGACATTTGCTCCAATCTTCACGCCGGAAGTTTCTATCATGCTCCGCTTTAACTCTGGGACTGAATTAATATCGATGAAGGCAGCGAATGGGCCGTCATCCTTAAAAACGCCTGAAAAAAAATAATGCCACGTCATTTATCACTTTTTGAAAAATAAAAGTAATCTCGTCAACTTTTTTATTAATATTTTCTTTCTTTCTTCCCACCTGTCCCCGTGTTTCCAGCCACGATCCGATACTTTATGCCTCCCTCGGTAAATCGTTGCAAAGCCGTGTAAACGTCAGCCAACGAGGTGGCAGTAATCCATTCTTCGCCAGATTTGAGTTTGACGTAAATCTGTGAAAGGCCACTGCAACATTCGATGTCCTCAATGTCCTTGTCTTTGTTCTGACAACAGTTTATTTTCATGGGGCAGCCGTTGCATGCCTGGGAAAAATATGTAATATTTCGGCCTTATAGTCGGATAAGAATAGATGAAAAGTTGTTCAAGTACCCACCGAATTCCCATCGGCCGCTTTTCTTTTCAATTCTTCCGATGCGTCACTAGCAAGAGCTTTAAAGGCGTCCATGATAGGACGATATCCAGTACAACGACATAAATTCCCGTCAAAGGAATCTTCAACATCTTGCGTTTTAAAGGTTGGCTTTGACTGCTGCAAACTGGAGGGATATGTAATCAGTTGATATTTTGTAGTAGATACATACATGGAATTAAGGTAATTTTTTACACATATGTATGTATTTCCTACGAACCTGTACATATTCATGACCATGCCGGGAGTACAGAACCCGCATTGGGAAGCAGAAAACTTGACGATTTGTTGCTGAATTGGGTGATATCTTTGATAATTAATTGTACACTTGTTAAATAAACCAAAAAGTACATTGTCACTTTATCTCTGGAGAGTAATACCCATCTTTCTTGTTGCCGAGCCCCTCAACAGTTGTAATTTCCCAGCCGTCACAGGACAGGACAGGAGTCATGCACTAAATATATTTAGACGGATGAGTTACACACACAATTGTCCTTAATAAAAGGAGAGAGAGATAGAAAAGAAAATGCAAAAAATATTTACAGAATTCACGGCACGAATCTCGGTGTGATCTCGAGATTTTACAGACACCACGCAAGCCCCACATCCGCCTAAACATAAACATATGAAAAAAAGTGTTTGCAAAGTTTTGTAAATAAATGAATCGAGTTTTCTAAAAAGAATTTCAATTGTTCATGTATTTTGAAATAGTGACCTTCTCTGCACATGTATTTCGTCCCAGTGAGTCCAGCCTTGTCTCGGATGAAGTCCACGAGCAGGGAATTTGGGCCAATTTTGTCAACATCCGTTTTAACTGAGGAGATAAAGCATCTCTTTTTGAAATCAGTTCCTCTTGCATATTTACACATTTGATGCTTTATTTACCATTGTATTCTTTGCCATTGATAAAGAATGCAACGCTGTTCTGTTTCACGTTGTCATTACTGAAATAGAAAAACATGAACATTTACATTTCTGTTTTAAAATCCCTAAAAATGTCCCATCCCAAAATTCATCATATCTTAAGCCAAAGTATAAATCCAGGCTTATATCAGACACATATTCGCATTATGTTTGGTCAGGTTAATTCATATGAATAATTGATTGTCACTCAATCTACGGAATAAAATCCCATGTAAATAATTTTTGCAAATATATATATGCACTGAAGCTATTAAACGCATGACCTTGAAATAGTCAGATACATGTAAAAAAACTGCAAATCATCCCTGTTGAATAAGCCATCCGTACAAAAAAATTGAATTCAATGAAATTGAAAATGCGTTAATGTTGCAGTAGATACATACATATGTAAATATGCATACGTATGTATCTCAAAGACACCAGCTCTCTGCTCCTGCATAGCAATTAAAGGACACACAAGTACATTCAATTCGCCAATATTTTTGCAGGGAGTATTTACATAACATTCTCTAGCACACTTTTTTACTTGGTCAAATGTTCTAGTCTCAAGTATATATTACTAAAATGTTTGCAGAATTAGGTTTTAGTAACCGTCAAGAAAGGTCGAGTGAGTATATAATAAATAACAGCAAAAAATTAAGATTTGTACTACAGAGGGTTGGGCAACAAGAAGGAGCCACTTGAATTTTAGGGGTGGCGTGTGATGCACAGTCGCGGCATTTTCAAAATTTGCATATGTCATACCCAGAGAGTTAACGAAAATTTAGCACTATTCAGATTTTCCCTACGGTTAAAAATGCCCCTGCAGCACCCCCCAGAGTGCGAGGCACGCATAAAAGTGTTTTCCAAAGACATATTGAGCCAGAGAGCGATAGTTAGCAAACTTGCTGCAAATGGATCTATTGTCGGTCGAAAGTACGTTCATAATGTACTTAAAAACGTTGGAATCAAGCGGAGGGAAAAAGCGGTTACAGCTCCACCCCCACGGAAAGGATACCCAAGATCCGCCTGAACCAAACAGTTGATCCGGAAAATAAATTTTTTCGCCAAAACGGTAAATCCACCAACTAAAAGTTGCATGGCGAAAATGTTAAACGTTAGTAGGAGAAGAGTTCTAGGGTCATTCACAATGACCTACAGCGAGTGACTCGTAGGAAATCCCGAGATCATGCTCTCAACCCAACTTATTTCTCACAAAATAGCACCCTACGCAAAGGATTTTAACAAAAGTTTGGGTATAACAATTATTCCTACTACAGAAACTCTCGTTAGTTCCTCTGATATCAATCCGATGTTTTTTTTGGATTCGGGTACTTAAAACAGAGCCTTCGTGAAAGGAAAACGCGCACGTTTTGATGCACTTTGGAAAAGTGTTCAGGACGAGTGGTGCAGAATCACTCTGAAAATGGTGTCAAAGGTCATGACTGGTTGGAAAAAGCGACTGAGGCTCGTTAGATAAACTAAAGGGCTTCACATTGAACCAATTACCAAACTTCACAAACGAATAATAAGGCCGCAATAAATTTAGGCAAAGTGGTTCCTTCTTGTTGCCCAACCCTCTGTACTGCAATGCAATTTCTCTTGGTCTTGATAGTGATCTGAGCACCTAATTAATCAATATGTGGCCCGATCTAATGTTTAAATTCAAACAAAAAATTGCTGGACTGAGCTCATGGCAATTTGTCTCACGTGCATGTCAAGGATTTTCAACAACGCTTGGAACAAAAACAATAAACTTTTACATGACTCTGAATTTTGAGCAAAAACTAAAATTCGAGTATAATTGTAAAATCCTTCGTATTTTCATGCCATCTTGTCATGCAATAGATACAAAATGTATATATATTTTACTACTTACAGGGAAAGTTGGCTCTGTTCAGCCCCCATGTCTCACCACTAAAATGCTACTTCCACTAAAAATATTACTTACACAACTTGTCAAAATTTTAATAAGCCAGAAACCACCTGGCAGCCCAGTTACCAACAAAGATCCAACAATGGACTAAACCTAACGAAACATGACCATGGTCTGGTCGCTGAACAGGATTTTCTTAAAAGGCACAGAGAATACAAATTGGATATGTGTTTACTATGTACATCCACTAAACCTTAGCTTAGTTAGTTGTACATTGTATTATATGAGCTATGAACATGTTGTATAACTCACTGCGGATGATGCTTTAGAAAAATGCAATGATGTTTTACTTTGCATAAGTAAATATATAGAAGTAGAGATGAGATACGCCTCAAAGTATTATATTATATTGCAACCAACAATTATGCATGTGCTATAGTAGGTACATGTATTGGTCCATACATGACTATGGTTTGAGAATTATTGCAAAATCATGTATACAAAATTTTTAGGCTGGACAGCTCGGCCCCAATTTTAATAGCGTTGATGAAGCATTTGCAGGTAAATTAAAGTTTTGCATACAAACATTTTATGACAGGTTTTTTAACTGTTAGGTATTTATGATAATTTTAGTACATCAATTTATATGCCAATGTAATGTCTGCTACTTCCTGTTGGTCATTTAACGACAAATCCCAAAGAATTGATTACCACGAACAATGCATGTCAACCCAGTCCGACAAGGTAGCGGGGTCTGATCTCTCGCCTTCATTACGGAGCATTTACTTCCCTCCACACTTGCACAGGTTTTCTGTTCCTCATCCCAAACTTGGGCAGGTGATTGGGCACATTGACACCGTCCTTGACGACAGTAAAGACCTCGGTGAAAGTAGTCGCAGTCGTCTTCCATCCACCCACCGGGTTGACAGGGTTGGAGGTGATCTGAGGTAAAGAGAATGATAAGACATGACTACCACTTATCTATTACTCCTTATTTTTATACACCTGTATAACATCTTTCGTTATCCAAAGATGGCAAATATCCAGTCCCACACTCACAACTGAACCCAGTAGGTGACCCCGTGTCCATGTTGCACGTCATGTTTTGGTCACATCGGAAGATAGGATCGACCGGATTGCAGGGAAATCCGACCATGATTCGACACGCCATAAGGTCATGGTCAAACCGCTGGTTTAACGGGTTCTGACACTGACACTTGCCAAATGTGCAGAGCAGTTGATCGCTGGGGGAACAGTCGGTGGTGAGGTCACAGTCTCCTCCTTCGGTGGGGTGGCAGAGGCGGTCGGGACCTGATTTGAACAAATTTTCAAAAAAATAATTTTTTTTTCGAAAAAATGGCATGTCTTAAACATAAATATATATATCCATATGTCACTCACCTTGGACGTATGACGACCCACTGCACTGACAAGTGTACCCATCTGCAGTTCCGTTGTATTCGCACCGGGCATGAGAAACGCAGGCGAGTCTGTCATCCCCAAAGTCCTCGCAAGCCGCACCCGTCAAAATGAGGCAGGTGGAGTTGACCTCGTCATAAATTGAGTCCGGAATGCAGGTGCATTTCAGGTCGCGACATTCCAGGCCGATTGTCGTGTCGCAATCTGGGGTCAATTGACAATCCTCGCCGTGACCGAGTTGTCCTAAAGCTCCGTTGATAAGGAGAAAAGTAAGTGTTAATAGGAAGGGAAATTGGGACATTTTTGGAAATTTTATTTTTTTTTTATTAAAAATAATTATGAAACAGGTATATCTTGCTTCCTCAATTATATGTGTGTAACTGCACAAAGGGAACATGTATATATATGCACGATGTACTTATCAATCTAGATAAGGACTTTAAATTGGTATTGATAATTTCGTTTGAACAAAATCAACCAAGTTTATTCCTGGTAAATGTGACGTGATCTTGGTCCAAATCAGGTCTCATTCTGTAAAAACGAAAATTAAGGTTAATGTGAGGCTTATCTGTGACATAACGTACTAAACTTTGACTCAGAGCTTAGTCATTTTATCACGTCAGAACATCATTAGTAAAGCAATATTCTCCAATTTTGTCATCAATTTGCTCACATTGGGAAAATTGAGACGGCAATGATTATATGTATTTATGCTCATATGCATGATTTAAACGCCAAAAAGAGGCAACTTGAGACCACCGTTGTTTTTTCAAGAATTTAGAGTTTTCACCTCATTTTGACAGTAGAATTCGTCGTATACCCCGAATTAATTTTGTCATCGTCATTAGTTTCCAAAATTTACAACTTTCAAAAGGTCATGCATTTTTTGACTAACTGACTGGCCTTCTCTCATCTCATCTGAAATCTCTCATCCACACTCTCATCTCAATCTCACTTCACGCACGTCATTTATTTTCAGCTTTTTGTTGCCATTCTTTGCCATAATTTTTAAACCCGTGGTTTCGATAAGGTCCAATTAGTTTAAGGATAAATCTTGCGAGAAATGGTAAGTTAATTGAATTACTAGCGATAACTGATATAATTCAACTTAATTATCTTATCGACAGGGTCAAAATCAATCGTTTGGTCCACCCGGTCAAAACAATGCGGGTGAGAAGAAGCCCGAAAAGAAAAAGTACGAGCCACCCGTGCCATCAAGGTTTGGAAAGAAGAAGAAAAAGTTCAGTAATAAGGGACCCGATGTGGCACAGAAACTTCCACAAAGTAATAACCATCCTTAATTTTAACCGCGCAATTAACTAAATGTTTATAATTTATCTATCATATTTTTTTAAATTTCAGTCACTCCACACGCCTTGTGTCGACTCAAACAACTGAAAACGCTTCGAGTTAAAGACTGGCTTTTGATGGAAGAGGAATTTATCTCAAATTCGGAACGATTACGACCACAGGAAGAAAAGGATGAAGAGGAACAAACCAAATTGGACAATTTGCGAGGAAGTCCAATGGCAGTGGGAAGTTTGGATGAAATTATTGATGACAATCATGCCATCGTGTCGACCGGATTAGGGTCAGAATTCTACGTTGGAATTATGAGTTTTGTGGATAAGGACCAATTAGAATTGGGCTGCTCTTTGCTTCTTCATCATCGAGTTCATGCCGTCGTTGGAATTTTGGATGATGACACGGATCCAATGGTGGCCGTGATGAAATTGGAAAAAGCGCCGCAAGAAACATATGCTGATGTTGGAGGTGGGTCGGGTGAAATTACAAATTACTACACAATTCGATAATAAATTGCGTGTGGTGTTTACTGAAGAGATTTGCGATGTGTCGAAGCTTCAATTTCGTTTGCTTGCTTGTTGTGTGCAGGACTGGACACTCAAATTCAGGAGATCAAAGAATCTGTAGAACTTCCTCTCACGCATCCCGAGTACTACGAGGAAATGGGAATTCGACCACCAAAAGGAGTCATTCTTTATGGTCCACCAGGAACTGGGAAAACTTTGTTGGCGAAAGCTGTAGCAAACCAGACTTCTGCCACCTTCCTTCGTGTCGTTGGGTCTGAATTGATCCAAAAGTATCTGGTATGATTTATCATGCATTAAACAAACTAATTTATTTATTGTAACTCTGTATTGATTAAAGTTTGTACATATGTCTCGAAATAGGGGGATGGTCCAAAACTTGTCCGTGAACTTTTCCGCGTGGCTGAGGAGCACGCTCCCTCAATCGTCTTCATTGATGAGATTGACGCAGTGGGGACTAAACGGTTAGTTGTCGTGACTCTTGTTTCATACGTGAGAATAAATTTGGTGGCATTGCTTAACTCAATTTATTATTGTGTCTGATATGACAAAGTTATGATTCCAATTCGGGCGGAGAGCGAGAAATCCAGCGAACCTTGTTGGAACTTCTCAACCAACTTGACGGGTTCGATTCTCGTGGGGACGTGAAGGTCATCATGGCCACCAACCGTATTGAGACTCTGGATCCTGCACTTATCCGCCCGGGTCGGATTGATCGAAAAATTGAGTTCCCACTTCCAGATGAGAAGACTAAACGCCGAATTTTCGCCATTCACACTTCTCGCATGACGCTTGCCCCTGATGTGCAGCTGGACGATTTGGCTATGGTGAAGGATGACTTGTCCGGTGCAGACATCAAGGTGTGTTATATTTTACAAACCCTACTTTGCAGAATTGAATTTAAAATTGCTTAAACCTGTTTTTTCCGTGGTTTCAGGCCATTTGCACCGAAGCTGGCTTGATGGCTTTACGAGAGCGTCGCATGAAAGTGACAAATGAAGACTTTATACAGTCAAAGGAGAACGTTCTTTACAGAAAGAAAGAAGGAGCACCTGAGGGATTATACTTGTAGGATTTTTTTTCATTTCTGAATTCCCCAACATAAAATTTTTAATGATCTCATTGAGAAACAATTGAACCGAAATCTACAAGAATAAATTTCATAATAAATTTTATTATACTTGTTTTTTGTAACTTTTTGAAATAAAAATAAACAATAAGTTTGTATTCTTTTATTATTATAAAATTAATTGCATAGCTCAAACAACCGTTTCATAAAAATATAATAGTACTTCTGCATTATAACGAGATTTGTAAAAATTATTAAAATACGTTTCAAAAACCTCCCAAAAGACTCAGTTTGCAGCACTAGCAGTGTTAGCATTGACATTATTCGTCCTCCTGTTAAAAATGAGTCCCAGCAAATTTTCCGCAAATGTGTTTGTCAGTCGATCGTTTCGATTATTGTTGCGGAACAGACGCTCCAAAAAATTAGCGGCTCGTGACGATTGAAGGAAATCAATTAATCGTGGTCGAACCCTGTTGGTGTTCACGTTCGTGGGAGGAACATCGGACGATCCGTCGATCGAATTCGATGTCAAGACTGGATTTCCAGACTCCAACTGTTGAGCGAATCCAAACAGTCCTCCGGAATTTCTGGCCCCATCGCCGCTGTAAAGTTGTCGAAGTCCTTGCAATTGTTGGAGAAATGTTATCAGCGGGGAAATGGGATCGGGTTGTTGTTGAGCAAACTGTAAATTCAAATTAAATATAATTTTTCCAAATTAAAAATTAATTTAAAAAACTTCACTCACCACTTCTCCAAAACCAACAATGCTAACAGAACAAAGGAAGATGATGGAGAACAGGTTCATTTTTTTGAGGTGTTAAAAACCAATCCGTTTTAAAAAAATACAAATATGTAGTCACACTTAAAAAAATCATGTGGCTCTGTGAAGTAAATTATAGCTACTGGAAGAGCTGGTAATTATGTAAGTGCTATTTATCACCTAAGTTTGTAATGTGTTACCTGTACACTTAAATTTCCTTATAATCAGAAATACATCCTGTGTATTATTACTTTTTACTACAATTATTATTTTGGTCAAGATTACATAAATCAATTCTATAAAGGTTACTACTTATCCATCTCCATAAATAAGTGATCATCAATTTTGTGTGATTAGGAGGATCGAAACAACATGCACGCTTTTGCTTTATTAAATCAAACAATGCAATTACGACTTCCGCAAAATTGAGAATTAAATAATTTCTGTGAATCATGCTTCACACACTCATGACCTTTACGCGCATCTACGTATGCAGTTTTTCTGTGTGCAGATCTCGAGTTAATTGGAGGTAACACTCGCAGATTCAGCGATGCACCATGAACAATGCATTTTATATGAGTCAAGGAATACGTAAGAATGCAAGAATTCCTTTAATTTAAATTGAGTTCCGACTGGCTGGGCAAGTAAAAATCGTTATGTAATCAAATAAATTATGAAGACGTGAACATAATGAGCGAATGAGTGATACGTTCTTATCACAGCTACTCGATGCTTATCTCTAGTTTTAATGAACCCTCATTCATATTGGGACAAATCTATTCAAATAATTTGAAGATAGCGGAAGCTTTTGACTAATTGAAGGGCAACACGCATGATGTTTCTTTACAAATTCACTAATTTATGCAAATGTGTGAAATGAATTTTTCATGCGAGAGGATAAAGTTATGTCAGTGGAAGAAATCGAAAGTCAGAAAGATGTGTATGCTTATCCATAAGTCTAGACTGACATAGGAGACGACTTCACTGAAGCGATTGACGATGCTTATCGATTGTGACTACCGGTTCACGAAGCAACATATCGTATGTACATAACCTGCTTGTTCTTCTTACATAAAGCATGATATATATAAACTGGAGCTCCATCGTAAAACTACCCATGTTTCGCATATCAGAATATCAAGTGTCAAATCTCACCTGTCAATATTTGCAAATTTTATAGGCATGTACACACTACAAATACACAGATTGTAGATGGATACGTGTGTTTATCTTCCCCTCGTCTCATTGACTGGATTGCATATGATATATGCCATATAAAGTCGTCGTCGTATACAACATGCACACACAAACAAGGACACTTTCCATGCAAATCCTTTGCCAATTGCCAATTACATACATATCTAACACGGTTCTGAAGTGTCGCATCCAATCCGTCGTTCGTTGCTGTGTATTTGACTTGCTTCAAATAAACTGTAACAACGAAATGAAACATCACCCACAAGTCAAGTGTTGAAGGAGGAAATGATATCGGTTGAACTACAAACACAACAAGTAATCAATATTGGCTGCAAATAAAGGAAGGATTTTACGCTCACTGGTTCAAGAAGACAGAGAGGTTTCGCATCGTCGAGTCCTCAGAAGAGTACTACGTACATATTTTAGATCTGATATGATGACGAATCTGCACCATTATTTCTGAACTCATCGCCTCTTCTGACGTTAAGGATTTTCTTCAGAAGGAGAGCACGATAACAAAGGGCTACAGGGAAACAAAGTAATTTGGAACATTTCAGGATTCCAGTCATATCACTCGATAATTGGGGGAGATGGAGCTTGAACGAAGCGAAAGGTTGTTACAGCACTTGCCCCAGATTCGAGAGATGGTCGACTATTTGGAAGTGAGTGGAACTTTGTTGACTTCCGGAATCATTAGTTCAACTGACCACCGCACTTTCTTGGGGGTGGTCAGTTCGGCCGGAAATTCGAGTGGAATTCAGGAACTCGTGCAAGTTTTGAGACTCCGGTATTTCGCAAATTCTCTACATTCCATAATATTTGCGCTATTTTAACAAAATTCTCTTCAATTACGTAAATATTCCAGGCGGAATGGTTTTACAGCGTTTGTAAGCGCACTTCGGGCCAATGACTACACCTGGCTGGCAGAAAAACTTGATCCCGAACCATTTACCACCACTAAAGCAGAAGGTGCATATCAGAAAATTGCAAAATTATGTACAATTACAAAAAATAATACTAATTTAAATACTCAGAACCACCGACTCGACGAAGAATTAGTGGACTCTTAAAAAGATCCCGGAGTCGAAACAGTGAATCATCCCGACTGAGTGGGGAGACCGTATTCACGACGTACCGACGTATGTATCAATTTAATGATATCTAGCCTCAGATGATAAACCCATCCACATTTAACCACTCATTTCAGAAAGCTTTCCCATGGATTTATCCGCCTCTTCTCGCAGTTTAAACCAATGTCACACCACTCTGACCAAATCCTTTGACAGTCTGAACCTACAAGGAGACCGAGAAAGTATGGCGTCATCATCATCATCCTCCAAGAGAAAAAACTCTATCGCATCCGCCCTACTTCTCAACGTCCCAGCAGAAGCATCGAGTCTCCCGGATGCTGAAATTGTCTCCAAAATCGCAGCAGAGTTTAACTTCTTCTCCCTCCCGGAGTCTTTAGCCAGTTTGAAACGAATCAACATTGCCAGCAAGTCCCCACAGAGTAAGAAGAAGCTCAAGAAGAAGGAGAAACTCGCTGCTGCCCATTTAACTGGTGGCTGTAAGAGTGTAAACCTAAAAATAAAATTCAAAACGAAGGATGCCCGAGACCGATTTGTGGCCGGGGTCAACTCCTCCTCCATCTTTTCTGATCTGGGGGGAATTAAAGGAGTTCCACTGGATTCGAAGAAGGGCGACAAAGCAAATTCCACCACCACCACCGGAGGATCATGGTTTAGCAAACTTTTAAAAAGATGATAACACATACGACGTGTCCTTTCCCCCATTTTTTGCTGATTTAAATTGTGACGGAAATACATACTGGCATTTTTCTTCCATTGATCCCGCTTCAAAAGTCTGCGTGAAAAATAAGAAATGTACGTTTCACCATGCAAATAACCCGAGACAGAGAAAGTTGTCCTTACACAAGTGCAGAATTATTTTCCCCAGCCGCACACATACATACATGCATTCAGAGACCGCAGCCATTAGGTTTCAGTACCCATGCGGTGGTGGTAGCGTAGATGGTGGAGAAAGTAGAAGTAATAGGAATATATGTAATAATATTCATAAAGAGTCCTTTTATGGGACGGATATTTTGATCTGTCTTCACAGATTCAGATCACGATCTTCCCCTCTTGCTCTTTTGATCCTGAACTCGTTTGCTGCTTTCCTCCACAATGTTCTTCCAGTATAAAACACAGAGTACACGTACATACATACATATCCTTATGCATGTATATCTATGTACATACGTACATATGTATGCATCCAACTTTAACTTGGAGGGTCCAAGAGTAGCGTTGTTGTCGCATTAAGCAGGACGTAGTACGACATAGTAATAATAGTTTTATGCCGCAAGAAATTCAGCAATTACACTTTTTATGGGGGCCGTCTACTCCTTGCTACTGTTGACATTTAACTCTCCCACTGGTGCATTACTCCAGCGTCTCCATTATACTTGAAGAAGATAATGAGGGAAAGGCGACCACTATAATTAAAGTTTGAGTTAGGGAACAGTCTGGGCATCCTAGTGAGCGAGTTGACTTTTTCTCCTCGCCACTTACCAGTAATGTAAATGATTTTTGTCACTAAGACTTCTAATTTGCAGCTAATACAAAATGGATTGATTTCGTTTTGGTGGCAATAAATTCCCAAGTTTGTGCTTTACAATTGCCATGTTGCATAAATTCCATAATAAATCTCGGTGAAAAGTATTGGACTGAAACATGATATGAGTCCATGTTTCAGTTCAATACTTTTCTCTGAGATTTATTATGGAATTTATGCAACATGGCAATTGTAAAGCACAAACTTGGGAATTTATTGCCACCAAAACGAAATCAATCCATTTTGTATTAGCTGCAAATTAGAAGTTTTAGTCGAAATTTTTCTCCTTTTCTGGTTCGCGATGCCCCGTTTGGAGAGTGGGAACGGTCACTCTCAAAACCCAAAGCAACTTTTTACATGCAACTGCCTGCATTGTTTACATGAAAATCAGCTGCTCTCTTCGCCCCGCCCCCCCCCCTCATTAGCAAAAAATCTCTCGGCACACAAGGAGACGCAACCGTCGTCTCTGTCTTTTAGTTATGAGATTTTTTCAACGTATATGCCTTCTTAAGCACAAAAGAATAATAGTAACTGTAATACAGATGAGATTCTAGTTGAAAAAATTCCTGCCTCGGGTCACAATTCGACCAAAAAGTATTTGATCGACCCCATTCCGCCACCACGTCCCTCAGCCTTTTGTCTTTATCTTCTTGCCTTTTTGGTCTAGACTTGTGCTGTCGTCGTTCTAGTTCTATTCTATTTTCTTATTCAGGACGAAGGATAACCTCGTCTGAACAGACTCGGTTCTGTTCTGTCAGTAGTTACGTTTCGCTACGTGGTCGGGTGCAAAGTTGTTCTCCATTTGGCCGCCGTCTGTTGAGTTGAGGGACAGCAGAATAAAGTACCTACTGGAAGATTATTATACCGAAGAGATGGAGAATTATTCCCACTAAAATGAACCTCCCTGCTGAATTCGAAATCATTATTGCCCTTATTTATTACTTATGTATGTGCCTGGGTTCCTTGGAATTTGCAATTTGTATGTCCTCCCACAGAATTTGGGGAAGGAGGCAAATTTCCGATCTGATCTGATCGGACGCTTGTTGGAAATCTGGGAAGGAAGAAGACAAAACAAGGGTTGGATTTGTGTATACAGAGAAAAAGAGAGGACAAGGATAAGACGATGATGATGGGATGGATGACCAAGATCAAATTGAAATTCAGGCTGCGACCCTGTGATTTACCTCTTTATATAATGGCTGGGTATGCCATGGGCAATGATGACAAATACATAAATAAGACAAAGGAGGCATGGAATGGAGCTCTGGAAAGTTGATGAGGAAGGATGAAGCTTGTTTATATCTTTTTTAGGCGAATTTTACGATATATTTTAAGATCAATGTATAAAATACTTTATGAAATAAATGAAATTAAAGCTAAATGAGAAAATAATAAATATTGGATAAAAGTTCTCTATGACTTTCACTTGAAATTTGAACTTTCTCCTTAATTCTTTCATCTTTCTCAGTCATTTTTCTTATAAGTAGATTCTCTACAAGTAGCAAATAATCACAAGTTATTACGTATGTTGAGCACACGTGTAGAGATATCGTGATTCCCAAAGAGACACTTCCAAATATGACGAGATATACGATTAAGCTGCAATTTATTGTAGTCGTATCCACCTCTCGAAACCAATAAAACTTTTTTATCACACTTGTGACAGTTCTTTTAAAATTGGGGAGTTAAATTCAACAGGTCTCGTAGATACTTCAATCTGATGTCGTTAGCCATAACTGGAAAGTAAAAATGTCATGCCCACCCGAAGTTCTTTTCTTTGATAGCAATTTTATTACGAGTTTTGAAAAGGTTCACGAGGAACTTTGGAGAAGAAATGATGCAATAAAGTCATGCAATTATAAAGTGGGCGAAATAACTTTATCTAATTTCTTAAGCAAACTTAAATTTTTAAATTTGTTTGCACTTAATTCGCAATTACATATTGTAAATTTCGTGTAATAACTGCCTCCCAGTTTATTAATACAAAAGGCGTTAGGACATGGTTTTGACGAATTCATGCCTTAATTGCGGGATGGATTTTAGTCATAGAGATTTCTAACTTTTTTTATCTGAAAGCCCATGTCTCAAACTATAGGTAAGCATATCTGGCTTCCGATTTTGTGTACTCTGCGAAATGAGGCAAGGTCAAATTTGGAGAGGTGTCCTTTTTTAGTTTTCCAAACCAGTGTTGTTATAAAATGGCGTTGAACAAAATATTTTTTTCTGAGGTCCTGATGCAAAAATAGTTTTTGCGACTATTTTTAAGGGACTTAGCATGCTTTTCACTATATAAAACCACTTTTGCCTCATGCTTATCTTTTAAGTCCGTTTTACAGTCTAATTTCATACTTGTCCTAATGAAATGCGCTCTTTAACGCAACTCTTCCACTTTTAAGGCCCCCACATTTTACGACTTTGATGCTAAAAATCCCTTACGTGGTTTTTATTCAAGGTACATATAGTATATTGCACTGTAAGTACTTTTGACAAAATTTTGATAAGTGGTTACACCCCACGGACTGAGTTTTCATCAGACCTTATAAACTTTTTGGAAAAGTTCCCGTCGTTTTCGATGTCGAACTTCAGAAATAATTTAACTAACCAAAACGCAATAATTTTATTATTTTGTCACTTGTACCTTGTAGATAAAATAGTTCTGCAGCAGGGGACACCAAAAGATTATTAAAATTTATTTTCGAAAAAATTTGACCATTAATTTTCCAAATAAGTTCACGAGTTTTTTAGGATTCTGCGACAGCTGATTAGCTCGGGTCCTTCTATAAAACTGTTTACACAAAATCTTGACTGTTTGTTTTAATATTACTTAGGACACTTCCAGCTTTACCCTCAAGCTGCATTTGACCCGGTGGGTCAACTTTCAAGGTCAGCAGGTTAATTTTTCCGCGCACGGTCTGATTTATCATTTTTTGGGCAAACTATCCGCGATGATGGAAGGCCCACGTTGTGTGATTCATTACGGATTCTTTTATTATTACATGCAATGATTATCTAGGGTTATTATATTAACAATCATTCACCTCTGACCTCTTTGGTTATCATGCTATATAAGCAATTAAGTTTGGAAAGTGTTTTTTGGCTTCTACCAACTCCGGGGGCACTGTAGGGTGCATTTGTGAAGCTATCACCCTAAAATTTTAAAGATATCTTTTTGAGAGTATTATCTTGCAACCTACCAAAAATCAGTTCAAAATTCAACTCCCCGCCAAAGATATTCACCCGAGAATTCGTCAAAACCATCACCTAACGCCTTTTGTATTACCGTCCAAATGATATACATAAAGTGAAGAAATTGCGAAACATGATCACTTCGAAACCTGAGCTGAGCGAGAAGGTGAGACACGTTCTTTGCGAATGCAGGCCGACATGACATGGCTATGACAGACAGACAGGCAGCATGAAATGCACAGCTATTTGGCTGGTTGGTCGGTCTGGTTTCAACGGTGGTGGTCCATGTTCGTGGTGTAGAATGACGTTGTTTCACTCATTCTTAATAAGGAGAAAGCAGCAGGAAGAACATAAGAGTTAAGAAATAAGAGGAATTTAATTTCGATGATTATTTGCTCTCTCCAGTTGCGTCACATCACATCACCAATCCACACTTCAAAAGGGGAGAAAGTTGGTGTGTGTGTATAAACAAAGGAAATCTGAAACGGAAAGTTGCTCCGTAAACAATGTGTAGGATTCAAGATTTTGAGACCAAAATTTTGAGAAAATTAACGATACTGAAATATTTCTATTACTCAGCATGCTTATCTTGGTTATTAATAAAAATTATTTATGCAATACAATATTTCGTGAATCGGAACTCAAGTCACACAATATTCACAATTGACCCAACTTTCACTTTTGTCTTTTTGTCCAACGTGCTTTACTTCATCATTTATTCCTCGTCTTTTCTTTATCCTCTGAAGAAAAGCCTAGCTGCTGGTGGTGTCAAATGTGTACGGATTCTGCAGCTCAGCTCTGGCCCTAATACCATGAAACACCTTAGCAAATATCCTCCCGCTGCCCGCAGTGACCAAGCCCAGTAATAATTTCTTAATAGCTTTCTCTCTCTTGATCAACTTTCTCTGAAAGAAATTCTCTCCTCTCTTCATCAATTAAGAGTGAAATAGATAATTGAAAGGTCTCCTGAAGAACAAGAAAAGAAAAGATGTCGTAACCTGCAATCTTTTTAGTAATTTACTTATGTATCTAGGTATGTACTCTTTAATTTTGGACGTAAAATGGGCCGCCCCGGTTTAATTAGTTCCCCCATTTTCCTTGAATACATAGAAGGAATCCTTACCCGAATCCGGTGAGGAAAGGATAAATAAATTGAGTTCGAATTAATACATTTTGCCGTGCCCTATTATTTAATGAACCTTTGAATGAGTATCCATCATCCCACTTACACCCCAAAGTTCGTGTTCATGTTTATTTAGTCCTACGTACAGCTTTTGAAGTCCGGGTCGGTTTCAGTTTTGACGTATTAATTACGACGAAGAGAGAGAAGAGGAACAACGAGACTCCTGTTACTTACCCACCATGATCATCTTCATCACACAACACGGGAGGACTTTCTCTCTAATAACTAAAGTAACTAAACTTGTGATATATGTACTTTCCAGAGCACTTTGAGTCATAATGGTGCATGGAGTGATATGAATGTGAAATTGTGTAGCTTAACCTAAACTGCACGCAATTTCTACGATATTATTCGAGTTGGCCCTCGTCGTCTGCTCACTTGGTTTCATCCAATGAAGAAATTGCTCCATGGTTAATTAGCAATCTGCTCTTGTTAGAAGTGTCAAAGTCTCTCTGTCATTCCATTTTATGTTGTCGCATGTCTTGTTTTTGCCTGGTAGAAATGGGAATGAGTTCCTCCTCACGTCTCGTGCGAGCCAAACTGCGTTGGTTGGTACATAACTGGAGGACAAATACATAAGTGGAGTGGAGAAAGCCGGTAATTGAGACTAAATGACAGGGTGAAGCTCGTTCTACACCTACACTTAGGCTATTATTTGTTACAAAACATACAAAATGTGGGAGTAATGCAAACAGAATTATTTGTACTGTTCGTGTTGATGACAGTGGAAAGATTGCATATTTTCAGAATATTTTTAATTCAAAATTGTAAAAAATATGTGCAAACTTTCTTTTTCAAACTAAATACTTATTTCACTTCTATTGTTCCACCACGTTTAAGGTTGCCTGTTATATACCATACTTATTATTTTCCTGAGCCTTCCTTTCAACCAGGTTCTCGTGGTTGGGTTTGGTTTGGAGTTACCCATTTCTCCCCAGTTTCAACCGTGTAGTTGTTGCTTTTTTTGTGGAATAATTAAATTTTCTATTTGAAGAGGGAAAGCTGTTAAGAACCCTTTTGTTCTTGCCATAACAATTTAGTTTTGGTTTCGGGTGGGCAAAGAAGGAAGGAAGGAGGCAGAGAGAGAAGAGAAAGCTGTTACTTTGTTTCGTGAGAGACAGGATGTGAAAGGTAGTCTGCGCCCGGACTGTGAATCGCACTCGTTTAAATTGTTATAACAATTGCACACTAACATTGAGTCGTACTGTGTCCAGAGAGATGCTTCGTGGTGAAAGTGTGTGATGTGTTTTCACCACCAGTTGTTTGTAACCAAGTAGATGTACTTTTCTCATGCGCATTTATTCTTAAAGACACTTTTTTTATGGGAAATGGAGTGAGTGTTTACCGACCAACAAGTTTTTCAGGGAAGGAATTCTCCTTAAAATATTTCCCCGTAATTTGACGAGCTTTCAGGAAATTCCTTGTTTCTTCTTGTTCCAATTACTGTGTTCATGTGTCTGCACTTATCTACTCTGCGGGCGAGTAAGTGCGTTGCAAATTATATATGGTTGATGAAGGATTATCCTACACTTTCCCCTTGTTGAATGTTGAATGTTTTTGGATTTTCTCTTGGGAAATTATCTCATCTCCTACTTTGAAGTTGTTTTAGACTAAACTGAGGGACGTATCTGTACAAAGGTGATACGGTGGTAGATAGATACGTTACGACGTCACGTTTTACGTGGTGTTACATACATACAAGGTTCTCTGGCTGGTAAAATGTGGGTTTCAGGTGCCATTCCCCTCTCATCTTGCAGGTCATTATCTTCCACTCGACTTACAATAAGGACGTTGTAAAGGCAGAGGCTATTCCGTTTTCAAAATGGATTACAATTACCTGGAAGGAAACAGTGTGTGTTTTTTTTTTGTGGGCGTATTTGATAGTTGTTTCATTTCATGAGATTTCCTTTGTTTCGTTAAAAACTGTTTAGAACCAGGATTTTGTTTTGTTCTGTGTCTTGACCGCAATTACGACCCCGTTCCTTGACCATTAGTGCCCATTAACAAGTAATTGAGGCGAGAGTGTACGTACTCATGATCAGATTTTGTTTGGATTGGATGAACCCTGCTTAGATACTATTAAATGTCAGGATTAGACACACATGTCCACATCGAAGTTCGGACTGATCACGACCAGAATGGGACTGGAAATGAAATTGCCCTCGATTTTATCTCCCCGTCTGAGATTGTATCCTTTGATTTTTTCCTCTGAGCACCTACCTCAGCTCACTCGAAAGAGCTGCGATTTACGAACGGTACGTAAACAAGACTTTGAAAGAGGTCAAAATGGTATCTTGTTTCATTCAGTTTGTTTGTTTTTGATGCACCAACGGTTCGATAAATAAATAAAAAAGGTTTCTTTGTCATGATTTCAATGACATTTCAGGATATTGATCCTTCCCAAAAATTACTTGGTGTTTGGTGACCTATCAAATTCGGTCGCAAATTGGTCAGCCTTCATTTGATCCTCCTCAGTCAGTCACCACTTGCTTCAATATCTTCAATGGACCATGGACACAATAGGGCAATTGGTACGTACAACTGGGTCCTCTACTCTTTGAGATGACGATGGGTATAAATGGTCGCCTCTGGCATTGTCTGCCGAGCCGTTATTGTACTACGAGGAAAGAGAAAGGGTTCAGATGCGAGAAAGAGAAAGTCCCACCACCACCACCACGATCGGAACAACAACAAAAATACTCGCGACGATCGTATCGTATTGAATTTCTGGCAGTTTGATAGAATTGGATGGAGGAGAAAGTGGTGCACATTTCAGGACTATTCCACCACCACTGCTTCTCTTATGTACGACCATGAGTTCCTTCCCAAGATTCTGGTTGAGTAAACTGACCCAAAATACTTCGTGTGTATTTGGCCCTGGGTGGTTGATGTTGTTGGGTTTAAGGAGAGAATAATGGAGTTCGACAAGATTTCACTTTTAGACTTTACTTCTTGAGCCAATCTGGGTCCAATGAAATAGATAAATGCGCACCGTTTTAGATACTGGGTGGAATTGATACTCGACAATGGAGAGAGGCAGCCAAGATGTTTCCCTTTACTTGCACCCCGACGGCGTCACATTTGTATGTATATTGTCTCTCGGATTGAACTGGTTGATATTAAATGTGCTTTTTTGCCTGCATTTCCCCCGGCGGACGGCTTGACATAGATATTCGATAAGAAGAGCTTTAAATTTGCATATGGGTGTTAACCAATACCGGAAAGAAGAGGAAATTCTGTAGATGTTTTTAAAGTTGAATACATAGTTTTCATATCATGCATTTTTTCGCAGCACATTTATCCGCAAATTATTCAATTCGGCACGAATCCTCATTCGTGAGAAAAAGGGCTAGAATTTTTCCAGACTTGAACCCACATGTCCTAAATTTATATGTCTCGTCTCGCACGACAGACTCAACAAATCCGTCGAAATTTGGCAATTAGGCCAAAGATCAATTCGTTTCCTACCCTTTGATGGCACCCAGATCGGTTTCACTCCAAAAATCAAGAGCCCTCTTTACCAGTTTAAAATTACATTTTTGATTTGAAACACGATACTGACGGAGCTCAAAGTGAAAGTGATGACATTATCCAACTCGGTGGAAATAAAAGTAGAAAAAAAAATCATAATGATTTCAGACTTTAGTTACGAGGACCTGGTTTATCTAGTTTTAGTCTGGAGGAAAATCAGCTCTTACCGTCATTATTATTTTTATTTATGTACTGCCGACTGTCCCATTCGGGTGGAGTAATATGAGTCGATCTACTTAATTGTTTCCCAGTCCGTGAAACTTTATTATTATTGCGGAGGAGAAAATCGAGAGAGAAAGTCGTGGAATTTTCCCCTCTGAGAATAACACCCTACCAAATCCATTACGTCGCTAGTTGTGTAGTCATTATCGGAAGAGTAACGTGCAAAATAAATCTGAGGTCACAATAAATTATTTTGATAGCGCTACTTATAATGTGCTCCTTACAAACATTTGTTTGTTTTATGTACTGCTCGGCTGGATGTGGGTGGAAGGATGGATGCAAAAAACGAGGCAGTAGAACGTTGTCAAGCTTAAGTAGTTTTCACATTTTCAAAATAAATGATTTTTTACATATGTATGTACCTCCTTAAAAACCACTTTCATTAATTTGACTTCAGCTCCCGAATTCGCATGTTCTCTCAACATCACGAGAAGTTGTTCTTCCATTATCCTCCTTTTTGATACAGGAACAACAACAGGAACGCCGCTTAATTCGTTGCTGGTGAGATAAGCGGATTCCCCATTCTCGTGAAAAATGATTTAGGTTGTTCCACATTTAATTTAAGTACGTATGTTGGCAGTGGGTCCCTTCTTTTCTTTGGGGACTTTTGTGTCCATGTGCCGAGCAGATACCGTTCTTCTGGCCCAACTTTACTTAACAATTACAAATGAGTTTACGTAAGTCACCTCAGTCCGAGAAAGGAGGAGAAAGTACATAAGCTGCACGTTACAAGATTTTGAGCAGATGGTACGCTGGTCTTACTTACTTTCGCATTTTCTCAAGACATCCATCCTCAAACAGGACGAGGGAATCGTATCAAAGAAAGAAAACTAATTTGTCACATTATATTGGATTTGTATTTTATTCCTTTTCCCTCTCTTGGCAAGAAGACGATCAAGGTTTGAATTGACTATTCAACTTGGTCTACTGTGCAAGTAGAAACTTTCTCTTTTTGTAATGAAGACAACTGGCAACTGATATGTGTGTTTTGTCAGGTTTATTTCCATCCTGTTTAGTCTACAGGATGAGATAGTTTACGACAAATGTGTTTGTATCGTAATAAATAAATAAATTACTTTGCAAGGTACAAGATTCTTCTGAGCAAATGTTTGTTTCATCTTTTTACTTTTAATTTATCTATCTTCCTTATTTTCCACCATTAAATAAACTAGTGAAAAAGACAGAATTTATTAAGTATTCTGACGTGTTCTTCTTGTTTCACGGCGCAAATTAAAATTAGAATTGACCAGGATTTTTTTTCTGCGCTTGCGTCATCCTCAAAGTCCTTGATTGCGTAATTACTCACGTACTAAAAACAAAGATAGAAATCTTGCAATTTTATGCGGGATCATTTACGCTCAGATTTTGAGTTTGTTAAATAAACACAATCAAGGTGAATTAAATTACGCCACACATCGCCGGAGGAATTGCGGTTGAGATGCACGATTAAATTTGATACCACATACACCCCTTACAAATTATACAAGTTCACTAATTAGCCAACCGCAATATTTACCCCGCTAATAATAATAACACTCTCCGTTATCGTCCCATTTCGAACCCAACATATGCGCCAAACGGCTAATTAAGTCAATAACGAGAGTAAGCTTCCATCCTCAATCTGATAATTTGGTGAGGTGTCACACATTCTCGGCGTATGTATGACATCATTCGCATATCATTCCCCCCAATCCCGTCGACCTCCACGCGTGGAAGGCATTGTGTAAAAACAGGGGTAGAAATTCAGTATCATATCGAATCTCAACAAGCCTGATGGTGGTGGTGCACCTGAAATGTAGAAAATCGTATTATTTTTGCCAGTAGTCATCTGACATCCGCTTGAGCAGAGTTAGTTGACCTAGTTTGGAGCAAGTCCCTTATGGATAGAAGATGAGAGGATGGCAGCAAACAGTACATCCAATCCACCAGCCGTACAGTTGTGCAGAAAAGAGTATCAGTATTCCAGTCGGGGTGAATGATTTGCAATACAAGCGAAAAAGCAGGGGTACAACACAACACGAGAAAGTAAAACTTAACATCATATAAGCCAGTGCAAAATAAAGGGCAACATTTGGATTTAATGTTATCCTCCCTAGTAAATTCTAACCATCAGAAATTGATTAATCTTGACATTCCTGACCCTCTAAATTTGCAAATTCTACGTGTCCAATCAATTATAACTTTCCCCCACAACTTTCACCCATGCATACATCCTTTAAAATCCACATGCAGCAACACCGCAAACTTTTTGTACACCCCGTCACAAGACACAATGCATCCCGATTTCTCGCTCGCTCTTTCTCTTTTATGCATTCGTCGATCCTCTCCTGACTTAAATTCCAGTCTTCTTCTCTTTTCGGAGAAAGTTGTGTGTTCCATTCAGCAAGCAAGCAGGGTGGGTTTTGTGCTGAATTGGAGAGGAAGGAATATCCGCGAATCCGTCACCACTGGCTCAGTTCCCAGTCGACCTCCGAACACTCCACAGCCCGGCACCCTCAACAACTTTCCCCTGGATGAGATCACTCCACAAATGCACTCAGACTGACATTTACCCTCATTATTACCACCAAAACCATTAAAATTAGTTCCTCCCCACCCACCACATTAGTTGATCTTCTCCTCCTCCTCTCCTCCACTCTAGTTGGTTATTTATCTCATAATATTTTCCCCAGATTTTAACCCACGTAATAATTTTGACCTCGACCGCATAGTTCAAGTTGAGATTCCTCACCACCATCACTTTAACTTTCCTCTCCTCTCCTCCCTTTATTTGTTAAACAAAGTTTCTTCCATCACGGACAAAAAAGACGGTCTGGTGTGTCCCACTCGAAAAAGTTTTACTTTCACTGCGTGACTCGGCCGCCCAGTATGTGTCCCTCCGTTGTCGTGCAGTTTATTTAATTTTACTTAATCTCTCGCTCTCGACCTGGAGAAAGGGAAAAATCAATTAAAAATCCCTCATCGCTGGCTGGCTCTGGGATGTGCTGGATGGCTGAATGGAAAGCCGATTAGGAGAGAAGGACGCGGAATTACGAATCACATTTGGTCCTTCTGGTCAACAACAGCAAAAGGTGCGGAGATTAGTAAATAACTGATTCTTACCACTGGCAGAACCACCACCTCATTTATTTTATCCAGTCTCCCAAATCGAAACTAAATCCTGGCAAGTTAATTAAAACCTGGAAATGAGATGAGGCCTTGGAAAGGAGGAAGAAAATCAGTGAGTTATGTTACACTATAGCTAAAAAGTAGTAGTGGTGGTGGATATTGACTTATTTGCACTTTTCGGGCCAACCAGTTAACCTCAACCCTTTTGTGCCCACTTGATAAGCCGATCTCACGGCATGCGAGGAGGCAACCGAGTTGTTTAAATTTATTGCTTATTGGAAAAGTTTTGTTGAGAGAAAGTTTCATCGCTTTCCTCCCATTATCCCGAACAGCCGTGAACAAGGGGAGAGAGAAGAACAAACACTATTGACTGGATATTTCTCTCCACATCCTCTCCTCTCCAAACTCTGGGCAAAGTTTTCCAGCGATAAGGAAGAAAGAATCGAGAAGCGATAATCATAATAATCAAATAATAATCGTCTTATTAAATATTATTTCAACAAAAGTAAACAAAATGCTCGAAATTCTACGCAACCGAAGGTACGATAAGTGTCCCCTCGTAAAAAACTGTCCACATTTTGTATGGAAATAAGGAAGACGGAAATATTCAAGACAAACTCTAGGGGGAAAATTCTTCCTAAAATGCGTCTCACACTCGCTCCGAAAGTAAAATTGAGGCGAAACATGTCCCTTCAAATGGCAGTGGTGATAATCCTCGTCGTTTTCTTGGCACTCATTGAGGAGGGATCATGTCAGAGAAAAAAGGCCAACTCGTCCTCCTCCACGGTGAGGAAGGGTGGCCTTCAACTTGGCGCTGGAAACAAGCGAAATTCCACGATTGCTTTGGGTTTTGATAAAAAGACGTTGCCAATGACGGAGATTCCTCCTCTAATTCCGGACGAGGACGATCTGCTCATTCTGAAGAAGAAGGAGCCGGAAGTGCCGGTTGTGAGTGTGGGAAGTGGGGGAAGTGGGGTCGTTTATGGGAAGGGTGGTCGGATGAGGGAGAAGGTCAAATTAAACGTGGGGTTGTTAGTACCATATTCCATGTTTCATCAGAGGGATTATCTCAGAGCGGTGTCAAACGCGATATCAATGCTGCAAAGGAAGGATTCTGGGAGAGAGTTCTACCAGCGGTACAAGTTCACGTCGGATGAGATTAAAATGTTCATGATCAGTGTGAGTCCAAGCCCGAGAGGTGAGAAGTGCAGTAATTACTTATTTGTATTAATTATTTGGTATTAATTTTAGACTAAATTAATTATAGTAGTTAGCAAAACTATGTTTTGTAAATTTATCTCTTCCCTCCGAAAATTTTTCATGTCTCCGGAAATCAAATCAAAAGTTACGGAAATTTACGGAAATTTTAAGAGAGTAGTTTTGCTAATTGCCTTATAATTATGTTTAATATACTTTCTCTGATCCTGAATAAATTTTGATTCCCCTTAAAAAATCGTATTTTATCGATATTACATCCCACCTACAAAATAAACCCACCTTTCTCCCCTCAGACAATAATTAATTGCTACAATGTAGCCTAACTTTCATAATTATCTCCCATTGATTCGTTCTCCCTGATTCGGTCACATATCTTTTAATTAATACATTCCATCAGTATCTACTCACTCACACCAAACGAGTACTATTCTCACTTTAGTCACGTACTTACAACAGCAACATGAAAACCACACGCCATAAATAAACCATACTCTCCCCACTACAACAATGTTATCTCATTATATTCGAAGAATCGCCACTCCACCCAAGCCATGTATGATGGGATGTTGTTTGTTGTTAATTATCCACATTACTAAGTTAAACACAAACTTTCCCTCTTGCATCATCCACGACAATAGCACTAATATCTCTCCTCGGCAGCTTAGCTTAGTAGCTTTTACACCAAGAAGACGTGAAAGAAAGTAATCACTGCCGCCAGAGTGTCACTGTCACCAACAGAACTGAACAGTATCTCTGCTTCATCGTCGTCGTCATCCAAACAAAGTTTAGCTAGCTTCCATTTTACATCATAAATCATGCAGCATGCTTGACAGTAGCATTGTGGATGGGAGAAGAGAAGATGCGGTCAGTCAGAAATCTCATGTCCTCTGGCCAATCGGATGAGCAGAATTACATAAGTGCTATCACCCATTTGTAAATTGTATGTACCGGCTTGAAACGGAAATATTGTAAATTTTGTAATTTTAATCGGTCGCATTAATTCGCATTAGTAGCTATTTATGGATGTATGTTAGTCATGCTTTACCTACATAAGTTAGCCAGCCTGGAAGGGAGGCAGTGAGGCAGACCACAATTTATTACTGGTTTCAGCCTCAAATCTCTCCTCTTGCTTGGGTGCGTTGGGAGGAAACTTTGGGATAATCGGGCTAAATATAAATCCCTTCCGGTCGGAGAAAGTCAGTCACCGACTAACTTTCTCTGCTAAATTATGAATTTAATGTACCTCCACCACTACCACCCACCTAATCAGGACGTGACATGCCACAAAGTTACGAAAAATTGTGTTTTCTTATTATTATGCAAAGAAGCAATAAGCGTATCGTCACTGATATCGTATCATGAAACAGGTCTTCCTTTTTTCTTTCACCCGGCGCGTCTTGTCGTGTCTGTCGCATCGCTTTCTCTCTGGGCTGGTTGGTCGGGAGTGAAAATTCCGAGGCACTTTAGCCATAAATAATGTGCTACCAAGTAATAAATTGTAGTAAATTGTGTTAACTTTCACGAGTAATATGCAGATTGTAAATTGTGTTCGTGAGTGGAGGGAGGCTGGCTAGGCAAACTAAACCACCAAGGGAGCCGCACCACATGAACGTAACGTACAACGTTACGCGTACATATATGACGAGAAGATGCGATATATGATATGAAAATGCAGCAGCAGACATTGCTCGACTTTCTGTGAGTGAAAGTAAGCAAGTAAAACTGCAGTGCACAGCGAGTAGGTAAATGTCGTAGGGCGTCATGAACCAAGAATTTCTGTCTATTTCTGGCTCACGCTCTGTTGAATATGACACTCGGAATTTGCTCTTATGTATGCTCAGCAGAATTCAGAATTGTTTATTAATCGGGTGATGCTGCTGCTTTCTCCTTTGCCTTCTTCATCCCTGTGTTTAATTGATGAAACACCTTCCCCTCCTCAAGCCGGGATTTGTGTCAAACAACAAGACTTATCTGGAATAGGGACGTACGCACGTCACAAGTGAAAAGAGGGAGCCAGAGATATGATCCTGGGCAAATATTTATTCCACTAATTCCATTTTAGAGTGTCAGTCAGAGTCACGTTGTGTTTGTTTTCGGCTCATAAAAACTTTCTCTCTCGTAAGTAAAGTGTACACAGTAAATTCGTAAAATTTGATGGAAAAGCGAACTTCAAATTGCCAGAGTACGTGTAAATGTGGATAAAATTGGTGGTACGCTGTTTAGTTTGGGGAACAGTTGGTTGAGTTGTTTTCAAGTGACGTGACAGACAGTTTGGGAAATTTTACTAGTGTGGAAAATACTACAATTTTTAATATAAATATTTTATGAATTTGTTTGTGTTTAGAAAATTGTTTCGTGAAAAACAGCTTCTCGTTGTATTATTTACTTGAAAATCCGTTTCTGATTTTGTAACGCGAGTAAAATAATTCACTCTACCTCTCAAAGTAAAATAACACCACGATCTGACCAAAAACCACCCAAAAACAACAACGTCCCTATGAAAACCACGAGTTGGCAGTTATCTCTCTCCTCTTTCGGATTTGTGCTTTCACCACCACCTCCTCCTCCTCTTCAGTCTTTAGTATCTGGTGAGAATTGTACGACCAACTTTACGGCATTCAATTTCCCACCCACTTTCCATCCCAGATACATCGTATTCAAATAATCTGTACTCTTTTTGTATTTCTCCGACGAACTGACAAATAAATTTAATTCTACAACGACCAGTAGATTCATCCTCATCGCACAATATGAGCGAGATTTCTACACAAATGGGAGACAAGCGTACTATTTCATAATAGAATACATACATTGGATTGAATCTGTATGTATGAATGAATAATGCACCAAAAACTAAACTCTCAGATTTTCCCCCGACCTTTCAAAAGAGAGAAAATTGTTATGTTAAGATTCTGAATAATTTGTCAATTTCTTCTCGGGCAAAGTTTCTGAAGAGTTCGTCCAAGAATGGGGAGTGGAGAAAGCAATTAGGTCAGAGTTGGAAAGTTGGGTGGGATTGGCAGTCCTGTTTTCTCTGTTTTCTACTCTCTCCCTTTGTCGGATTTAATCCAGTATCATCTCACATTTCACAACTTTCTTGCTCAGGATGAGTAGGTGTATGCACGTAGACTGTACTTTGGTTCACTTGCAATTTAATCGCTCACATTCTGAGTGAGTGATTGAGTGAAAGAAAAGAAGATGGGACCGGGCTTGTTAATGTGGAAACATTATTTCACGGAAAATTAGGCTTTTCCAGGATGGAAAGTGAATGTTTATTTTCACGGAAATATTCTAAATTAGGTAGTTTGGAGAATATGAAAATCTTCCATAAATTGAATTCGACTAAGAAAACTCATTTTGTGAGTTTCATCATCCTGTTGCTCCAATTCCTTAAACACTCGCCTTTTCACTTTATTAGCTGGATTTAGTTTTGGCCTGGCTGGACAAACACCACGCAGCAAAAGAAGAAGATTTCTCGATCCATTCCGCTACCATGATGGTAACAGAATATAACACGGAATGAAGTGGAGTGGAAAAGGCCCAGTTTAGCGAACTAGACGGCATAAAGGAGAAGATGAGTTTTGGTCGAGCAGTAACAGTAGTCTAGTTAGTTTGGCTGGAAAAGGGGCATAAATAAATTTGCTTTCTCCAGTTTTCTTGGTGCAAAATTCAGACTGTGGTAAATATCTACAGATATTTAGTGTGCGGTGGAGGTAGCTTTTAGTAAAGCTGGCCTCTCTTTTTGACACACATTTTCACTCCAGCATTTCATAAATACTTGATGTGATATAATAATCCTTAATTACCAGATCGACTCAGCTGCAGCTAAAATACTTTGCCTCCATCAGTCTCTCACTTTGGAGACAGGTTAATTTTCTAATTTCTACGTCTCGATTAATTCTCACTCGAAAATTTTGCAAAATCATTCCCCTCTCTGGGAAGAAAGTAGGTTTGGTTACCCAACTTTCTCCATGTACGGACATGCATTCTTAAAAAGTATTTTGCAAGACTTGGCTAATGGGCATTAGTTTAAAGTGAAATGTAGAACCCATTACGTGGAATGTTTCAAGTCATGTATTCTCCGTGGTTTGGTTTGGTTAGGTTTGTGTATTAAGGAAGTAGAGCAGACGAAATGTGTTGTTATTCTTGCTAATCTTGTCTGAATCCTGGGGAAAGTGCATGTAAAATACCGACTCTGTGTATTCATTCATGTTTACTTCCGCTAGACTCGACATTCTCGAAAATTTTAATGCCGAGTTATTATCCAGTAACGAGAACATACTAGAAAAACAGTGGGATTTTTCCGCTTGTTTTTGCCTAATTATTTTTCTCACGTGTGCAGCCATGCGTCGTATTTATGTACAAAGTGGGTCGTGTCGTGGTTAGCTTTTCATCATTTTTATTGGTTCGCTGTTTTTTCGTTCTTTTTCTCTTGACAGAAATCAGTTAGTCAAATGGAGGATGCATTTGGCAATCAAAAGGGCAGATTCACCACGTAATAGGGGCGCACCCATAAATAAAATATATATAAGATACAGCATCCTATGCAAATTTACCCTCCCGAAATGAAGTGATCATCGATCACCAGATCCCGGCTCCGCTGCATCCGCCGAATTCCACTCTGCTCAAGATGATCCAATTTGTTCCCTTTTCAACAAGTTATGCAAGAAATTCACAAAAACTGCCCGCTCCACTTACTCGCGAGGAGGAGATAAAAGCAGAAAAAATCGGATTAAGGAGAGAGATCATCCCGCCATATATCACCCGTGCGGCTCGATCCCTTCTACGTAAAAAAAGGCCGATTCGGATTTAGAATCTTAGCCAAAGTTTGCCAACCTCAAAAAAAGATTTTGATTGACGGCCATTTCAGATTTTGGTAAAGAATTCGACAAAAGTCCTTTAAAAGGGGTCCGTTAAATTCCTTTCGATGAAAAAGCGAGAACCCGAAATGTTCAATTTCCATATTCACCCCATTCATAT